ATGACATCTTCAACAGGCGTGCGCAGTAAATTCACTATACGTTGTGCGACATCTCTAGCATGGTAGTAATTGGTCGTCATTTTGAAGATAACCACAAAAATTTAATAAAAAGAATTTTGGTAGTCAATACAATTGCATGTTGACTTAATTTTACAAAAATTTACGCATCCAACATAATAAAAAACAACAATACGACAACAATAAATTGAAGTGGCACAATGACTGAAGTCTATCAACCTGTCAAAATGTCATACGAAACAAAAAATTGATATTATGACTCCGATAGGAATGTAATTTAAGCCCTTCTTTGATAAGTAATAATCTATGTTCAATTGTTTCGTTATCATGTTGACCACGCTAAGATTTTCTCTATCGAATCGATACACTTTATGCACATGCAAAATTTCTGCTTTTTCACGGTTGACAACATCCACAAGTTGTTTAAGAAGTAGCAGAACACAGAGAACATTTATAGCTAGTTCCTTATTGGTTTCAATCGCCGATAGTAACCGATAATAATAACAACTGTCGATTTGAATTTCCAGCGTTGGTTTCGATTGTGCGATTATTTCGATGTCGTTAAACAACGATGAACTTTGCGTACTTTAGAATATTATGAACTCAATTTATTCTTAGTATAATATATAAAGAACGAAACCCAGTTATTTGAAGTGTTATGGAGTTGTAATATAATTAATTTGGCATTTTCCAAATTTTATAAGCAGGTTAATTTTGAAGATTGGTAAGTGACATTAACGTGAGATAAAACTGCAAACCCATAGTTGAACCGCTTTTCTGCACATAATACGCATCTCTAATTTTTACATTTTTAGAATCGATGGAAGTATTTTGAGTGCGTATTAAAATGATTTTGCGACCAGTTCATGTCCAAATCATGTCAAATGTCAGTCGTAGCAGGTTATCGACGCATCCTTGAACGCCGGAACGATGATCGTTGGGCGCTCGCTTTTTTCTCCTTATCATATTTATTTACTAATTCCTTCCTAAGTAACAACACATCAATATGAATTTCTCCGAAATCAAATCAGCATAATGAGTATATGTGTTGTACATTTTATGTTATTACATGTTGATGAAATGTCGCGATGTACACATTACATTTACACGATTGTTGAACAGTTGAGAGATGATGTCACATAAATTTCTATTTAAAGTTCGCTTGACAAACGATCGATCATAATTAAAATTGTTTGGAAATGCCCGGACACGGTTTGCGTGCCCTCAAAAAACGGGGATGCCGATGCGATGGAAGACGCGAGGAATCATGTAACATTGTAAGCGATTAAATAAAACAAGCGATAAATCACGCGCGGTAGATCGAAGAGACCGAAGAGACCGGGGAATTGATTTGGATCGGATGGGGCATGTAATTTTTGAACACACATTCAATTATTGTCTTCTTGCGCCTTGTACTTTCAAGCTGATCAATATCAAGGGTTCCCAGATATTAGCATAACAATACGCCGTCCATAAATATATATTATGGTTTTATCAATTTGTAAATTTGCAATAAAAGAGCAATTTAGTGTAGATTGTTTGAATTTGGATGGTTTTATGATTTGACGAGTGGGTGATGTTGATGAGTCTGCTCGTTGGCAACCCTGCGATTGCGGTTTCGCCGCCCAGATAAGTGGCCGCTGGCTGGCGGCTCGCGCCTTCGAGGTCAGGAACTTTTCAGCCCGGTCGTGAAAGAAGCTTGTCGAAGGAAAGGCGCACACGCCGCACGTCGACCACACATGCCGAATGTTAAAACATGCTAAAACAGACGTCTAGCCAACATCGCAAACGTGCACAGATTTCAAACGACGGGATAATCTTCAAAAAAACAAATAAATATTATTAATAAATGCTTCAAATCTTTTCATATATCTAAGAAGTTAAAGAAATTAGTTTACATTAGTGCTGAAAATAGGTTATACTCTTTAACAGACAACCTAATTTGAGTGTTATTGTAGACAACCGAATATACAAACACAAAGAACTAGTTTGCAGGCTCATTAAATAAGGAAATTTTGTAGCACACGCAAAAATACGTTCGAAAAACGTTTACGCATGTTGCAGTCATCCATCCAGCCATCTAGTCTCGCTGGGAGCAGTCAGCCGGTCTCGGCCGATGGTTTATGAGCTTCATGTACAGATTGAGGAGATTGAGTTTCCGACACATGCGCCGCCGCGCTCATCCCGGCCGCGCAGAACTGACTTATCGCGCGCCCGTTTCCGAATGCGCGAGTTCAAAGACTCCGATCTTGGATAAATATTTAGGCATGTACTAGTTTTTTTTTCTTGTGAGGATTTTCTTCCGAACAGGCGAACTCAAGTCTAAAACTATGCGACTATGCTTTAAGCTGCCAGTTAGCACATTGTAGGATGATATTAAGTACACAAACATTTTACTTACGTTGCATGAAGCAATTGCAAAGCGTAAACAGAGATTTTTAATTTAAATTTAACCTTAAATTTAACTTGAGTTATGTTACAGATATATTATTTTGATTTATCTATTAAAATATATTAGTGCAAAACTTGAAAGTGTAGTTTTATATTATGTATTTGTGTTGGATAAGTCTTTTAAAAGTCGTGCATGACGCGTGCATTTTCTTCTAGGCCTCTAGGGCAAACTTAATTATAGTAATTTGTCAGTGCACTTACAGTCGGCGTGTGCCGCAAGTAACATTTTATCACAGATGTATTACTTACAGAATCAAGGAGGAATTATGTGAACATTAATTTATTCAGTTTACAAAGCCGTGAGGAAGACGTTCTTCCTCGTTGCTAATGCAATACGAAATATAAACGATTTACTTATGCTAAGCAGGTGAACACACCAGATATTTCAAATCTTGATTAGATCTTGATTATTTACATAATGGATTTTCACGCTAAATTGATTTTAATTTCAAGAACATAATATGTAATGGGTGATTTTTCAATTGTAATGCATCAAAATTGCAATTGTTTTTGATGACATTGACGGGCAATAACTCAATCTCAATAATTTCAATTTCTAGTGTTTTAGCCACATGAAGCGCAACGAGTTGCAGCAGGCGATGAAAGTAAATTAACGACAATTTAGCCGCTAATGAAAAGGCATGTGCCCCGGCGATTTATAACGATTTATAACGCGTGTTTAAGAAATAATTGCGCGGCTCACATGTGTTCAAATGCGCCGACACTGCACAACGTCTCGAACAGTAGTCAACTTTGTTAACAATCAAGTGCAAGCCGGGCACAAACGCGCATTATATTTCCGCGTGTTTTTTTCAACTTTTGTGCAGAAAAAAAAACGGAATAGCGGCGGCAGTATCAAATTCATTCGTGGAATGTAAACAAAATGGCCACCGACCCAACTCAACACGGAGAGCATTGGAAGTATATCCAGTTACAAATGGAGTCAATTTTGAATCGTATGCATAAATTACGCGCTAATTATAAAAATTCGCAATATTCGTAATAAACATTGTCTTTTATTTGTCTGACATGGAATAGTGTCTATTGAATGTGAATGAAATGGTTGTACCCCGAAATGAAAGGCAGAGAGTATATAGTATGAATGAAATTGGTGAATCGCTTCGTCTTATCGGCCTTACACGCGCGTCCGAGTGCCCAAGCTATTATCTCGGAGCGCGAGAAACTGCACAATTTAAGATTATCAGTATCCGGTTACAATAACCTCCTCCGACGCGCTCCACGCACACAATTTACCGAATTATTCGTGCTTTGCGTCACGAAGAGGAAATGCAGCACGCAGAATTTCCGATTTATCATTATTCACCATATTATTCATCGCTAGGACTTGATTTGAGGGTATTTGTGACTTTAGAACACTTCTGTCAGGCAGTTGAACGTTGGCAGACTGACGAATTTTAGCTGAGAAATAACCTTGTTAAAATTAAAATAAACCTGACGGTTTAAAAGATGGCCAAATTGTCTTTCACAACTTTGTTCAAAATGTTAACATAACTTTTTATGTAGCGATCAAATGTTTGCTTCTGACTTATTACCCATTTTATGTTCAGTGCGGTCGTTTTCTGTTTTAATTATTATTTTATAAGCGTGGTCAAAATCATGTCATAGTATGCAGCATGTAAAGAAAAAAATCTAATTGCAATTGTTTACTGAAACGTTCCCGTCTAAGAATAGATGATTACACCACATGCAATAACTCGCTCATTGCAACGTCGGCAAAAGGAAATACACAACGCTAAACACCGAGAACGCAAAATGTTTGAAAAGACGCAAAGAAAACGAATAAAATATTATTTATAATTTCGTTTAACGGCCGTGCTCCTTCACGCTACACCATTCGGCGCCACACTGGCGTCTATACAATTTTTTCACTCCAGATTTCCGTGCGACGTTTTCCATTTCCACAACAAAATGGCGGATTTATTGAGCGTGGATTGGTTCCTTCTTAAAATGTTTTGTCTTGTATTTCCGTTTCTTTGCGCTGTTTACAAAAACAATACAGTTTTTATTGTTTGGTTTTAAATTGTCTAGCTTCTTCTTTTCAATCATGTACTTCAATAGAGGGGTTAATTTTTCGTGTTTTTTATTGGGCGACCGGGTTATTTCTACATGTGGCGTGGAAATACTTGAGCTTTGAGTCAAATTTTCTACGAATCTCTGATAGTGAGGATCGGATTCAATTGTGTTAACCAGTGGATCATGCCAGGGACTTTTCCTTACGCGAATTATTTTTTGATTTGGGGCAACTTCTGCTTCGAATGTTGAGGGACACTTTTGCAAAAATGTCAAGAGTATCGCAGGTTTATCAAAATTTAGATAAGCAACTGCTCGCTGGGGAAATTCTCCTCTTTTAATGTAAAAATGATTAACCGCAGGTGGGTCAAGTTGATTGAAGAGATGAGATGATGAAATATTTGGCGGTATACCGCGTACGATTGCTCTGGTAGGCAGACGACTTGAATCTTTCATCATTACACGTATGAAATGTCAACACATTGTCAATATTATTACAGAATTGTACAGGATGTGCAACGAGGCCATTATGCCTCTGCGATCGTTTGAAAGGTGAAGTTGGTGACATTGGCAGACCTGGCATTTCCGGCATTGCTGGAAGTTATGGTGACATCGGCTATCCCGGCCCAGCTGGGCCCAAGGGTGAGAAAGGTGCCAGTGGTGAAGCTGGTGCTGTGGGCGAAAAGGGTTATCGAGTATGTTTCTTGAGAAATGGTTGATATTTTATGATATTCATAGTTTTTAATTCTGTAGGGAGATGAAGGTCTGCAAGGAAGCGTAGGTCAATCCGGGTCACCTGGTATTCCTGGCATACCAGGTGTCCGTGGTGCTTCGGGACTTGATGGCTGCAACGGAACCGACGGAGCAATGGGTATACCAGGTGTTCCAGGTTATCCTGGTAGACGAGGTGATTCAGGTGATTTTGGTCCACCTGGGCCAACTGGCGAACCTGGTGATGGTGGCGGAAACTCCATTGGAACAAAAGGTCAATGGGGTGATCTGGCTGCAGATGGGCCTCCCGGTTATGAAGGTCCCAGAGGACCTATAGGTCCACCTGGACCTCGAGGAATACCTGGAGAACAAGTACGATGTTAGATTAAATTATCTGTAATTAAATGCATCGATTTGTGTGTTTTTCTAGGGATACGAAGGTCTAAAGGGTCCAATTGGTATGCCCGGAGAACCTGGTGCACAAAGCTTTGGTCTTAAGGGTTTGTTCGGAGATGATGGTGACCAAGGTGACGCAGGTGAACCCGGCGAACCAAATTCTGATACGAGCGAATTAGTACATAACGTTACGCATGGAGATCTTAAAGGATTTCCCGGTGATAAGGGTTATCTGGGTGAGGTGGGAGATCGTGGTAGAATAGGAATGCATGGAGAACGAGGTGCTCAAGGGCGACCTGGTTTACCAGGTTTCCTTGGGTTAAAAGGCGAACCTGGAAGCGATGGGCCACGTGGTAAACAAGGTAAAATTGGTCCGTTTGGCCCAAGTGGAGAAAAAGGCGACAAAGGAGCGCCTGGATACGAGGGGCCTTCGGGAGGAAATGGTACAAAAGGTATGAGGGGCGAGCCTGGTCGTGTGGGTATTCCTGGTGTTCAGGGAATGGAAGGTGAACCTGGAATATACGATGAAACTTTGAGCGAATCGCCGATTGGTGTTGCTGGAAAACAAGGAGAAATTGGTTATATGGGCGGTATTGGACCAACTGGAATACCCGGGCGTCAAGGTCTTCCTGGACCCTTAGGCCCGCCTGGCTTGCCTGGTCCAAATGGTAATAGAGGAGAACCTGGAAAGAAAGGGCAATCAATTAAAGGTGAAAGAGGTGATGATGGAATTCCCGGGCATCCAGGGCCCCCAGGTTTAAATGGACCTCCCGGGCCCATTGGACCAACTGGCGAGAAAGGATTTCTTGGGTTAGATGTTTCCGGTCCTCCTGGCCCTGATGGTATTCCAGGCGCATTTGGAATTCCTGGTCCTCCTGGTGATAGAGGAGATAACGGTTTTAATGGACCTAAGGGTTATCCTGGATTAACAACTTCAAAGATTAGGGGACCCCAGGGAGAAGCGGGAATGCGTGGTTTGCCCGGACCTATGGGTGATCATGGAATTCCTGGTCGTGATGGTTTACCCGGACCAAAAGGGCGAAGAGGCGATGACTGTCCATTCTGTCATTCAGGTACTAAAATACTAACACACTAAAGGATATTTTTCAATTGTATCAATTTCTACAGGCGGCCCGGGAGAAAAAGGGGATATGGGTGAGGTAGGTCGCGTAGGATTAAATGGGTTCATGGGTTATCCTGGTTTGCCAGGCCCACGAGGTCCAAAAGGAGAGAGTGGCAAGCCAGGCCCGTCCGGTATTCCTGGAATGATGGGTACATCGGGTAGTAGAGGCACTGAAGGGGCACCCGGTCTTAAAGGTCCTAAAGGAATGCTTATTATGCCAGCTAGACCTTTTACAGAAGCCGCGGAAAAAGGTGAACGAGGTTTTCCGGGAAGGCAAGGAGCCCGGGGAGATACAGGAAAAGAGGGTTGGCGAGGACCGCCAGGTATGAATGGTTTCAAAGGAGAGAGAGGAGAGTACGGTTTTTCAGGAAGACCAGGAAATGACGGCATGCCTGGAGTTGATGGATTACCAGGGCTTAGGGGTGATTCCGCAACAATGCCTAAAGAATTTTTGCGTGGTGATAGTGGATTAAATGGATTGCCAGGCGATATTGGCGACGAAGGCGACTGGGGCTATCCGGGAGAACCAGGTGATGCTTCAGAATTCACTGCAAACTTTACTGGCGATATGGGTGTGAAAGGACAACCTGGTGAGCGAGGCTTTAACGGTTTAAACGGGTTGAAAGGTGAAAGAGGCAACAAAGGTTATGGGGGATTACCAGGTATACCTGGACCGGCTGGAGTTTCTGTTGCTGGTCCAGTTGGTCTTAAAGGTCATCCTGGTCTTACGGGTGATCAAGGACCCCAAGGTATTCCGGGCAAACCAGGTTCTCCGGGGCTAATTGGTTTTAATGCACTCGATGGAAGGAAAGGAATTAGAGGAGATCCTGGTTTGAGTGTTCTTTATGGCGAAATGGGAATTGAGGGAAGGCCAGGTGAAAAAGGGGAGGTTGGTTTTGATGGTCCTGAAGGCTTCCCCGGATTACCAGGTATTCATGGAATTAAAGGAGGAAAAGGTGAGAAAGGTGCACCTGGAAGATTTGGTATCGACGGGCCTCAGGGTTACAAAGGGCAAATGGGTGTAATCCTCGGAGGATATCCAGGTGCACCTGGTTTGCCTGGTGAGCCTGGTAGACCAGGTGAAATAGGTGAAATGGGACCACCAGGAGAAGACGGAGCAACAGGACCTCATGGCATTATTGGCATTCGTGGAGATATTGGTCTGCCTGGTGCACCTGGTTTTCCAGGCGATGTTGGTATGCCGGGATTTGAAGGAAGACCTGGATTCAGAGGGCGAGATGGCATGCCTGGATTGCCTGGTGAAGTTGGCAATATTGGTAGATCTGGTCCAGAAGGAGAACGGGGAGATCAAGGTTTGACTGGTTTGCAAGGCAGTAGAGGCTTGCGTGGTGATCCAGGATATCCTGGACGACTTGGTCTTGAAGGTATGCCAGGGTATCCGGGAGAAATTGGTGAGCCGGGTTATGTTGGTTTAAAAGGTGCCAAGGGTGATTCCTCGTTTAGCGGCTCTAAAGGAGATGTAGGTGAATACGGGTTGCAAGGCATTATTGGACGACCAGGTAACCCTGGTTTTGATGGTGCCAAGGGAGAGCAGGGTCAACCTGGGCAAACTGTATTTGGTTTAGTTGGAGAAAAGGGAGAGTACGGTATGCCTGGCTCTGTTGGGTATCCTGGTATTCCCGGAAATAAGGGCGAGGCCGGTGATTATGGCCACATCGGACCAAAAGGCATTCAAGGCGAAACCGGAATTATGGGTATAAGAGGATTACCAGGAAAAACTGGTTTAGATGGATTTAAGGGTATGATGGGTGATCACGGGCAGCCAGGAGTTAGAGGACCAAAAGGAACACAGGGGATGAGTGGCGAACCTGGAATAATGGGAAGACCTGGACTACCGGGAGATGTAGGACCTGCAGGAGAAGTAGGTTTAATGGGACCAATAGGACGTAAAGGATTGCAGGGTTTGCCAGGTATCACATCTTTTGGTTTTGCTGACAAGGGTGATGTTGGAACACCTGGTATGCCTGGCTTACCGGGGGTGAAAGGCCCGCCGGGCGATACTGGATTTCCAGGTATGATTGGTTTCAAAGGCGAGCGTGGCGCAATTGGTCCAGTGGGTATGCCAGGTGATTTTGGCTTGCCTGGAATCAAGGGTTATCGCGGTGCGCCCGGTATGCCAGGATTAAATGGTGTCCCTGGACAGAATCCCGAGCCGGGTGCAATTGGCGCTGCAGGTTTTCCCGGTTTGGATGGTCTTAATGGAAGAGCAGGTCAGAAAGGTGCTCCAGGAGCTTACGGAGATGAAGGACAGCCAGGTTTACCGGGCCTACCAGGCGTAGGCATACCTGGATTTAGGGGAATGAAAGGCAATGATGGATATCCTGGTGCAAACGGCGAAAGAGGAGATCCAGGCTTGCCAGGTTTAGAAGGTCGTCCTGGACTTAAAGGAGCTCGTGGTTTAATTGGTGACGCCGGATTTTCGGCTAGCAGTTTTAAGGGTCAAATGGGTGAAATTGGGCTACCAGGCCCCGCTGGTATTCCAGGTACTCCGGGTGAACCTGGAATGCCTGGAAGGCCTGGTTCGCGTGGTTTACCTGGATCTCAAGGTATGATTGGGTTGTCTGGAGACCGGGGGTTACCTGGCATCGAAGGTCTCCCTGGTTACAAAGGCCCTAAAGGTGAGCGTGGTGATGCTTTCGGTGGCGGATGGTTGGGTATGATAGGCGATAAGGGTGAACCTGGTTTTGATGGTTTACCTGGACTTCAAGGCCAATCGGGGCGACCTGGTGTGCCAGGCAAGAAAGGTCTACCCGGTTTTGAAGGAGCACCAGGTCTTTCTGGCGCTATTGGTTTGGCTGGCAAAAAGGAATGCAAGGGGATTATGGAGCACGTGGTCTGACCGGACAGCAAGGAGCACCTGGTTTACCAGGCCCAACCGGAGACCCAGCACCACCGGGTCGTCCACCACCCAGTCGCGGATTTTTCTTTACACGCCATTCGCAAAGTGAACAAATCCCCGTGTGTCCTGCGGGCACAACGAAAATGTGGCATGGCTATTCATTTTTGAATGTAGTTGGAAATACTTATGGACATGGACAGGATTTGGGAACTGCGGGTAGTTGCCTGACAAGATTTAGCACTATGCCTTTCCTTTTCTGCAATATTAACAACGTTTGCAATTACGGGCAAAGAAATGACTACAGTTATTGGTTGACCACGATGGAGCCTATGCCGATGACAATGGCCTTGATTCCAGCTGAAGAGGTTCAGAAATATATATCCAGGTATATCCTATATCTTATATTGCACTATTCAGCATTTTAAAACATTTGTTTAAGGTGTACTGTTTGTGAAACTACTACAAAGGTCATCGCAATGCACAGTCAGAGTATGGTTGCTCCATCGTGTCCGGGCGGATGGGAATTGATGTGGCAAGGATACAGCTTTATTATGGTAACTATCATTTTTACAGTATGAAATTTTGTTATGTATATTAATCAACATTTTGTGTCGTTTTAGCACACCGATGTTGGTGCTGAAGGTTCTGGTCAGCCGCTGTCTTCTCCAGGTTCTTGTCTTGAGGAGTTCCGCGCAAGACCTTTCATTGAGTGTCATGACAACGGCAAATGTAATTATTACCCCACAGCACTTTCTTTCTGGATGACAGTCATAGAAGATAGAGAAATGTGGTCTCGACCCCGCTCACAAACCCTCAAGAGTGGAATGGACATTACATCTAAGGTAGGCCGCTGTTCGGTATGTCGTCGTCAACAAATCAGCAGACAACAAATACCACCTAGCGAAGTGCGTCAAGCATCTAATTCATTCGGACGCCAATCGCACACATCCGGAAATGTCCAAGGCTATGGCCAGCAAGGATAGGATATGGTCAACAGGGATATGGTCAGCAAGGATATGGCCAGCATGGATATGGTCAGCAAGGGTATGGTCAGGCCGGACAGCGCCGCGTACAGCATCGTACCCGACATCGTGATGGATTCCGACAGGGCGGGCAAAGTCGACCACGCCAATTGTACCAAGATGGCCGCTCTACACCTGCGTCATTTAATTAATACTTTATCAACATAAACCAAGCAGTGCCATATAATTACTACTTAAGTTATGCATTCAGAGCGAAATTTTTATGTAAAAAGTAATCTAAAAGAGAAAATGTGTATATTATAAATATAGTTTTAATTTAATTGTTATTTTTATATTAACTAATGTTAATGTTAACAGAATGTGTTCAATTTATAAATTGTAAAAACTTTCCTAATTTACGAGGCAAATAAGTCAACGCTCGCAACAAACATCAAAGATTGTAATATCGATATGTTACTAGACATACTACTACTGCCTATACAAATAAATAAAAACAACGTAACTACTTATTCAAATTATACTAGTGAATAGAAATTAGTATGTTACTTGTATCAGCATTTTCCTTTCTTTGTTTCCTTGTAGCATTCCAAGCAATAATGATTTCTCCAAAAAATATAACACTGGCAATAATATTACCACATGCCCACAAACAAAAAATACTAAACAGGTGTCCCATTGTCAATTTGGTGGATTGTTTTTCTTGCTTCATGTTGTTTAAATACAATTGCACTGGTTTTGACATTTCTGAATAAACTGCCTGTCTGTCCCAAATTTCAGTCAATCCAGAATCAAATGCGCGCATAATAAACATCGACACAGCTTCAGTTAAAACGGAGCTACGTCGTAGGTATGCTGAATTATAGGACCGCAGTATAGTATCCTTGATGCCCCGATATCGTCTAATAGTTTTTTCATTCACGTAACCTTCACATGCCCAAAAGTTAGCGAAATATCGAGTCACAAAAATAGCAAAATGATCTCCACATTCTACTTGTTGTTTTAATTCGTCAAACGGTAGAAATTTATATTTTTTGTATAAAGCTTGAGAAATTTTCTATCAGAAAAAAAGACAAACACATTAATTGGGAATTCAGAATAACTTGATATTAAGTTTACACATACAGTTGGATCATTTTTTAACGGTAATGCATAGTTGTTGGTAGCACTTCCCCATTCCAAATCGCTTTCCGCAAACTCAGCTACTGTATCTATCTCACCAACATAATGGGGATGCGTTAAATTACTGGCGAGTTGAGAGGTGTACATAGCGATAACAAGAATGGTTTGGGCCAACATAGCTACTATAAACAAACGCATCTCACTTGTCTTAGGGAGCTGAGAAGCTGGCACTGATTGTTGTATGGCAATTGAGAAAATTAAGCGAGGTGTTACATTGGTTATCAAACCATATAGCTGCTCATAACATCTATAATCAGACATTTATATATTAATGAAATTTATATTTATATATTAATGAATTAATACCTTTTCATTAATAGTATTATAATTATATGAATACACATTATAACAATATATAAAATCCAAGCATACAAAGAAAACTCGAAAGTGAAAACTGTCCAACCATTGATTTGCCTAAAATGATATATAATATACAGTTTTTGACTAGTGACGATCATATCGTTGCTTGCATACGTAGCTTTTGGGACAAGAACGCTCACTTCAAATTGGTATGATATTGCAGTAATATCATATTTTGCTAATCTGTCTGTTGTGATATAAGCGGGTCCTAATAACACATGTTGTTAGTGAGATATATTTCCAAATGTAAAAATACCCAATATACTTATTGCTAGATCAGATTCTCCATTAGGTAAAAGTACTAATACAGCATCGGGAAGTTGGTCGTTGTATTCCATCCCATTGCCAACAAAAAGATTATTATGCTTTCTTGCGTATTCAATGGCAATTCTCAGACAAGATCCAGATTGTGTAGCTAAAAATTATTTCTAGAATGTATATTTTGTTATTGAGCAATGTTTTGATTACTTATGTTTACGCGAGGTGTTTCCATTTGAGCTGTATGCATTTTTAACGGCCGCCCATATTGATTTGTCAATTTGTCGGGAAACAGATTGGCATTCTTTCTAAATGATTTGGTACACGAGTCATAAGTATCTAATAGTAGTGGTTGACCACCATCAGCACCAACGTATTTATGTGTTAACAATTTAATTTCACTGCAGTTAATATGCATTGTGGGCATAAATTTTTCTAAGGTAGTATGTTTGTTATCTTCGTTATATGTTTCACTTCTATTCAATGAAAGTAGCAGAAAATCTACTACAAAATGTAAACTTTTTGTAGCGAAAATTAAATTTATTGAATCGTCATTTCGATCGGTAACAACAATAAATTTCCGGTTGTTATATCGAAACCTCATGTTTTGTAGTTGTAACTGAGTATCAATACTTTCAAGGATGGTTTCTGTAAAGTTTTGTGTCGTATTTTTTGTGTCCCATATGATGATACAATCACATCGCTCTTGCATTTCAATAAAATATGATGAGTTTGTAAAATGATAGCTTGTTATGTTTTTGTGCGTAGTTACTGCTTCCTGGTCGGCAGAAGTAAAGTGCAGAATGCAATTGTTCCAAGACGTATTGATAATATAGTTTTTAAATATAATTTGCAAAAGCAGATTAATTGCGGACATTGTTTTGTTATTAGTTACTTTGATTGCTGTTTTATTTCGGTCTGCAGCAGTTCTTCATCAAAAATCTTCAAAACTACCCAAATACTCTATACTACATTGTTAATGACATATTTGGTACATAATATATTATTAAAGACACCTCCAATCAATAACTCTTATGTAATCAATCAAAACTAACTTGCCGTGACTCTTTAACTCCTTGTGGTGACATATATTACAAACATTAATATATATTGTACACAAGTCATGTTTTTATTAATTTGTGTTTATTACATTAAGTTATCATAAGTTTGCAATAAAATGTGTTAGCTGTTATTATTATCTAAATTTAGTTTTTTTATTGCAGAATATTTTCTGCCTGGCTTGAAATTCGTATTTATTCCCCAATCCACTATTTACAGTAGACAAACAACAGCCATCATGTTTAAACACGTGTGGTAATATATTCGGATTTATTACTTCTGTTTATTTGCTTACCCAGTATAAAAACTCAAATGATTAAATGATTAATACATCGATCTATTTGATTGTTTGACGCAATTAAATTTTTTGTTACATGCACTGAAATATTATACTGATATACAAGTACCAGGTTTGTTTGGCACGTGCCTTACTTAAGTGCTGTTACTTTCAAACGTATCTTACCCGTATTTTTCCAAAAAGAAAAACTTAGAATGTTGGTTTGACATATAACTGGTAAATCCAACGTTAAAACATTTTAGTAGTTAATGCATACATAATCAGAAAAAGTAGATTACTTTTTTAGTTGTGTTTACCTACTCTATGGTTTACGTCAATTGGAAACTACAGTGCGAGGATACAATATACTAAATGTGCACATCCTTTCAAAAGCTTTTTCAAAGATCCAATAATATTATGTTAAGGAGCAATAGGGTCAGATCAATATAAAAAATATCTCTTGACAGAAATAACAACAGTGACTAAGGATTATTTATAGTATATTTTTATTACCCTCTAATAATTTCTATTATATTTAATATATTCTTGTTTAAATATTGATCTAGTGCAATTAATATTTTACAATAAATTTAATTTTTAATACGCTGGCATGAACTATTTTTAAGCAAACATATACTATAATCAGCGCTATGATAATGATATACGCCCTGTTTATTTGTTTGTTTACAGCATTTGACGTCTTTAGCCAATATTTTACTTAAGTTTCCGAGTAAATACAAATACCCACTATAACGTTACTTGCTTTTAACAGTTATTTGCTTTTGTTTTCTTACAATATTCAAGGTGGAAATTATTTCACCAATAAATACAAAACCTGCAATAATAATTCCGCCTGCCAACACAAAGAAAATGCTAGTCAGATGTTGGAGGGTTAGTTTTGTCGGGTGTTTTTCGTGTATATCACTGTTTAAATATCTCTGCACTTGTTTTCCCATTTCTAGAAAAACTGCTTGTCGATCCCAGATTTCTATAAGTCCTGTATCAAACGCGCGCATTATAAAATTTGATACGGATGTTGTTAACACGGAACTACGGCGTAAATACGCAGCGTTATATGCAGCAAAAAAATTATCTCTTATATATTTATATTGCATAATATTTGTTTTGTCCACATAAGTTTCAACTCCCCAGAAGTCATCAAGATATCGAAGGACAATGATTGCATAGTTATCAACAGAGTCTACACGTCGTTTAATTTCTTCCCAAGACAAATGTTTACATTTCTGATATATTATTTGAGAAACTCTCTAAAAACAAGCAAATTTAATTTATGGTTTATATTAAACATTTTACATACTTTTGGATCAGTTTCTAGTGGCAACGCGTAGTTTCCTTCAGTGCTTCCCCATTCTAAATCACTTTCAGCAAATTCTTCCACTGTATTAATTTCACCGACGTAATTTGGATCAGTAAAGTTACTGGCAAGATGAGATGTATACATAGAAACCACAAGAATGGCTTGTATTAGTATGGCGGCTGTAAATGAACGCAATATAGGGATCTTTGGTAACTCAGAAGCTGGAACAGGATGCTGAATAGCTATAATGCAAACCAAACTTGGTTTAACATTAGGTATTACTCTCTGGAGATTTATAATAAACCTATAATAAGACATTAAACATGCAAATCATTTGCATCAAAACAATTTCATAAATTACCTCTTGATTAATATCAAAGTAGCCGTTTGAATACTCAGTGTCACAATAAATAAAATCCATGCACCAGTGGAAAACTCCAAGGTAAAAACAGTTAAACTATCTATTTGTCTAAAATTACTTGTGATAAGGCCTTTTGTTAATGTATATTTTGTTATTGACATACTTAGCCTTAGGTACCAGAACGCTAACTTCATATTGAAATGTAATTGCAGTTGCATCTTGGTCAGCATATCTTTTAGCTGTTAAGTAAAGTGGTCCTAGTAATGTAAAACTATGTTTAATTGAAAATAATAACTATAATAAATATTATACTTGTTGTGAGATCAGATAGTCCACTAGGAAAAAGTTTAAATACTTCTTCTGGGCTTATAACCTTGGACATTGTATGCGGATCGCTGAGATTCATTGCATTGATTATCAAATGATTATTATGTTTTTTGCGTATTCCATTGTAATTTTCATCAACGAACCAGATTTTGTTGCTAAAATACCACACTTTAGATATATACATACATTTATAACGATGAGGTATAACGTACTAATATTTACGCGCGGTATAATAACTTCAGAAGAATGTATTCTTAATGGTCGACCATGTTGATTTGATAACTTATCAGGAAACAAAACAGCATCATTTTTAAATGTATTGGTACATGACTCAAATGTATCCAATAAGACTGGTTGCTCACCGTTGAGACCAACGTATTTATGTGTAAATAAATTAATTTCACTGCAATTTTTATATATGGCAGGCACAAATTTGTGAAGAAAAAGATTTTTACTGTCAGTTTCATTCGGGTTTATGTTTCTACCATCCCATAACAGTAGTAAAAAGTGCATTACAAAATGTAAACTTTTTGTTGATATAATGTGGTCCATTGAGTTACCGTTTCTATCAGTCACAACAATAATTATACGATTATTATAACGAAAACTAATGTTTCCATAAAGCAGCTGGTCATCAATACTTTGTAGTATGGTTTCTGTAAAGTTGCTCGATTTATTTTCAATGTCCCAAATTATAAAGCATTCACAACGTTCAGGAATTTGACTAAAAAGTGATGAGTTGGTTAAATAGTAGCTACTGATGTTTTCATAGTTTTTTATTAATGTTTTTTGTGCAGTTGAAGAAATTTGCAAAATACAATTATTCCAAGATGCGTTGGAAATGTAGGCCTTCAGTATTATTTGAAGCAGTAAATGAATAGCAGCCATTATGCTTTAACTTTTAATTTTGCGTCTACTGTTCACACAATAACATTGTTTTCCGTTGATCTATTTTTATTTGTGTTTAAATCAATGCGTGCCGTGTTATACACGCTTACCAATGTTTGAACTAAAAAAATCAATTTATGGAATTACTATAATATATCTTTCTACTTACAAGCGTTTATAAATTATAATCTAATTTTGGCTTTACTTGTTTATATCAACATACGTACATGTAAAAACACTTTTTATTTTTCGAATACCTGTCATGATCAAATCATAAATTTATATTCTACTAGTTAACCGGGCAAACGTTGTTTTGCCATATAAATTATTTCTAGTTTCTAGATAAATTTTAGTGTAGACAAAAAGAAACTTACTTATTATAAAAAATAGGGGTTGGTGATAAGAAACCAAAAATTTAGGGTTGTATGTATATTTTAATGCCACATTAAAAAATAAAACAAAAATTTCGACCAAAATTTAAAAAAAATTAAGGGTGAACAACCCTTATCACTTAGAGATATGAAGTTACCGATTCTCCGACCTACTGAATACGCATATAAAAATTTTCTTTGAGTGGGATGAAAAATGATTAAATTACTAAAATGGCTATAAAGAAATAGGGGTTGGTGATAAAAAAACTAAAAATTTAGGGTTGTATGTATTTTTTAATTCCACATTATAAAAAAAAATAAAAACAAAAGAATTTGTCCAAAAATTTAAAAAAAAGTTAAGGGTGAACAACCCTTATCACTTAGGGGTATGAAAAATAGATGTTAGCCGATTCTCAGACCTACTGAATACGCATATAAAATTTGGTAAAAATCGGTAAAGCCGTTTCGTAGGAGTATGGAAACAAACACTGTGACACGCAAATTTTATATATATAGATTATAAAAGTTTCATACATGTACGTAAATGGTACATTTAACTAAAAATTAGCTTGATAAAAAATAACAATGATCAACTTAGTGAAGTTCTGTCACTGATTAAATTAAATTTATAATTATCGATTGTTTTATGTCCTTAAAAACAATAATACATTTAAATAATGTCCAATTAAATGAAGTACAGTGCATTAATAATTTCATTTAAATATTCATTCACATATTCTTTACATTTATTATTTTAAATAAATTTTGCCTATCATTTCAAGCGCGAAATGTGATAAAGTGGACGTGTGTTGATAAAATCCGCTGCGATGGCCAATGTTTACAAAACATTGCAACAACGATATGATCGCGGAAATATTTTTAGTTATAACGGACATTCTAGCGACATCTCGGAAAGATTTTAAGAGTTCAGTTTAATGTTATTGAATCGGGCATTTGACAAGTGATCGTGCATAGAATTGAATGGCGAAGTAACCGTCTACCTGTAATCGCCCGCAAGGACACGGATTTCAATCAGCAGCATTATTAAATTAAACACCAGCAATTAAAGATACAAAAGCGAAAAAAGGGGATTTGTTTACCTTTTTTCACTCGTTACACTATTTTTTACATCCTTGTTTAGTATTCAATATTAATAAGCCGTGTCTATCAAAATAAAAAAATTCAGAATATGGGGCAAAGTGGGCCCCCACCCATAAAAATTTTGCTATTACCTACCTTTGTATTATTTTTTTGCTTGTATTTTTTTTTTCAATTCTTACTTCGAATTTGTTGATGTGTGTTATTTTCCCCTCTTATTTATCAAAAATTTTAGGGGGCCCACTATGCCCCCAGGGGCCCACTTTAAATTCAATTTAGCTAAAAATTGGTGGAGAGGTAGCTTAGGGCCAGGAGAAGGTAGTGGGATACTTTTTGAAGTGAAAACTTTTCTAAAAAGGCACTAAACGACACTAAAAAGAGACAAACATATTTGCGTATATGGATTATCTTGCGGGAGAATAAGAGAACGCAAATGCAAAGTTTCCTATTATCCCCGTCTCCTCTTTGTGCGATGCTTCGTAGCTTCCCCCCTAAGCATAGACGTGTGTATGTGTGTACGTGTGGGTTGAAGTTGACCGGTTGATGTTTTTGTTTGGAGAAGGTTACTAGGATACTTTTTGAAGTGAAAACTTCTTTAGAGAACACTAAACGACACTAAAAGGAAACAAACATATTCGCTTATATGGTTTAGCCTACGGGAGAAAAAGAGCACACAAATATAATGTTTTCTATTATTTCCCTCTCCTCTTTGTGCGATTCGTAGCTTCCCCCTAAGCATAGACGTGCGTGGGTTTGTACGTGTTGGTTGAAGTTGCCCTGTTGATGTGTTTGTTTGAATAAGACTTACTAAGTGTAGGATACTTTTTTTAATACTTTTTGAAGTGAAAACTTCTTTGGAAGATACTAAACGAGTTTTCTCCGTCTCTTCTTCGTGCGATGCTTCGTAGCTTCCCCACTCAACATGCAGCGACCAAAACGATCAAATCTTATCCGACAAAACCGTAATGCAACTAGGATTCAAAGGATTGCGAATGAAAGGACTGAAGAAGAACAAAAATTGCACGTGAAAAGCGCCGTGTTGGTATGACTCGACTTTGTGCTTCTCAATCACAAGAGCAAAGCGAGGCGGAACAAAGTTTGCCGGGTCAGCTAGTTTGGTAATAAAAATTTGTAATTTTTAATTTTTATTTTTTGCTAAAGAGATGATACAGAAAACAAATAAACCAGTTTTTCGCTATTATCTTGAAAATCATTAGAGATAAAGAAAAACGGGTTTCATATTCGTATGTAGAATTAAATTTTACATTATATAATATGTTAAAATTTACAGTTATCAACACTTATGTAATAATTAAAAATGGTCATTAACTTAAAAACTAATTAAGATAGCGCAACCAAACTCGGATTAATAAATTCCTGGCATTGTTTTTCATCAGTTTGGAAAGTTAGGGGAAAATTAGAGAGGTAGTTTTATTTGATCAGGTTTGAATTTACAACCCATTTTCCAAAATATTGATGTTATCGGAAAACTGACTTCATATCTTTCATCCCCTTGAAAAACTCAATCGATTAGCGTTTTCCATTTTCTTCTAGCTGAAAAAAATTTTTTTTAGTCCAAAAAGAGTCAAGTGTAACCTCTTGATGTTTTTGAGAGGTCTTTTGTCAACTATGGAAAATGGAAAAACTAAATCTGCCATTTTATAGATCCTTATCACGGCATGAAAAAAGTGTAAAAAGTTTTGTTGTAACTTTTATGGTTCTCGAGAAAATCGCATCGGAAAATCATTTTTCACTCTCCTAAAAAAATATTTGTTTTAAATCTCATTTGATGTATTATTACATGATGAACGCCATTCCCTTTACCGTTTATGATTATCTTCATTAGTTCCCGAGATAATTAGTTTCAAAGTATTGCAGCAAGTACATGTTACAAATAAATGCGTTTGTAGTGTAAACGATTTGTGCTATTAATCCGGAAGTTCTGTAAATATGATAATAATAAGCTGTTCTACACAATGGCTTAATTAGTTTTGAATAATTTTTACCAACACAAATTAAAATGTCAGGCGCCTCCGCCAAATTTTGATTGACGAATTTAATTTTACAGAAAATTAAAAATTTATATTTTTTATTGCTTATTACCTACTAAAATATCTTTATTGATAAAATATTTTAATAAATATTTGTAATTTGACTTAAGACTAAAAAGATATACGCTAAATTCAAAGTGCATAAATCAACCATAAAATAATAATTAACTTCATCGTAGGGCCTAAACGAAGAGAGATCACTTGAAACTTTACAAGGATATATTGATAAGAATTAATCGTTTGTTTAGATTCTGAAAACCGAAGTTGCAAATTCCAACTTTTAATTTCGGACATAAAAAAGAGAAAAGATTCGACTTTTTTATGTCAACATCTTTTCATCGATGTTTCGACCGAAAATAATTTAACCAAAAAAGTTCGACCCTGTCTTTCGACAAAAATAATTTAACTTAAAAAGTTCGACCCTGTCTTTCGACCGAAAATAATTTACTCACATTGTAAAACGAATCTTTAATTGTTATATGCTAATACGATAGTCTATGTCCTGTTGATACATATTATACATAGCGTTTTTGCAGTAAGTTTTAAACATTTGAAATATTTGTAATATAATGATTGCTGAAATAAAACAAAAAATGGTATTTAAAAAACATTGCATAATGTGGAATAATTTTTTATTTAATAAGAGTTGAAAACATATTTCTGTACATAATCAAGAATTACAACAGTCAACTTAATAAGTATATAGGGTAAAGTACCCAATCATTGGCACTTTAAGAGAGAACTGCATGTCAGTCAGGAATTATATTGTCATAAAATCCCATTTACATTAGTTACAAAACATGTGACAAAATCAAAGAAAATACTTTAATCTTTGTTTTTTATAACAGTTTTAAAGTGATTGAATAATAATAAATAAACATATGCTCAAAATCCAAAAGACTGCGGAAAATCCTATTATTGGCATAGAAAATCTCAATATTGGCCCCTACTCGTCTAATTATTGGCATGTAGTTCAAGTAGGAGATATGTAGGTACCTACCTATCAATAAAGTTGAAAATACTTACTTAACGTATAATTAAAACAATATTTTATTAATTAAATATCTGCCTTTATTTACATAAGTAATCTATCCTATAGTAGGTATTTAAAATGTTTATGCCTATCATAAACACTTTATCTTATGCTAGCTACTAGTTTCACTTCATCAGTACTTAAATGGCTATCCTTGAGATCTTTTAACATTTATGCTTAACGACCAACAAAATATTAATGAGTCGGATTATGAACCTACTTAAAAACAAATACTCAACATCCCTATTTTATACCCTACCTAGTTCGCAGTGTTCTAGAACCAAAAAGTAACATTAAGTTAATTTCTGTTATTGTTAACTTTTTGTTAGTTCTAATATGACTATCATGATCATGATCTAAATGAATAAAAAAAAACAATATTAGCACTCAATATTCTATTATGGGCACTACTGCCAATAATTAGCTTTTAGTTATTGGCACGGGTGCCAAGAATAGGATTTTGATAAATTCTTGATCCATATGTTGGCACATGTAATAAATCAATGTGATAAAAGATATATTCAGGAAATAATCTTTGAATCTATTGCCTAAACGTGTAATTAAGCATATCAAATTAATTCAAAAGTATCTATTAGCCGAATAGCTGCGATATACAATGATTAAAAAAGGTCTCACCTTAAGAAAAAAACAAAATAACTACACCAAATCACAAACACAAAATATCCGCTGTTGTATCTAAATCGCCATATTAGTTATTGGAACAGTGTAGTCAAATTTGAACAGAAAAAATATACTATTGTACAATTTAATGCATATCAAACTTGAATTATCTATGGTTTCCTTGTTTTTTCGAATTAAAACATAAAGTGCCAATAATTGGAGGAGTGCCAACGATTGGGTGTTTTACCCTATAGGTATTGTAGTGACATCTATCAGACGTTTACAAGCACGCGAAAATCAGCTGATATTTAAATTGTTATGATGAAAAACAATTATGATACAAACTTAACTTAGTAGTCACTATCATACCCTAGAAAGTCTGCATATTGTTTATGCTGATAAAGATGCATGCAGCAAACTGTAAATGAAAATCTGTATATGAATGTCTTAGAAATCCAAGGAAAGGAAAATGAATTTTAAGAAAAAAATGTTTGCAAATGAATTTGTATTTGGTTTATTTGACAAATTTAACAGCACAAAGCTATTACGTTTATCCTAATTTCGAGAGAATAATAGTTGCGTTTTCTCCAGTCGCCGTTAGGTCAAACCACGAGAAGTGCCTTTAAACAGTGTTATTAATATTAAATTTTAAATTAAATATGCAACCTAAATGCCAAATCTTGATTATGCCTAAATCGTTCTCATTAGCAATAACCAAAAATATATGCATACAATATTACACTAACGTCGAAACGTAATGGAAATCAAATTTGAAATTATATAATCAGTATAAACACAAGCAACTGAGGCATTTAAAAGTCTCGTTGAAACAAACAGTTCTTAGCATTAGGATAGAACCAACAATTAGCCGGAAATAGAGAATCATGAACGTAAACAATGATTCGTGCTACCGTGAGAACTAAAAATTAATCTAAAGCTGGATGTCTGTCTGTTGTATGTTTGAGCGCGTCATCTTGAAGTTTACTTAAATAGTACGTTGCAGTTAAAAAATATTTCGAGACGGCTGTCGTTTGCAATCCGTCCATTCGTTATCACTTGTAATTCACAATACGATGCGACACGCACTTGAAGAGTTCATAAATTTGCCTTCGACATATTTCATTTATGCGAAGTAAAACGCGTAAAACTGGTTTACAAATTTGCAATGACATATTTTATGATAAGGCGTTGTAAAATCGCGGGACATGGTCATCACACAAAGCCGAAATTTTTGGTCTTGATGGCAAGCAGCAGCTTCTGTCGTAGTACACTGCGGCTGCTGTAGAGCGGGATGTAGAGACGCGATATGCATGTGTTTGCTGTCGGAAGGTGTCCGTCGTCCGCAGGTCGTATCGTCACTGTCGGCATTGGCTGGAAACCATCTTCACTTGCGGGCAACGCTGGTGATCCCGTCCAGAAATATAACTATGAAAATAAGACAAAACATTAATAAAATGCACAGTGATCTCAGAGATTCGTAAGAAGTTACCAAGTCTTGCCGTTCCATATGTGTCATCTTCTCAACTATAGACCATACCCATCGCTTGAACTTGACAAGTCGTTCGGCGCTCTCACCAGATTCATCGTTGAACGACGTGTACGAAATGAGCACCGATACGTTGATATCGCCAACGCCGTTGAGCAACAATCGCAAATCTTCGGCGGTTAAGCCATCAAGGGCACCTTCTGGCAGAACATCAAATACTCCTGTTCGAATATGCTGAAAAACAGATTTTTATCAACATAATACAACCAAATTTCTTCAAAATTATAAGACTTACTTCGATCGCTTTTTCTTGAGCTTTTACCATTCGATATTCTGCATATTTTCTCACATAGTCGTACACATTTGACGCTGTTACCTCGACGTCCTTCCCCCCTGGAACCAACTCCAAGGTACCACATCCCTCTTCAGCGCACAAATCTATGCTAAAGTTCAAATCCAAAGCAGCAAATAGACTGTTACTATCCTTCGTTTCGGCGTCCACTACAAGCTGTCTAAGTGACTCGTAAACGACCGGGTCGAAAAAGGCAAGATCGTGGAACTTTATGGGTCGCCCAAGAATAGACTTGAGAACGTGTCGCGTAAGGAAAATCGGGCACAATTCGTTTTGTAATAAGCACAAACCAAACAACCTGTACGACATAAAAAAATATTCTTTTAAAATACTTATTTAAAAAAAAAAGCAGAAAAACTAACCTTCCAACGTTCCTAAAAGCATTCAAACGTTCAAATGATCCTTTGCCCTGCCTGGGTGCATAGAATCCTCGCTTGCCAGGACAATAAAACAGAGGCGCATTGTCTTCTTCGTCGGCTGGCGGCGCTTCCTCCGTGCTCTGTCCATCGCCGGTCCTGCCAGCGCTTTTACGACATCCACTGCGATCGTTCAACGAAAACACATCTAACTCTAGCAGTGCCTCAGAAGTTATGTCTTGTTGAGAATGAGAGTGCGCTAATATCATCTCTACTGCCTCCTGTACTTTTGTGCGCAATGAATCCTCCGATGACATCAAGAGCAATAATTGTGCGGGAGTTAGCTCCAACAGCATTCCCGTAATCTTACCCGCGATCGACGGGTGCAGGCTGTACACGCGTGGATACAGTCGTTCGCCGAGTTGTTGTTGGTGTGAGGTAAGATGCTCGTTGCGGTTTGCATTCGAGCTAGACGGATTGGTCGTGCTACCAGATTGGGACGGCACCGGTCCGCTAATGTCAGGCATAGAGCTAGAATTTTCGGCGAGTGTTGCTTCCGACGGAATGAATGGCCGCACGTCGGCATTCATCACCCGCCTACTGTGATCACGAGAACGGGATGAGCCCCTTCCGGGAGGGCCTGTTCGACGAAGGAACTCCCGATCTCTCCGCAAACGTTGCAACACATTATAGTGAGAAAACTTGCCAACTTGAGCGCTTTCCAAATTGGGTAGTTTCTCATTGGAAAGGAGAGCCTCGGCAATTGCAGTGTAGAAACTTCTAGCAACACCAGAACCTTCACCAGGCTCTTCCTTAAATGTAACCTTCACGCGGTTTACCGCTAGAGGTGGCTGAGAAGAAGTATGTGTACGACGATTGTAGTTGTTGAACTGCGTGTTGAGCTCCTTTATAGTTTGCAAAATCAGTTGAGTCCTATCTCTCTCCATCTTCAATAAAGTCAGGTCACGTTGGTGGTTATTACGCAACTTTTCCATGTCGCGTCGGAACTTGGCTTCTTTCACTGGAAATCCGCCGAGTTCGGAAACGATCGAGCCCTGTTCAAGCGCAACGTCTTCCATAAACACTCGGCCGAATAAATCAAGTGAGAGACGCCATCTACCAAGCAGCAAGTCTTGAGATACGGATTGACCGATTGTCGGGCGAACCAAATCGGCTGCAGTCATATCCAATTTGTTCTGGGATTCTTCCGTTTCCTGAGAGGGTGATACTTGTTCAGATTTAGAAGGCTAAAAAGCAACAATAATATAAATTACGAATATATCGGATAAATTCGTTTTCAATATGGGGAAAAATATTTTACTAAATTGTACACTTCGTATCTGTCCGCAAGCGAAAGTTTTACGAAATGCGGTCATCAGAAAGTGATTTTTTATGGGGAAATTTAGTGATGTTCAATGATTTCTTCAACATGTAAACATGTATCATTTCCCATATTTGGTAGATAAAATCATTTATTAAACTCACCGTTGGCCCAGCTCCAGCTCGAACGATTACACTCTTTCCAGGACTTCTAGATGTTGAAGCACTTTCTTCCTTATCCTTAGTATCGTCACCAGATGAGGTCTTTCTTGGCGATACGATAATTTGAGGCCTCGAAGAAGTAGAAGTTTGCTCTTTATTCAACTTCGCCTTTTTCTCCTCTTTGTCTTCTTCGCTATCACTGTCTGTCTCCATTGGCATTGTAGGCGCCGTAGCTTGCTCCTTATTGCAAGATAAATCCTGTGGGCGATCCTGCCCACTTGCTTCGTCCTTTTTCTTGCTGTCGTGTTCATTGGGCGAAGTGCTAAGATTAGTTGAACTACCACTTGTCGACGCAGCGGTTGCTCCATCTTGATTACTATTCGGATACGTGATTGGATGAGGCCCCATCACATTAAAACTTTCTGAAATAGGATGATGTGCCTTTGCAGGTTCCCTCATTGCAAAATTACTCGTTCTTGAGGATAAACTTAATCTCTCCGGCAGAGTTTCCAAAGGATTTGCTGGATTTGTCGAATTTAATGACTTAGAAGACAAGCAAATGGGTTGCTTGGGAATACCAAATAAATCTTCACGCCTAGCGTTTGGTTGTAACAAATGCGGTTGGTCAGCCAACGGAAGAGCTTCCGACATGGGACTTTCGAATGGGTCCGGTGGCGGACACCCCAAACACAGAGTGCTCTCTGATCGCTGGAAGAACGAATGTTTGCGACCCTTGCCACTGCTATTGCCCAAGAGATTAGTGCTACTATTAATGGTGGAGTCAAATGCAGCAAGGTTTGCCACCTCCTGAACATCTAGCGATTCAGTTTCCATCGCTACACCAACCGGAATTTCCTCTTCACCTTCCTCATTCTCGTTTTCGTCAGCTTCATTCCAGTTGGCAACTTCACGTACCTCCTCTTGCACATCGTGTGAGCCGCTGCGCATAAAATAAATCAGCGCGTCGAAAACGTAAGCAACATGCTTAAGTGCGGAGACGTCCAAAACCGGCAAAGAATCTAGATGTTCGCTGTTGTGCGCTCTCATGAGCGATAGGCAGTAGGATAGGAACTCTCGACGAGCGGCTGTACCATCAACACCTAAACATTTCAGTGAAATATTCGACTTTGGCATAATAAAAGTGTGTTACCTTCGCGTTCGGGGCGAGATCTCGTGGTGTCCCCACATTAGTGAATCCAATCACACGCGTACCGGAGTTTGTTGTAGCCGTTGGAATTTGTTGAACCTGTTGAGTTCTATGTACTGTCCGCACAGGGTTGGCCGCGGGGGGAGCCGAAGCGGCAGCAGCAGAAGTCGATGCCGCTTGACCAGGGTATGTCGTATCAGTAGAATGCGTTAAAGAAGCACCGAATCTTAACTGAGCTTCGGTCGCATCCATAACAGTCAACAACCAATCCCAAGTTGCTTTCAACCGGAATTCTAGATAAATCTATCAAAAAAGAGAAACAATCGTCAATCAGCGAGTATTAGAAACTAATGTGATTAACTTACTTGAATATTACTGATATCATCTTGATTAGTCTGATTCCCAGATAGCATCAAAGGCAACAAATCAGAAATCTGTCGAATAACTAGTCCGAACGCCCTGGCAAGACAACTGGCAGTCGTAGCCATAGTCACAGGTTCTGTGGTGGCTGTTACTGGAGTGCTCGTAGATGCCGAGCGACGCAACGAGTTGCTATCAACGAAGACCAAATTGGAGTTGCCAGAGAGTTGACGGAGATGCGATCGCGACACCTCTCGCGATCGAATCGCCCACTGCATATTCTGTGGCGCGAGGTTGGTACGCGGCCCGTGCCCGGCACTGCTGTAACGGCTTCTTTCATAGAGGACAATGAAAACGTCAGAACACGCACACCAAACAACATGCCAATTAAAAATGGTTAATAATTTTGTTAAAGCAAGCACTAAGTAGTAACTCAGTCGATTAAAATAATAATAATAATAATAATAATCAGGTAAATTCTAAACATCAATCTTAATATAGATGAAATGTATTGGAAAAGACTTACCTCCGCCGTTCAAGTTGGTCCTCGTTTAAAGAGTAATCCTCCGTGTCCTGCTCGTCCGTCTCGCCTGCTTCACTTTCCTCCTCCTCCTGCTGGCTAGATTCGCCGCTCTCATCTTCAGGGAAAAGTAACATACCTAATTGTAGACAATTGCAACGCATAGAAAGAATAAGAAAGCAACAAAAGTTAGGGTATCTTCACTACCTCCTCCCACACTCCAAAACCAAATAAAAAGCAAAGCTCTAAACAGCAACTAAATACGATCAAAACCAACTCACCTGTATCTGACCCAACCGTAGCTCCAGTTTGCACAGATCTTTGCGCAGAAGCTGCATCTTGATTACTGTGATTGTCATCGCTATCGGACTCAGTCTCCACCAACAGATCCAATTCTGTATCGCTGTCATCACCTTGGCCGCCGCCGGCTTCCTGTTGTTCAGCGGGCGCCTCTTGCGATTCCCCTTCGTTCATTCCAACGCTAAGCGAATGCGCTCGATAGTCCGATGTATCTGCAAGCTCCGAAGCATTGTCGTCATCATTATCAATAGCCATATTCTCGGCATCGATCGCATCGGGAATCGCGCGGTTTACCACCAAAGTGCGGCCGTGATTTCTTACCGCTTCTGATAATAATGGATATGGAGTAGACAGCGGTAATTGCGATGCACCATTTGGAGCAATATTCGCCGCTGGTGCAGCAAGTGGATCTACTAGGAATAACTCCTCAGATCCACTGATTATTTCATTTATAGTGGTTGCGAGCGAGAAAGGCGCTGTAGGTCTAGCAACACCTAATCTCACCGGGGCAATCAAAGAATCGGCAATTTCACAGAGTTCTTGGATGGCAAGTTTCACCATTGAACGGAATACTTGTTTACAAATGGTGATCGGTTGATTGCGAAGATTTATAGTTGTACGCTTCTTACACACCGGAGCAAGTTCAATGTTAAAGATAACATAGATACGCACAACAGAACGCATAAATCGTCTAGCTACTTCTGTAGCAAACGTGGCGTGTTCGGTGTCTTGAGACTTCATCTCCCTGACAAGGGTTTCGATCAACTTGTCTAACGCTTCGGGATAACACTTCACAAGCAGCGAGTGCGTAAACTTATCAAGAAGAGTAGTTCCACTCTGAGCGCCGATGTAATTCGACGTGTCTTGATCCTTTTCCTTCATGCCAGTCATGATCATGCTGTGAACAGCACGCCAATCACGAAGTAGATGTTCAAGCGCGCGTCGACTGAACTTAGGAGGCTCCAAGTCGTGTTCAGGCATGTCAACTTCAACTTAAAATTAAATATCAATGAACAAAAATACAAAACACGCACCCACAAAATGAACAATTCGATGCAAATGTTTCAAACATAATAGTTAAGCTTTTATCAACAAAAAACCTAACTTAGTAGGAGTGATAATTAATTTTGCTCAAATACAGCGACCAATTGAAATAGGAACATTTAACTGGTGGATTGATGAGCAGTGTACTTAATATTTATTACTAAATGAATAATTATATACTCACTGTCGCTTGAAGGGGTTTTGTTTCGTGAGTTAGCTGATGCTGTGCGCGGCCGCAACCCGCGATACTGATTTTGTTCGTGGTTCTGACGACCCACAGTCTGAGCCAGGAAAAGTAGAATGTTTTCGCCACTATATCATATAAAAATTAATCAAAATAAACTGTACAAGTTTTTTTTAAATACATACCGGGCATTAGGTTGCATAACTAGGTTGGTATCCCTAACCAACCGAATCAAAAGCTCATACCGCACAGTTTGGTTCCCCATTACAAGGGCCTTGCACTTGCACTTCTCCCAGCAATCGCAGTAAGCTGTAGGCGCTATTCTCTTCAGTTTACAGTCATGCCCTTTATGGCACACCCTCGCGCATTCCGTGCAACAACATAACGATCCTGTCAGGCCGCACGTCCTGCACTCAAAAATATCCTGATTTATGTGCTTCGCCCCGGTCCATGTGAAACTGCAAGTGTCATTACAGCAGATCACATGCAGCGGCGAGTGATCTGGATTGGACCCCTTAGGGAATATCATCTCTTCCTGTTCGTGAGCTGTACCTAGCTGAATAATCCGCTCAAACAACTCTAACGCAGCTTGATAACAGCGTGACGATACCGCAGACATGAATGGAGTTTGACCTTGCGAATCCTTTGCACACAACAATTCAATCAGATGCGGCGTAAGTGCACTGGATTCAAACAGCAATGCGCGCAAGATAGCCATCGCGTTAGCTCTGCGCTCAACAGGATCTACAATAAGATTAGTCGCACTGTTGCTGCCGCTCTTGTTCGCATTTCCCAGACCCATCAAACTGTCTTCATCGCCAGAAGTAACTTCAAAGTTCTCTGGTGGCCAAGAGTGTGTTGGAATCGATTCCTCTTGGAGGAATAGCTGCTCGCCAGAGTTAGAATTGTTAACATCATTGCGCACTACGCGGCGCATCATTTCGCGGATGGAGACAGAACGCGAACCCACTGCATTAGTGATAACGTTGATGCATTCCAATCCAGCGTTGGCGGTTGGCGCAGCAGCAGCGGGCGCCTCAGCATCCGGTTCTTTGTTCGACGTTGGTGTACACATGTTCACCACAGCGTGGAAGATATTGCGATTGCCATCACATCGTTCATTGAGAATTGCTTGAACAGCGTTTGAATTTGTTTCTAACAACAAAATATAACTTTAGTATGAAAAATAACTTGTAATTAAAATGTCCCAAACTAAATTATATTAAGTAAATGTTATACTTAATTATATACTTAGTTAGGTTATAATATCGCTCAAATTTAGCGACCAATCTAAATCAGTTATAATTTGACTGGTGGATTGATGAGCTTCGTAAAATTACAAGAAAACCGAACTTACTGCATTCCAATTCCAACTGAATTAATATTTGTCGCGCGCCGTCAACATCACAACGCAGTATTTTCGGCATAAGCAGCTGATGATCCAGCGCAAAGATAATAATGGCGACTTGGTTCTTCAAGTTGGGGGCCGTACCGGCTAAGACAACCGATCCAGCACCAACGCTCTTGATCGGTGGTAGATCTATCGCTTGCGGATCTTTGATTGCATCGGCACAGTCCTTCGCCAAAGGATAAATTGTACTATTGCCATCGCGAAGAATCAAAATCGTTTCCATACTCTAAACAAAAAATTGCAATGTAAGTTTCAATATATACCAGGTGAATTATTTATATTTATTTGCAATTCAATAAATACAATTTAAACCTCACCTCAGCTGCAGACGTAAGTGTAATATTTTGAGGATACAACCCCATAAATGAAGCAGTATCACTAGGAAATGGATTATCCTGTTCGACACGTCCAGAACAAATGTTGTAGATCACATAGCTCAGTTTATTGCCGTTGCGAACGACAGCATGCACACCGTGAACATCCACGGCGATTGTTAAAATGTGACCGCCATGTTCAGGTAGCTGGATACGTCGTGGTGTTTTTTGGAAGCAATCGGGTGCCCGGAAAGTCGCATTTGACTTCAAAACCTTTGAAAATACAATTTTTATTATGAGTTGAAAATGCACGTTTGAATAATTGATGTTCCTGATGACATTTTCTTCAAGTAATTGTTACAAATAAAGATTTCTGAACATCAGGCTATAATATTGCTCAAAATAGCGACCAAATAAATTTGTTTTGTTAATTTTCTGGTGGATTGATGAGCATTGTAAATTAGATCAAAGTAGTACATTAATTAATACTTACAAGTAAATCATCTTTGCGCATTAGACGACAATCCTGCAATATATCATCAGCTTCCTTGTTACCATCACGATCGCGAGAATGTGATGTCGGAAATTTGACGGCAGCGTACGCTCCGTCCACTTTGAGTACTTTGCCAACTGGAACAGTGCGTGTATCTTCAAGAAATATAACATCTCGAAGGAACCATTCTTCTTCGTCCTTACGCTGTTCAGTGCCCTGTTCTTGTCCAGAAGGCGCCATACGTCGTTGCCGTTCTGACAATTTAATTTAACATTTAATAAATGACATACAAAAATGCCGAGAAATTGTCTTAGGTAAAAATATATACACCAAATTTAATACTAGTGCGGAAGTTAAATTACCCAAATGTTAATTTAGCTCAAAATAGCGACCAATCTAAATTTGTACATTTAACTGGTGGATTGATGAGCACTCAAGTAAATTATTTTACATTTCATAAACTAAAAAGATCACTTACTGTGGCTATTTGTAATGCTCCCTGTGTCACTACAAGTACTCGATGCTGGAGAAGGAGGCGGTGGCATATCTAATCGATCAGTGTTCTCCTTATTCTTCGATGATAGGTTACTCAAACCACTGGTTCCTGGCATAGGTCCACCATCTTTGCTCTTCTCCGTTGCATTTGTGATAATCTTAAACGTGCATGTGTCATTTAGGGTCCACGCTGCGTTCTGCAGCTGGCCCACTTTGGGGATTCCGCCCGTGACTGTCACACCGAGAGCACCACTCTGGTACATAGGACTGTTCTTCATGTATACCTGAGCTCCGGTAGTAAGATCTGCTTGGCTAGCCCGTTGGCGGCGGAACTTACCGCGATATTTCTCCCAAAGACGTTTGCGTTGAGGATAAGGTAGCACACCCCTATATTGAACGATTATAGTGACTAAATAGTAAACAAGATGCAGTTTATACATACCACCAATATAAAGCGCCACTTTCTAGCTTGGCCACAGTGTACAACGGACAAGTGTACAACCCTGTAATCCTATCCGACTGAAATTCGATGTAGGCCTGGGCAACGTTGTCCAACTTACTCGACGCCGCGCTGAGTTGTTCATCTACCCATGTGGCGACTTTACCACTATCTGTTGCCACAGAACATCGCGTGGAACACGCGGACAACTGACTGATTTTCTCACCCACCAGCCCTAATTGTATTGCTTTGGGGTGGTAAACATTGGGATTCTGTAAATCAAGCAAAATAAACGTTAATGAGTATTGCTCTTAATTTGCAGTGCATTCTTTTTAAATAAGTTGTAAATTCAGTAAGACTAATCAAATAATCATGAAATAAATCAATAAATTGCAAATTTGTCATCATTATCAGTATTAACACTAAATGTTAACACAATTTGTTTGTATTTTTTTTGTAAAACTTATTCATTGCTAAGTTAATAATTTGATTGTAATTATTAACTCAAGATGGTGAATAAATATGTTTGATTTACCAATCTTTTGGAGGTGACAACAATATCAATAATTTTTGTCACTAACGAGAATTGGTGTAGCCTGTTCGAAATTAAGCGCTGGTTACTTATACTTACATCAGGGTGTTTGTAAGGTTCGGCATCGTTCCATTTCCATTGATAGAGTTGTCCATTGGTCGACAAAGCGATCAACTCACTGTACAATGTTGCAATCTGTGTGAATCTTCCTGCAGATTCGGGCCAGAATTCAATTTCGTCTGAGATCCACAGTGGACTTGCCCCATCTTTCTTTTTGTTGTCTATAGAAATCAAACCTTACAAATAAACATCTAATATACTCAATTGTGCTACAAAGTAAATAAAATATGTTGTAGAGAACCTAATGTACATTCAGAGGTAACTCTGACGTCTCCAATTAAGCTAGCAATACATTAATTTGGCTCAAAACAGCGACCAGTGTATAAATTTGCACATTTAACTGGTGGATTGTTGAGCAATGTAGTTTTACAAGTGTAAATTACGACGTTAAACGTACCAGTTTCTTTCTCAAATGCGCTATCTCTGAGAGCAGTCTCCAACCATCTGCGTGGCCCCAAATACTGACGTTCCCTCCATCGCGAGAAGCTATCACGCGTGATGGTGTCCCGATCCAGGCCTGAGCCAGAGTTGTTCGTTGGTGGAGCATCCCGATCAGCAAGGCGGTTACGACTCGAGCTGTTGCGGCTGTGGAGGAAGCTAGTTTGAGCAAGTAGCGTCAAACAGCGCGAAATCAATGTTAGTAAAAAATGCAAAAAACATAACGCAAACTCGATTTGTTTCGCCAGGAACCAAAATTGATAAACCAAACCACAAATTGTTAGTAAAAACCCTTGGAAAACACAAATCAATGAAAAACCTCAAAAATTGCAAATAAAAACGAAAAATGAAGAAAATGATCGCGAATAACTAAAAGATACTTTTTCAACATCGATTGTTGCTCGAAATGTTCTCATATGTAATTACTTGCGAATTCCCGACGTGTAGCCGAACATGTCCTCGGAGAACATGGCATCAGCATCGATGATCACAGAATGATCCGGATGGAAACCGCCGTCCAGAAGGGAAATCAAATCCTCCGGAACGTATGAGTCGGCTGGATCGTCCCCATCCTCGCCTTCTTCATCGTCGCGCGACAATAAATTATTAACCGCTAGATTAACGTCCAAATTTGTTCTCTGAAAACATTTACATACATTAATTCTCAAAAATCCAGGTGAATATAAATGTTTCAGGATATGATATTGTTCAATTCAGTAAGACTAATCAAATAAATCATTGTATTAACTCAATGGTTAGCATTTTTCATCCTTCACAATTATTATGATCATTAACATTGATTTTTTTGTGCATACCTGTAATTCTCGAATAATGAGATTGCGACTTTTGCCTTGCAGGACTACCTGAGCTTGTGTGACCAACTCCTCTGGCACGAAACTGGCAGGAATTGGCACCAAAGGTCGTCCGCTTCCGGAACCACTGGTTCCAATAATCACCGGGGCACCCCGGCTTCCTAAATTTCAATGAAGTATTAAAATCAACTCCAACGCTTTTATGGTGAATTCTATATGTAAGTTATTAGAAAACTCAGAAAGACTAATCATAGAATCATCAAAATATTCAATTCTTAAAAACGGTTCATCATTTGTCCATAAACAAGGCCTCCGTGATAAAATTCGAATCATTCAAATCTTAATCGAGGCGGCCATTTTGATATAAAGTAAATATTTGCTTACCGCTGTTATTTCCACCTCTAATAGCCGAATTTGAGCGCATGATGCGTGCACGCGTGCGGATTTGTCGGCTGCTACCGGTAGGCTTGCTGCTTGAAGCAGTGCCACCACCGCCTCCTCCGCCGCCACCTCCTCCACCGCCGGAACCGCCTCCGGCTGCACTACTTCCATTGTTTCTGTTTTAAAATACAATATAAAATTTATAAATGAAATGAAATTTTAAATCAAAATATAAATAATATATGCAGAAAGAAATGATTATAAGAATAGATTAAGTGAGGATAATCTTCTGATGAGATAATCCTCAATTAATAACCTAAACTCAATTTGCTTTTCCAATGTTTTGGAGGTGGCAACAACACTAAAAAATTGTTGTCACTAACGAGCATTGGACGAATTTTTAAGTTAGAAAAAGGAGAACTACAATGAGCAACTTACACTTTATTTGGATCAGTTTTTGTAAGATCCAATCTATCTGAAATGACACTGAATGAAACCCTGCACACGCGACCATCCTCCAGCAACAGGGCAATATGTGCCGGTCCTAAAACAATGCGCTTAACGCCAACTCTGAGATTGGACCAGACTGGATGTGAAGTTTGTCCTAGACGATTTATTCTATCGGCAACCTCCTTCAGCCTGCAAATACAACAAAACCGCAATGTTTCAAACCACGTTGCATAACGACATAAGCGATTGATGAAATTCAAAATCATTGCAATGACTAATACAATTGCATTCCTGGAGATGCAAATATAAATGCAATAGATTTGTGGGCGCAGGAGTGCCAACTGTATGAAATGCATGCATCCGCGACGTCGGCTATGTCCATCTCGGAGGAAAAAAATGGACGATGCAAACTGCATGATGCCCAGTTAAGAGCCTATTGTGAGCGTCTGCGGGCGCCTCGTGGACGCTATAAAGACGACCTACACGAGGCGGCTTGCTACGAACTGAGAACGTACCTATCGTTAAACTGCTCCTCGGTGCCCGGCAGAGGATGCACCACGAACTGTATCGACGACATCGTCGCACTGCACTGCCGTTTTTATTCACGTTTGCGCAAACCACCGCACACTAAGACCGATCGTGTTCTAGAACATGATCGGAAGACGTAGGCGATGGCGATGCGTCCGTCGGGCGTAAGCACTCGTTTGCTTAGCAGCACTTCCACTTCACCATGTTTTCCACGGAACCGTGCCAAGCGAGAAACGAGTGTGGAACGGACGACAACGGCGACTGCCCTCGGGCAAGGAACATGCGTACACGATGTGATCGACAGAGCTACCAACCCAACCGCCATACTTTTTGGGGAAAATGGCGAGTTGGTGTATTTTAAAAATTGTAAAGTATTAAACAACATACATTTTAATTATTAATGCAGAAAAACTTTATATTTTTAATTTTAATATAGTACAAAATAATATATATTTAATTCATAACAACTAAACATAATCGTAAAATTTGTGTGATAAAATTTAGGGACTTCCTAAAGTTAACCAACTAAAATAAAAACGAAACTATATAAAAGGCGCAAAATTTAAAAGGAAGTCGCCATTTTTTATCAAGTTTATTTATGTATTATTGGTAATTTATAGCTTACTATAAGTAGATTCATGAGTTATTTTATCTTTGGTAATATCAGCTGCAGACGAACAACCTATAATTAATTGTTAATTTTGTTATTTCTGCAATTATTACTATAACAAAATATAATTTCTTACCACACACAGCCATTGTCGAATCAAACTCCATTTTTAAAATATCCAAAATACGTTCAACGCCTTTTTGTCCACTGTGTGCCAACCCCCATAGAGCAGGACGACCCATAAACACCTTAAACCATATAAAATATTTATTTTATAAAACCAAGCTATGTCTAAGAAAATTCACCATTTTTGCCCCTAGCGCCAACGCTTTGAAAACATCAGTACCATCACGAATTCCGCCATCTAAATATACTTCTACGTTTTTACCAGATTTTTCAACTTCAGTAATTATTTCCGGCAAAGCTTCAATCTAAATATAAATTATTTAGTCAAATTTTTAGTTTGCATTGAGTTTTTTTTATCTTACCGACGCTGGTGTTCCGTCAACCTGTCGGGCACCATGATTAGATACAATTATTCCAGCAACCCCCAAATCGCACGCCATGTTCGCGTCTTCTTTTGTCAAAATTCCTTTGAGTACAATTGGTAGTTTAGTAACACGCATTAACCATTCAACATCTTTCCAGGTCAACGAGGCATCAAACAATCCGTTAACATAGTTATTCAAACCAGATATACCGTCCTTAGTTTCGTTAATTTTCGAAGCTTTCTCGCCTTGAAAATTTGCAAGTTTCAGATGCGGTGGAAGGGTAAACTTATTCCTCATATCGGCATAACGAATTCCAAAGAAAGGTGTGTCTACAGTCAGAACTAAAGCCTTAAAACCAGCTTGTTCAGCGCGTTTTATTAAACCTAGTGTTACTTCTCTGTAAATAAGTTTAACTGTTTTAACCGTGTTTCAAACTAGTATTAAGATAGGCAACAAACCTGTCATTATAAATATACAATTGGAACCATTTTATAGCATGAGGGGCAGCTGCAGCAACTTCCTCAATGCTGGAAGTCGCAATTGTCGAGAGAATAAACACAGTGTTATGTTTCTCAGCAGCTTTTACATTTGCAAGTTCACCATCAGCATGAGCCATACGTTGCATGGCTGTTGGTGAAATGCCTACAGGAATAGCAATTTTTCTTCCAAGAATAGTTGTAGTTAAATCACGAGAATTTACGTTTGTTAAACATCTCGGACGAAGTCGCAATCTAAAGATACATTTTAATTATAAAACAATCTAAGATCAATTGAATTATATATACTTAGAAAAAGCTTTTCGGTTGTTGTCCAAAGTTGTTTCCTGACCTGCGCCACTTTTATAATAATCCAATGCATTTTTAGGCAAGATATTCCTCGCATGCACTTCAAAATCGTCAACACAAACTAAATCCATCTTTAAATAAAATTACCCTTAATTCAGTCACTCACAAAACTATTGAATTTCTGTGCAACAGTGTGAACGCAACGAATGAAAATGACTTTATTTGAATAGCAGTGCGAATATGACCTCTTGTAGCGCATTATCTCTATCAGTTTTAATTACGTAAATGTTTAATAAACACATTCGCATGATATTAGAGTGGATAATAATGTGTACATGCGTTCTAGCAATGCATAGCACATGAAGCGCTCAAGTAAACATGAAACAATATTTATAATTTGATTAATTACTGGCTCTATTTGATAAGCGCTTCACATTTACGAAATTTAGCATGATAAACATGTTATTTTGGTTATTTCCATAGACAAATCTGGTTTCATAAAAATTCATATTTATTCGTGTTCTTCTTTTTTGTATTAAAATTTGTATCACTTTCCAAATGTCTTCATTTTTTGTTCATCATTTCTTTCAATAATTGAATAACCACTTACAAAACAATTCGCCTTGCCGAAATCATTCTTCACATATAAAAAAAATAATGCGTTAGGCAAAATTAAGCTAAATAATTAAATTAGCAGGACTTCATTGTCTTCTCCAGCTGATCCGCGATTGCCTCGAGGAAATCGCCGGTGTTGAGATAGTGACTTTCCTTGACGTTCTTTAAACCGTAGATCGATGCTGCCAAATCTTTAGTCATGCGACCACCTTCAACGCAATCAACGCACGCCTTTTCCAAAGTTTGAGCGAATTTTGCTAGGTCGGGAGTATTGTCCAACTTAGCACGGTGTTCCAATCCGCGAGTCCACGCAAAGATTGAAGCAATGGGGTTCGTGGACGTAGCGTTTCCTTTTTGGTGTTGACTAGATAGCAAACAATATATTAATATACAGAAACAAAAAATTAAGATTTGAAAAGATTTGAACGTACCGGTAATGTCTGGTAACAGTGCCATGGGCAGCTTCAGCTTCAATTGTTTTACCATCGGGACACATTAAAACCGATGTCATCATACCTAATGAACCGTAACCTTGTGCGACAATGTCTGACTGGACATCACCGTCGTAGTTCTTACAAGACCACACAAAACCGCCATTAGACTTTAAGGCCTGTGCGACCATATCATCAATCAAACGATGCTCATACCAAATGTTATTATCTTTATATTGCTTTCTGTAATCTCTGCAAAGCAAAAAAAAACGCAATTAAAACCATAAATATATTAAATAAATAAATTTTTCGTACTTTTCGTAAATCTCCTGGAAGATATCCTTGAAGCGACCATCGTACTTCTTCAGAATGGTATTCTTAGTGGAAAGATATAGTGGCCAGCCCTTGGCAAGAGCCACTTGGAAGGAAGAGTGCGCAAAAGCAGCAATGGACTCATCAGTATTGTACATGCCCATAGCAACACCACCGCCCTTGTAGTTGAAGAGGTCGTACTTGCGCACTTCACCATCACTAGCGGTGAAAATCATCTCCACCTTGCCTGGTTTATCAACAACAAAGTCCTTCGCCTTGTACTGATCACCATGAGCATGACGCCCGATAATGATCGAGTTAGTCCAGCCAGGTACCAACTTCGGAATGTTCTTGCAAAGAATAGGCTCACGGAAAACGGTACCACCGAGAATGTTACGAATGGTGCCGTTCGGTGATAACCACATCTTCTTTAATTTGAATTCCTCCACGCGCTGCTCATCGGGAGTAATAGTGGCGCATTTAATTCCGACATTGTGTTTCAGAATCGCGTTCGCTGCATCAATTGTGACTTGATCATCAGTCGAATCTCTGCATAAAAACAAAATGTTTAGGGGATATTGAGAATAAAAACCTGTTTTACTCAGGTAATAATTTACAATGTTGCACTGAGTTATAAAGCAAAGATTACCTGTAAGGTAGACCTAAATCATAATAAAGGCATTCAACTTTGACGTAGGGAAAGATTAAACGTTCTTTGATCTTTTCCCAAATAATACGTGTCATCTCGTCGCCGTCCATCTCGACGACTGGATTTTTTGCAACCACTCTGGACGCATCTGAAAACACATTACATTTTTACAAGCAGAAATATATTATAGTCATAAAATTAAAACTATTTAAGCGGCAGATATAAATAGATATAAACAGATATAAATATATTATTTGTTTGAAATTTGTTTTTAATGTGCACACGCTCATTCGCAAGTATTTTTAATGTTATTTGCGAGATGCACTTTGAGTCTCCTCCGATAGCACAACTAGAATATTGATTAGCGATGTGTTATTTTAAAGAGCTGCATGCACTTTAACTCCGGCCTCAAACCAATCAAAACAATCATTATCTATATCCTCCTAAATTCTATACTATACATCTATAGCAACCTCTCAAGTAAAATTTCTAATAAAATATTTCATCGCTTCATCGAATAATAAGTTACAGACTCACTTATTCATGGCAGACGATTGAAATATGCTTACTGGCAGGTAGCTAGGCAATAAACCCACCCTCGTCTACAAGTCAGTACTTGATTTATCGCTAGCAGATTTACAGATAAAAGATTCAAGAAACTTTTAGTAAAACTAGTTTTTGGGAAAAGATGGTAAACACGTGATACCCACAAGGTTCAAAATAGCGTATCGCCAGGCAAACTTTTATCTATTTATTTATTTTAAAATAATTTTAAAACTTAAACATTGCGTACCAAATTTTTATTTGTTTTTAATGTTGTTTGGTTCTGAGATGTCTCGAGGCGTATCCCAGAGATTAATTTCATTAATTATTTTATTGTTTTTGGCAGTAATACGCGATAAAAATATAAAACCAAAACATTTCACAATGTAAACAATTTACAATTCATAAAATAAATAGAAAACGAAATTTGTAGCTAATTGAACTCACTGCTACCTATTTAATTAAATAATTGATATAATCCTGCGATATTTTAGGAGCAATTTATACTGAAAATAATGTTTTTGTTTGTTTACAAATTGACACGAGTACAGTGCAAAGGTCAAACGTGAGCTGAACTTCGCCAGGCGCCCTTTTTACGACTTGTTGCACGAAAGCAAACCAACCAGACGCATTTATCGATTACGGAATAAAGCGCCCGGCAGCAATGCGTCATAACAAACCAGCGGGCGCCCATGCCGCCCGTTAAAAATCGTTATAAATTAAACGAATTTAAATCATTTAAATTTAACGCAAATAATCACGCAACCAACTATACACCCGGCGAATGAGGTGCTTTTCACGTGTTAATACAACTATTACGTAATATCAACAAACACACGCTGGCAAAAACAAATAATACTCCGCTTTGATTGAAAGTGACAGGTTTAGTGTACGAATAGCAGTTGTACTCACGTCGTTGTTGAGAGGCGACGGCCAGACGCGCATGGCCCCAGCCCGTTCTGCAGAACTTCGTCAGCGTGCCGGCCATCCTGAATGTGTATGAATAAGTTTTTTGTACGGTGGATGCTGTGATGGTTCACGAGCGGCGCGCGAATGAGCGCTGTGCGGCGTCGGCGGATTGCTTTATGCCTTTCTCTAGCCCAGTGGCCGGGGCTTGCTGCTGCCGGTTGTCGGGTGTAGGTTTGAGAGAGTTTGGAGAGCGGTCTTATCTATCTTCTATGCAGGCGTCGCACGTTTCGTTTCAGTCGTTTCGGAATTGAATGAAAACGTGGCAGAGCTTTGATGTTGCTGGTTATGGGTTGAACTGCGCGACTACAACTACAAACGTTTCAGCGGTTTCGGTGTATCTGTTGCGTTTGGCGCTTGGTTGCTCAGGCTGAGGGTTCACAACGAGCACGGTTGGGCACAACAGGCGCGCAGGAATAGAACAAACGCTATGCGTGAAGTTTAGGAAGAGTCTGAAAACAAATTAATAAATAATTATAAAAACACGCAATTGTAAGGTTAATTCACATTGGTTATGACTAAAAGAAACGTCAAATAAAAATACATAATTTCACAGATAATAAGTTACTGTTATTTTTTGCATAACTGATTCACAAAAAATATTTGTTGAAAAAATTATTCCACGCACTGATTAGATATTTGCGTTAAGGTACATATCAAATACAAATGTTGACGCAAATGTGCTTCATCCTAGCAGTACACTCATAAATTAATTTGTATTCTGGTTGCTAAAAATACAAGCAAACACAATGACTTCATAACAAATTTGATAAAATAAGCACAGCCTGGTTAATCACTTGTGCAAAATATTGCCAACCAAGGTCAAACTATTAATTCATATTCATGATACTTTAATTTACGTTTACTGTCCTTAATTATACACCCAGAACATCTAAAACAACTCCGTCTCTACTGACTTACTTTTTTATCCTCACGCTTATTACTGATTACTTATTATTGATGCAGGTAAATTCGATTAGCACCGCACAAAATAAAAACTTGTCAATCGCGTCCGCCGACGTACGAAACATAAGAAAGTTTTTCGCAACTTTGAACTCGCCCGAGCTTGCTGTTGATCCGCTTGATGTATGAAGTACGAATCGCGTTTAATCGGCGAAGAACACGTTCGCTCACAGCTCTCGCACGAGAGCCACGTGAAACACAAAAGAAGCGCACAAAGGACGACTTTTTTGCGTGTGGCTTTTTTTTAAGCGGCGCGCCTGAGTTTTTATTATACGTTCCGATGCGCTTTGTTACGTCTTCGTTTCGAGCTCTAAACGCTACCGCACTGGGAACCAAAGAGAAAGGGCATAAACAACGTGTGCACGACACGCAAATGCATTCACTTGCATACAAATTGTCCGGAAAATTTAATTTTGCAACAATTTACAGTTCGTTTGATTTAATTTCGTTTAATATAGGCAACTCCATAGGTTTATGTTACTCCGTGACGTCATGAAAAAACAAAATGGCTGCCGGATGTTGAATTCTTCTGTTATTTTGATTTATAAAAAGATTATGGTGGCTTTGGTAAGTGTGTATATCCTAATAAAACATCGATACATAATTTGCATTACTTCGGAATATTTACCGTTTTTACGACTGCCCATGTGATTTTAGCATTTATGGCCGCTTTTGGAACGATTTGTATATTGCCGGTCGGCACACTGCTGGTTTTCAGCAGACGCTTCGAACGCCCGTCGACCGCCGCACGCCGGCATGTTCTCAGTCAGTCTCGCTGCACGTTGCACGTCGTGAGGATCTGTGGCGATCAAGTGGCGGGTTGCTTTCGATACATCGAACCGGCGCGATATCGTCGACAGTTATTAGGGAATCACGACCGAAAACCCGATACCATTGAATCTTGCGGTGGGTGACCCTGCGACGCGTCCGTTTTGCCACCAGCTGAAAACGCACCACAACAACGCGCCACGGCAAGGCAACCCTTGTTGTGACGCCGTGAAACGCCCTCGCTTTCACACGAGAGCAACTAGTACACTTGAAATTCGTCATCTTATTCAACACAATTATCAACACGCAGAAGGCAGAAAGAAGAGTTTATAGTGATGGCAGTGTAGTCGGTGCGTGCAGCAGGCGGCGCATCTAATTGAATGCATTAAAAATGTAAGTTGTGTTTTGTTTTCTAAAAAAAAATCAAATACTCTTACATTCAGACACCCACTTATACTTTTCATTTTGTAATATTACTTCCGCACAAACAACTTTTGTTTTCTTGGCATCAGTGACCAGAAATTTAAATAGAAAAATAGGTAATTCAACCCGCACCGATTTTTAACTGCGTGTTAAATTTGTTTTATATTGTGTAGATGTATCGCAAGGAATAAGTTAGGGACAATATTGCCATCCAGAAAGTGACTGTATAAATAGACACCCAAAAGTCGAGCAGTAGTGGCTAGGTTTCGATTCGGATTATAATAACTTCGCACCGCGCTTGTTAGGCTGCTCTAGATCAGCGTCGCGACGCTCTACGCATCGCACGGTTGATATTTTAGTAGAGATGCGACATTCATTGTCTATTTAGGAAACACGCCACGTACACGTTGAACTATTCCACGGTTAAGAATAATTGTAGGTATTCAAAATGAACGAAATAAAAGAAATAAATATTAAAATTCTTTTTGAGCGCAGTTTTTTAGCAAAAACTTAATTTTTTAGTCATTATTTCAGCTTCGAGTGCATTGCCAATGAATTAGTTGCCATAGCAACGTATTGTACTTGTGAATTGAAAGGTATATAGATAAATTTCAATTATCTGAAGGTATATTTATATTTACTCGGATACTTATCACAATAATCAAGTTAATGGTTTCAAGCAAACATTCTTCAATAGATAATAATTAAATAATCTCATTTTTGTTTATTTCCACTTCAAAATCAGAGCTAAAAATATGTAAGGATGTTGTTTATATGTCAAGTCCTTTTAAACGTGAGAGTTTTGTTTGTTTATTAATGTAATAATGAACATTTCAAGTTAATTAAATCTATTAATAGAGAATGTACTTATTAAATGTGCTAATCTTGCTCTTCAAATTTAATTAATAAGTATATTATACATATAATAACTTAAAATATTACGTTACTGCAATAGATAAATAATAATTTACACTTTTGCAACATAAAAGTCAGCATTATTTTTAATGCGTGTAAGTTTTAAACATTCGTGCGTAGTTAAGAATCGTTAACCCCTTTCACCAAACAATAAAATCAGTTGATAATATTGATTCGAAGCGTTTGGAAGCAAAGTAATTAAATTGTTGACTTTGTCGCGACGACGCATTAATAAATTACGCAAAGTAATAATAAAAAAATAATTTAAAACGCTGAGAACACGTGCTAATAATAAAAAATCAACCGCATAAATTATTTTGGGAGTTTGTTGCCCCTTAACCTTAACCAACGCAAAATTTACATAACATAAATAAATAAAAACTTGATTTGCGAATTTAAATCTAAAAAAAAGTTGTTAGGAATTCAAGAATAGTTTTTTTGGTTTGTTGTTTTCGTATTGAAAATATTTTGTGTACCAATATTTTTTTAATTGTTGCCACCACGATAAGCAGTTCATTGCTGTTGGACACATAAAGTTATGTAAGTCAAGCGGATGATAAACAGTGCGCCTCTTACTCGAATCGAAAACCGTGCATATGAGCGTGAGCAAACATTATAATCGTCCAATCAAACAGCGCAAACAAATTCGTCTTTATCAACCGTCTCACTTTATCAGCGCGTTCGGTTTAACGCGTTCGTGTTGATATTTCGGAGAGTATGTAATACATTATAACATCACATTTAAATTCGTTCTCTTGCCATTGCTCATTATACAACAATTCAGTAATTTTCTCATTTTTTTTTCCAGAATGCACAAACTATTGTAGTGAATTTAGTGAATAAATTAAGCAATTAAAAAATTACAAAATGGCGCGGGGTGTTCTACGACTATATGTGCATACGCCGAATTTGCTGTTACTTCGAAATGGAGGAAAAGCAAGCAACAGATGGTTTTCAAGCACAGGAAGAAGTCTGCAGAAAGAGGCACAAAGTGCTGATAAGAAAGTTATCCGAGGGATTCCCTACAAGAATCTTACGATTGGCGTACCGAAAGAAACATGGAAGAATGAAAGAAGGTAATATTTTAATATGAAACTATTTAAACTTTGAACGAAAGAAAGTTATTGATTGAGTTTTATGTGGTTGCCTATGTTAAATTCTTATTTATATGAAGATGATTTAACATATGCAACTTTAAAGACATTTATTCAAATAAAATATGTATATTTGAATTATTTTAGAGTTGCTATGACGCCCGTTGTAGCTGCAACTTTAATTAAAAAAGGATTCAACGTAAATGTTGAAGCTGGTGCTGGCGCTGAGGCGAAATTCCGCGATGAAGAGTACCAGAAAGCCGGCGCTAAATTAGTGGATAAAAATGCCGCTTTTGACACAGATATTATTGTAAAAGTTCGGCAACCACTGGAAGCTGAAATTAACAGTTTTAAACCAAACAGCACACTGATATCATTCCTTTATCCAGCTCAAAATAAAGCTTTAGTGGATCAATTAGCTAGTAGAAAAATAAATGCCTTCGGTAAGTAATACTCTTCACATCTAACTTAAATAAATATTGTTAAATTATTGTTTAAATTTGAATAGCAATGGATTGCATTCCGCGCATTACCCGCGCCCAAGTCTTCGACGCACTGAGCTCAATGGCGAACATCTCAGGATACCGCGCTGTGGTAGAAGCCGCCAATCATTTTCCGCGTTTTTTCTCTGGTCAGATCACAGCTGCTGGTAAAGTTCCGCCAGCGAAGATTCTAATCATCGGTGGTGGAGTGGCTGGTCTTGCTGCAATCGGTCAGGCCAAGTCCATGGGCGCTGTTGTACGTGCTTTTGATACTCGCAGTGTTGTTAAGGAGCAGGTAGAATCAATGGGAGCCGAGTTCCTCACCATCGAATTGAAAGAAGAAGGAGGTACCGCCGGTGGATACAGTAAAGAGATGAGCAAGGAGTTTATTGAAGCGGAACATGCGCTCTTTGCAAAACAATGTCGCGAAGTGGACATTATCATCACCACCGCGTTGATTCCGGGTAAAAAGGCACCAGTTCTACTCCTCAAGGAGCATATCATGGCGATGAAGCCAGGTAGCGTTGTTGTGGACCTTGCCGCTGAGGCTGGTGGTAACATTGAAACAACTAAACCTGGAGAGGTTTATGTTTTAAACGACGTCACACATATAGGTTTAACTGATTTATCTAGCCGGTTGCCGACACAAAGTTCTACTTTGTATGCGAATAATATTTCGAAATTTTTATTGTCCATGGGACAAGAAAACCATTTTGATATCAATCTTGAGGACGAGGTCGTCCGGGGAAGTATTATTTTGGATAAGGGTAATATGATGTGGCCACCACCGAAACCTGTAGGACCACCGCCTACTACAGCAGCGGCAAAACCAGCGGAAGTTGCTAAGGTACAGGTGAAGGAAGTGTCTCCGTTGATGCAAACTTTAAATACTTCATTAGCTACATCTGCAGGTACTGTTTTAATTTCTTTCTTTGGGTGTCTTTCTATTTTTTAATTATAAATATTTATATTAGGTATTGGTGGTATTTTGGCTTTGGGAGCAACATCGCCCAATCCAGCCTTTACGTCCATGTTAACCACACTTGGTTTATCTGGTATTGTTGGTTACCACACTGTGTGGGGTGTAACTCCAGCCTTGCACTCGCCGTTGATGTCGGTAACAAACGCCATCTCTGGTATAACAGCTGTCGGAGGTTTATTGCTTATGAACGGAGGTTATTATCCCACAAATTCTGTTGAGGCTTTAGCTGCGTCCGCTGCGTTTATTTCCTTCATTAACGTTTTTGGAGGATTTGTTGTTACCAAAAGAATGTTGGATATGTTCAAGAGGTACGGTCTAATTACTATAGATCTTGTTTTGAGGTTAATTGATTTGGTTATGTTCGTTTTTAGACCTGGTGATCCACCAGAGTACAATTCATTGTACGCCATTCCTGCCGCTCTTTTCATGGGTGGTTATGGCTATGCAGCCATGGCTAATCTTGCGGAAGTTCATCAAGCTGCTTATCTTGCGGCTTCCCTCTGCTGCGTGGGTGCTCTCGCTGGTCTCAGCTCACAGACCACATCGAGATTAGGAAATAATTTAGGAATTGTAAGTTCTAGCACCGTATGATGTAATTTATTTTATAATAACCATTTTTTTTAACTAGATTGGTGTTGCTGGTGGTATAGCAGCAACCTTAGGACAAATGGCACCCAACCCAGAGGTCTTAGCCCAAATGGCAGCTTGTTTAGTTGCTGGTGGTGGTCTCGGCACGCTTATTGCTAAGCGTATTCAAATTACTGATCTACCTCAACTTGTCGCCGGTTTTCACAGTTTAGTTGGCCTCGCTGCTGTGCTCACTTGCATGGCGACCTTTATCCACGACCAACCGTCCTTTGCAACCGATGAAGCAGCCAACGTAATTAAAACCGCGCTCTTTTTGGGTACTTACATCGGTGGAGTTACCTTTAGCGGGTCCCTTGTAGCTTATGGAAAACTCCAAGGTATACTAAAGTCCAATGCGATGCTTCTACCAGGCAGACACGCGATCAACGCTGGATTGCTGTTAGGTAATGTCGGTGCAGGCGCATACCTCTTCTACGATCCTTCCATGATGGGAGGATTAGGTGCGTTGGGTACCACTGCTGCTTTAGCATCCACTATGGGTGTAACACTCACCGCAGCTATAGGTGGTGCGGACATGCCGGTGGTCATCACCGTCTTGAACAGTTATTCCGGTTGGGCGCTTTGCGCTGAAGGTTTCATGTTGAATAATAATTTGATGACTATTGTCGGCGCACTTATTGGCAGCTCGGGTGCCATTTTGTCTTACATTATGTGCAAGGCAATGAATAGATCCCTACCGAATGTTATTATGGGTGGATTTGGCACGTCCAGTACAGGAGGCGGTAAACCAATGGAAATCACTGGCACGCACACTGAGGTTAATGTCGACGGCGCGGTGGAAATGATTAAAAACGCAAGGAATATTATTATTGTACCTGGTTACGGTTTGTGTGTCGCCAAGGCGCAGTATCCGATCGCTGAGATGGTCAATAGCCTCAAGAAGCAGGGAAAGAACGTCCGGTTTGCTATTCATCCAGTTGCAGGTAAAAAAACACGACTTTGCATGTCACACACATAAGTCAATGTCAAATTGTTTACATTAAAAACAAATATTATTTCAGGACGTATGCCTGGACAACTCAATGTTTTGCTTGCTGAAGCAGGCGTACCGTACGACGATGTGTTGGAAATGGATGAAATCAACGACGACTTCCCCGAAACTGATCTAACTTTAGTCATTGGCGCTAATGATACTGTCAATTCAGCCGCTATGGATGATCCCAACTCTCCCATTGCCGGCATGCCTGTTCTTAACGTCTGGAAGTCCGAGCAGGTGATCGTAATGAAACGATCGCTTGGTGTTGGTTATGCGGCTGTTGACAATCCTGTCTTCTATAAGCCAAATACTGCTATGTTGCTCGGTGACGCAAAGAAAACGTGCGAACAATTATTGGGTAAAGTTCTATCGGACTAAATTTACAAACTCAATCTCCTCAAATCTTCCTCAAACAATATTTTATTTGCCACAAACAAATTGTTTGTGAACTGCACAACTTGTACACCTCCCATTTTTACCTTAACTACTTGATAAGAATAAGTGATATAAGAATTATTGTAAGCATAAAACTTTGTTATGAATAAGAAAATTATGTACGTGATTTTTATATTAAGATTTTAAGACAAACAAAGCTACGAAATGCATTTAAACACTAAAAATCAGTACTGCGACACTCATAAAAGCGTATTTTATAATGAATATAATTTTGCATGCGTTTTAAGGCAAAATGATACAAAAAATTGATATAATAAAGTAATGTAAATGATCGTCCCATGATAGAATCAGACTGCTGGGTCAGCTGGATGCGTTCTATCCCATGACTAAACATAAAGAAAAACGCATTAATAATAACGTCGAACTAATTTATAACGGATACTAACTTGTTTGGCAATTCCGCGAAACTTTTCGACATTCTGCTGACCAGTCTTGCTGATCAACTTAAAGAACATGCTGTCTTTCTGCTCAATCAATTTGTGTGGATGATCGTATTCCATTACCATTCCAGAATCCATCACCAACACCTGAATAATTTTATTTAAATTAATTTGCGATTTGTGTTGTTTCCAAAACTCACTTTATCGGAATCCATTATTGTGTTCAGTCTATGCGCGATAGTAAAAACAGTACAATGTGCAAATTTCTCTCGAATTGTTTTTTGAATGAAAAGATCCGTTTGTAAGTCCACATTGGCGGTGGCTTCGTCCATGATTAATATTTTGTTGTTACGCACAATGGCGCGTGCTAAACACACAAGTTGTCGCGAGCCCACTGATAAATTGACTCCACCCTCCGACATTACTTCATCTAAACAATCTTTAAAACAAAAATGCGGTAATTTTATTTTTATGTTGATTGTGGTATTTTACCGATGTTTTCTGCTAGACGTAAATCAACATCTACGAGCGCGGAATACAAAACAACATCAGGATATTCATCAAATGGATCTAGATTGTAACGTAAAGTTCCCGAAAATATTACAGGTTCCTGTAAATTTGTGAAATAAGAATAGTGAACTAGTTATAAAAATAGGCTATGTTACTTGTGGAATGATTGAAATTTGTTTTCTGAGCGCATGTAATCCAATTCCGCCTGTTTCAATGCCATCAATGTAAATACTTCCTTCGATGTAAGACAATCTGAACAAAGCTGCAACAATGGACGACTTTCCAGCACCAGTACGTCCGACAATACCAATCTAGTGAAGGGAAATGGTTAAACGATTAAAGAAAGTTATTATTTGAATTAAAACGCGTGAAATTTACCTTTTCCTTTGGATTAACCGATAGAGTAACATTTCTCAACACAGGCGTTTCATGCGTGGAGTATCTCATGCTCAAATTTTTGAAATTAATATCCCCTTGACGTGGCCATGATCCATCAGGTTCTTTACCGGGTTCACTTTCTAATGGCGGCTCTGGTTCGATGTTTGTAAATTCCAAAACGCGTTCGACGGCTGTGAGCTGCGTCTCAAATTCAGCGCTTTGTCGCATACCCCATTGAAAGATACCGGTAAGACCGATAGATTGACTTAGGATCAGTCCTACATATGCAGAATCGTCTTTGCGCATAAGCAGGAAGTAGTATATGATGCATGTAATGTAAACACATGTCAGTACGTCCAATAGGTAACCAAAAGCGCGTGACGCCGCCATGAAAAGGAACGATGCTGAAGTGTGTGTGTCCTGATAGTGATCAAACTCTTCGACGAGTTGCATTTCGTTGCCATGTGCGCGGATTGTAGCTAATCCTTGCATAGTTGCGTTTGTATGGGTAAAAACCGGAGATCGAGCTAAGGAAAATTTTGGATATATTACATAAGCGTTGAGTTGAGGTTATGATGAATAACCTACCTACTCCTTCGAGTCGTTTCAAGCTACAACTTGCCTTGAGATAATATTTTCGTATAATATAGAAAATCGCTGTAAAGATTGCCGTGAAAATCAACAACCAAGCATCGATGATCATCAATAACCAGATTACGCCGACAAAATTCAGCAAAATCTATAAATTTCAAGTAACCAATTTTAATTTAAACAATAACAATATTTTTTAGTTTACCTGGTATGTATCCACCATGGAATATGGTAAAATCTCATCAACAGCACCCATATCCTTTGAAAATCGATTCAAAATTCTTCCGCTGTCGTTCAAAGTGAAAAATCTCATGTTTGCACGTGTCACGCTGTTAAACATCTTGTTATGCAGACTAAAATTGAATATAATGAGTACTTTTTAAATGTAATAAAGTAATACTAACCTAATTGAAGCTTTCATGCAAAATCCATAGAAGAAGAATGATCTAAACAGTGAAATTAACATGGTGCTGAGTACAGCGAAGCCAGCTGCTTTAATGCATTCTGATCTCGGAAAGTTATCAAACTGCTCTGGCAACCAAAATGTCCCACGACCAAAATATCGCTTGTCTTCGATTTTTGCCCAGACCGAAATGAAGTAATCAAAGATGGAGGCAGCAACCTGCGCCAATATGAATAAGGACAGCATGAACAAAACTACACAGCAGTTGCCACCGGCTAAGTAATAGTGTTTTAGGATTGAACAGTTGACAACACCACTGCTGCGCATTTCTTCGAATTCTTTCAAATTCTGTAAAATACACAACATTACACATTACCGTCATTTGAGTAAACGTTAAATAAAAAACATTACAGGTCCTTTTATATTCGACATGACAGTACTCTTAATTGCCGTCATGGGTATAGCATCAGCGTCCGCATCTTCTTCAGCGTCCGGGACCAAAGTTTTCATATCGCGCCGGGTAAAAATATGATCATAACTTCCAGCTAGCTTGATGCGGCCGTCTTCAAGTACAATGATATGCTTCACCGATTTAAGGTATTGCAGTTGGTGAGTGGCCAAAACAACAATTTTGGTCTTAAGATAGCCACAGATGCATTCTTCAAAGAGATGTTTTCCAACGTTTGTATCAACTGCGGATAGAGGATCATCCAAGAGATATATGTCTGCGTCCTTGTAAACACAGCGAGCTAAATTAATACGCGCACGTTGACCACCACTCAAGGATATTCCTTTTTCTCCTACAGGAGTGCGGTCACCATAAGGTAATAAGGAAAAGTCCCGGATCAATGCGCATGCGCGAATGACAACTTGGTACTTCTCGCGGTTATATTGTTGACCAAAGAGGATATTATCGCGTACAGAACCTAAAATATTTATACTTTAAGTATATATTTTAAGAAAATTGTTATATACCTCGAAAAATGAAAGGATCCTGAGCTGAATAAGATGGTACTCCTTCAACGGACACTTTCCCTTCAAACGGAGTAAGTTCCTGTAATATCATTTGCATTACGCATGATTTTCCGCTTCCGACTGGACCAATCAACGCTGTCAAGCTCGCAGGTTTACAAAGCATCATAAAGTTATCCAATACAATCATTTTGCCGTATTTAATGCTTGCATTTTGAATGTCAATGATGTTGCTCCTAGCTGGAGTAAATCTCTTTCTGTAGTAGTAAGCGTAATTCGGATTTTTTGCTAACCGTGTCATCCATTTTGGATCCATTGGTTCTGGATTAGCAATGTGCGTTTCCGGCAGCATTAAAAAATCAGTTATGCGTTTTACCGCGACAATCATTTCAGCAACCTTTAATGAACACATAAAATATTAATAGTAGCTTGAAATTAGGGTTATGTAGAAATATTACATGTCCCATTCCTTGTGGGTAGTAGACAGTCATGGTCATACGTAATATTTGAAAGTATGACACGATGTAGAATACAGATTCGACTGTAATTTTTTCATGTTGGGAAAGGTAGCAATAACAGGAGAAGAAGTGTCCACTACGTGTTGTGAACAAAATCAAGGACATCATGATTCCTTTGATGACAGAGGACTTAATCAATGAGTGCATTTCATGTCTTTAAGAAATAAATCGTTTTTAGTATTTTATAAGAATTCTCAGGAGGGTTGCATACTTTCGAGTTTTATGCAGTGCCGCACTAAATGCGTATTCCCAGGCGTACATCTTGATAACGCGTATACCGGAAATAATCTCGTTCATCACTTGAACACGATGATCAGTTCTCAAAGCCGTCTCAATACGGAGATATTTTGTCATGCAAGCCAGAATAACTGTTGAAACAAAATGTATAATATTTAAAATTGCGCCAATGTTTCAATCTACCTTGCAACGGAATGCAAAACAAAACCGGCGCCATGCCAATCACAGCACACCAGCCTATCTCCCAGTAAATGAAATATATTGAGAATGCAACTGTTGTTGGTCCCAGCCAAAGGTAATGAATGAAATGTAATTGCTCAAACTTGTTGACGTCGTTTGAGAGGATATTAATAACATTTCCAATCATTTTTCCAGTAAGTTGACTGCTATCTAAACGCAGAACCTGAAAAATATTATTTTGTGTTAGGTTAAAATAGAGTTAATATTATAGGTTAAGAAATACTTTTCGATATATAAGCGAACACATTGCTATTCGTATCTTCATCCCAGCGTAGTTCAGATATGTAAACACAGGATGGTACACTATAACGGCAACTATCCCGCAGAAAACTATCCCAAACGCGTAAAACATGGATTCGTTGGTGGAAATTCGTTCTTGATTGTCGCCGTAGTAATGTGCCACACGTCCCATATAAGTGTGGCCATATGGATTCCTATAAAAGTTTTCAAAATGTTAGAAAATAGCAATATGAAACGTCGATAAATATTAACGTACGTTGTATTGTTATCAATGTTAATAATTGACAAATATCTCAATACCAAACCAACGAAAATTGGTTGGTAAATTCGACATCCCAACTCCATTAATCCAAGAGCCAGTCCATAAGCAGCAATCTCCCAACCGAAGCAATGAGCAATCACCCCGACCAAACTGGGACGTACTTTTGCATTTTTGCGGTTTGACATCCTTTTTGACCATTGCTTCGAAAGACGCTTGCCAAGTTTTGCTGACTCATGTTCAGGCAGTGGACGAGTAAGATCATACTCAGAGAAATCACGTTTTAACCCAATTTTAAAAATGGGTATGGTATACCTAAAAGGGAAAATTTGTCAAAATATAATATGTATTGATAGATAAGGACGTGTACGATACCAAAATGACGCTTTGCTCAACCAGCTTGCTTTCGCCGCTGTGTTGTCGAGGGTCATATGCGAGGTAGTGGAAATTCGCCTCATCATGTTCGGATTCGTGTGTCTTCACACGCCCTTCTGATGTAGAAATGTGCAATTGTTTGCACTGTGTATAAATTTGTAAACTAGTGACACTTTTGACTGCACAGCAACGTCATGAAATAAATAACACATACTTGATAACTTTTAAGTTTTAAAACTTTCTACTGGTTGCCATAAGATACCTGTAACTTGATGGATGTATACTGTTTAGGCGTATTATGATTGAGGTTAGGAAAAACTTTATTTTATAGGTTTTACTGCACAAAAATTATAAGTACCTAAACACAATTCTTTTTTACTATCGAACATATTTCATAATAGTTTTAAAATGCGACAGTTTTTTATTTAAATGTTTTTCTTATCGTGTAGTGAATAGGTGATTGAAGCGTTAATATGTTTCGTTCATGACGCATAATTGAACCAAAAAAAGAGCGATGACAAAATTCCCATTCTGTATCTTTATCCTTCTTATCTTAGAACATATTCAACCAAATGTTATAGAAAAAGAAGCCATGCACGTATCATAAACATTGCTCGTTACGGTTATATTGATTGTACTGTGAGTAATAAAATGTGTGAATAACATATTTAAAAGGTTTATAATTCTTTTAACTGAAAAGGAAGGCTTAACCTTCAAAATGCGCATTGCAGTATATAAATTTATTCATGAGATGAGGTTATAAAAGTTCACTTATTGTTTGTTACGTTTACTGCCATTTCGCTCCAGTATACAAAAACTACGAGCATAACAAAATTAAGTGATGGTTTAGCTTTACATTTTACTAGAATTATTAGTACATGTTTTTGCCGTCAAGCACAGTGTCTCTAGTAGTGCTCGTGCTGCGGCTACGTATCCGGCGCTGGTCGCGTTCGCGCTCGCGCATTCTCGAATTCTCGCAGTCTCGTTCAGTATTTACCAGCCGCGAGTGTGATCCGTGCTGTTCCGTGAATCTATGCGTTTTTGTGCCGCCCGGAGCGTCGTCGTCTCGCTGGATATTACGGATGCGTCGCGCAGAACATGCACGTAAGTACAATTTCCCAAATAAATTTGCGCCCCACAATCAACCGCGTCAACCCAAAACAGGGTGAAGAGATCAATGACCAATGGGTGGGTTTTCGACGGGATTTCGTGTGTGCGTCGCCGGTTGGTATGAAAGCTACGACGTATGTGCACTTCTCTCGTGCGCCTCGCACCTTAGTAACGATCCGCGGGCAGCGCGCTAGTCGTACGTCCGCGGATGTTTATCGAATATGTGGGTTTGTCAGTCAAAGGGGCGGCAAGTGCAGCTTGCAGGTGCGTTTTAACTCAATGATCGGAGATTGTTGATTGTAGATAGACACTCGGGTGGATTTTAAATCGAGTTGCGTGATATGCGGACGCTGCAGTGATTGTTGTTGTTATGCGTTTTGTTTCTGCACGCCTACGCTGCCGCCCGAGTACTCGCCCGGAGCCGAAGAATCATTAAAGCCTCCGCTATATAATGATTTAACTAATGCGTGTTTAACGGCCCACGTACGGACGAACACTAACTATCACATGAAACAGTTGAGCGTCGACGGTCGGTCATAAACGTAAATGATTCTACAATCGTTGTCTCTCGTTTGGGTTTAAATGCTCATTGATTTTCTTGATGCTCGAATATTAGTGACCCATTAACCCTTGCTGTGTGTACCATAGTTAGAGCATCGTTTATTTTATCTTAAATTTGACTGCATATTTTATTTCAACTGAAAAAAATCAATAATTTTTCATCTTGGAGTCTTTCACGCATGTTATTCGGTTTCAACTTGGGTAGAATCGCAAGTTGTTTACTTATCGACGTTTTGTGTGCACCTGTCAAGCATTTCAGTGGCTGAATGAGCGCAATCACAAACTCCAGCCTCCGTTGCCTACTATTTGTTCGTTTTATATCAGATATGGAACATCAATTCTGTTCCTTACGCGTTTATATTCTTCTCTTCTTCGCATTTTACTTTATCTAAAGATGAAACGTGGAGTAGCTACTAACATCGGCTTTTTTATCATATCTTTGATTGTTTTTTATTTATGAGTATTATTTTGTTTGGAATATATTTAAGTTATGAGGAGTGATGCAGTGGAAATCTGCATTGATATTACTTTTTACTTGTTTTCTAGACTTCTGGAGTTTATGAGTGAATTAAATTTATGCAGGTACTGTAAATACAGGCAGGTATTCGCAATATTTGTGTTTGTTTTGTGATAGTGTGATACTTACGCAGTGCAAACGAAAACGTATTTATGATATTTCATTGTGAAATCGCGCAGTAAGTTTATTTTCATGATTAGGAGTTCACAAAATTGGCGAAACTATTGATTATTTCCAATTTTCCACCCAATATTTTGTTGCTGTTTCAATTTAACCGGGTTTTATATTATTTCTTTTAATAAATAATTATAATATAACCGACTTGTATTTATTAAGATTGTGACACTGCCTAAATATATATTTTCTATATGTGACCATATTGAAAGAGAAAAAGATCATTACTCTCAATTACTGACTCAGTATGATATTTATTTTGGTAATTATCTATTTTTATAGACCCGCATCTTCTGTCATATGTTTATATCTTATTTAATCATTTTTATATCCATGACGAGTTAAGATAAACAATTGCCACGATATTATCAAGTCTACTTCATTTTTGTGACTGTTCTAAACTGAAACTATGTTATGACTACATTTTTTTACTCTAGAAAGTGTATTTAATGTTTGAACGAATTAATGTCCCAGCAGTGCAATTATTTCACATCATCTATGCAATATTTAACAGGATTCCAAGCTCATTACGAATGTTTACACTACTTTTAGCGGTTGTAGCGCTTGTTTTGTGATGTATTCCTGTCTGGTTAATTTTACAGCCGTTGCAGTCAATTTACTATGGTTTCTTTGGGTATTCTGCCGTCTTGGTAGTGCAATTTGCGACAAAAGGGTTTTATGGACTTAAATCTGTCCTCATTTCGAAGCATTCTCAGTCTAATGACGCGCGACGAGCCAATTTTAAGCAAATTTACAGTTTTGCGTTTGAATTTCATTCTTGTCATCATTATGACTGTCTTGGTTCCTTAAACTTTACTTTTTGTGTTGGTTTACTTGGCATTGGTGTAGTTTTTGGTTGTGATATAGACATTGTAATATAGCACAGATTGTTTTACTGATATGATTGTAACGTCCTGAGTAGGGTTCGTATTGTTAAGATTTGTCGTTTGTCGTGTTGCATGCGCTGCACTCGATGTGATAAAGTGAGGTGTGCTTGCTTTGGTATGGCACGCGTCACGAACCACTAAGCACGAATTAAAATTAGATCGGTGTTTCCGGTGTCTCTTCTCCCTACAATGAGTGTGCATTCATACGCACATATGTGCAGTAAAACCATAGGTGTAGTCAAAGTCATGCTTTGTCGAGTACAACTTTTTTTCAAAGTTTTATATTTTTCTGGTTTAGCTTTAGATTTTACGTCGTTTAGGAAGTGGCAATCTGTTGTTAATGTCAGAGTCACCATGTCGCACTGATTGTCTTCGTACGTCAGTTAACAGCTTGAACAGTTGTTAAGTTCTCGTGTTTCATTGTTTTTCAGCTGTAAATCGCCTTTTTTCTGCTGTACAGCATTTCCTGTTGTAACATTTTATTTTATTTCGGCTTTTTCTGTCATTTTTTTAATGTTGAGGTAAAGGGCCGCCATGCCTGTATTCAGTTTAATAGCAGAAACATGTCAAGGGAAAACTTTGACTTGCACACATGCGATGGAGATATTTTTAGCAGACGAAGAAACCGCACACCGAACACGCGCGACAAAACAGAAGCAAGCGTACGTGAGGCGCGAGGAAATGCACTGGAAATGCGCATTTGTTTATTTATTTGCGCTCGTACGTGGAAATTGAAAAATTTGACGATTCTTTGATGTCTGTACACAAAATAGCTAAATAAATAAATGCATATTTATGACCTGAATTATAAAAAAATCATTATCAACTTCAAACGCGTAGTTTTGAACTTTTTACAACAATGTATAATAAATTTATGAATTGAACGTGACAATTTAATTTCACGTTGTCGCTTGAATGCATGCTTAACGACTGCTAATTTTTTTATTCGCGCAGACAAGACACTTCAAAGGTTGGCGGCGTTTTTGTGGCATTATAATTCAGCACATTAGAGTCGCAGAAACTAGAATGCTGTAACACAACTCACTAATATTAATGGCGAATGATTTGTTGGTCAATCAAATCAATAATTTGCAGACCCTTAGAACGCTTATAATATTACCATTGAATGGAATGTTCTTGACGTGACTTATCAAGTCGTCTATCATATTAACGATATGATTAACACGCTCTGCTCGTGATAGTTATCGTGCGCGTCTACACGCCGATTGAATTACACGTGAGTGACACACGCATCGAGGTCATGCTGTCGCGGGACACACAGGCATTATTCATTTGCTTTTTGATAGCTAATAATGTGACCATTAAGAGGACTCGATTGGTGCATGCCAAACTTTGCAGTCATAACAATGGACCACCGTAAATTAATTTATTGTTATTGTTTGAGATATGTAGGTATGCGAAATGCAAAGTGTTTGATTAACCTTTTTTTGTCGCGTTTGTGTTTTTATGCACAGCATGTATGCACATTTGTTTGGAGAGCTTCTTAGAGTCATTGTTAATATTGATGATGATGCTGAAGATGAGGTAGTTTATAAAACAAAATGACTTGTTTGGTCTGCACACTGGCAACATTGTTATTTTATGATTGTAATTCTGACTGCGAGCATTATGCACCAAGAATTATGCGTGCGGAGCATGCACAGAACGGATATACGCGTCTCTTGATGAAAATCGACGCCAAGGCCATAATAAATGTTATATTAGATTGCTGTATCGGGTTTGGGTACATATTACATTTTTTCCTGTCGTAGTGTAAATCTTTTTTGTTTAGACGTCGAAAAGTTTCCTATTTTGAGACTTTTTGTTTCGTAAATTCACTAACTTTGGTCGGTAACAATTAAAGTTTATTGTTTTATAAGTTTATTATGATTGTTACGTAATCAACAGGTCGGTCGTAACTTGGATAAAATAAAACATTTAACACCCTAACTTCTTTTTTGGTTTGGGCGAATAAAGAGCTGTAGCTTTTAGGAAATGTTTCCTATCGCGGTTCATTCAATAGGCAACTGTCGGCGTAAATTTATTTCGTTCTTAATTTCAGTGAAAGGTTAAAAGGTAAAAGCGGCCTTGATAGTAAATTGTTAGCCGCACGTCGCGACCGTTATTCATTTGCTACGCTCCGGGCATTTTCTTTTTGCTTCCATCGTTTCACGTGTTTTTCACGTTTTTTTTTATAAATCGTTTTAGTTGTGGTTTCAAGGTTTAAATTGCTCACGCAACTCGATTTACCAAAATATATTACCAAGGAAGAAACATACTACCTACTGCAGAATTGATGTTATAATATTTGTTTTTGTTGCAGATTAATGACAGATTCGAGCGATAAAGCATCCAGAGCGCGATGGAGTCGCGCGAGGCGAACGGCTCGACGGGGCAGCTGTCCAGTGGTGGCAGTATCGGTGACGGCGTGGGCGCGACCGGCATGCACCACTCGCACTCGACGCCGGCAGGCGTAGACGGCGTCGGCGGCGGATCGCGCACCCCACCGGCGACGCCCAAGAAGGGCGGCAAGATGCTCGCGATACGCGTGCAGATGCTCGACGACACCGTCACCATATTTCAAGTGCAGGTAAACAACACAACACTCACCCTCTCAAAAACTCTCACTCTCCCGCATCGTCGAGAGCGGCACGCACTTCGATTAATAATTCATAGCCATTGTGGCGCGCGTTGCCTCGGCTCGTTTTCAACTAGGGCAAACTTTAGCGCGCGTTCAATGTTTTGAGAGGCTGTTATTGATCATCGATCGCTCGCTTGCCACCCTCCTCGTCATGATATTAATATCGCAATATGTATTAAAGAGGCTGTGAATGACCCTTGTTGTCGCTGAAAGGCACGAAAGCAGTGCGCTCGAATTACACGCTGGAGAGTTGTGCCGTTTGGCGCGCTTCCGTTTTCATGCGGTGGCCGCGCATCGATTTTTGATACGTTTTTCGTGTCATTGCACGCTTGCACCACTCGGTGGATGATGGCATGGCGATGATGCTCCGTTGGCTGCCGCCGGTGGCTCTTAACCCAATTTCGGTACACATTTATTCGCTTAGACGTGCTTAACGATTCGCATTTCGAATGCAACGTGCAGTCGTTTTAGCTTCCTAACTGTATCGTATTGGAATTGGATATTAGTGGAGACCTAGTTTACGAACTGATGAATTACTGAAGAGTATTTTGCAGTAAAATATGTTTTACGATCATAGAATTATCACTTTAATTGCTTAATCTTTTGAAATAAAAACCATTTTCTGACCCAAAAACTCGGAAAGGGATCCTAGAGACCTGCACCTGTACTGCTGGACAACTCAGGCGCGAGTGAGCACCGTGGTCAGCGCATACCTTCTTTTTATACCTGCGCCCGACCTGCGGAAAATGGTGGGGGAAGCTGCGCAAAGGAGATTTACATTATCACGCGCGAGGTTGTGCGCTGTAGTTGTGAATAGCGCTCTTTGAAAAGTGTATCCTTTCGCTCTATCAATGTGGAAGTTGAAGGCGTAAGAGCGTACCTAATTTAGTTTTATTACAAATATGGTTCCTTCTCTTTACTGCTGTTATTCAATTACTGTAGTATTTTGTATTCTTTTCAATTTCTATTCAAACTAAAACATTTATATACCAAAGCATTTCTGGCGTAATTTCCTGCCGCAAGTTTTCCACATTTTTCGTCGCAAAATGCGAAAACACGTCGCAGCAATATAAAAGGGCGAAAAAACATTCATTTCCTACTTCCGCGCTTTGCTCCGAAGGCTCGACACTAGAATCTTATCAATTTTTATTATATTTACGTGGTTTTGTTGCGCGCTCAGCGTAACCAGACGTAATGATATTATGTGCACTTCGTTTAGTAGGTAATTTTCTTCAGTCGCAACTCGTAATAGAATAAGACACAGAATTTGTACACAATGTTAACAGACCCTGTTTCTTATCTGCATTGAACTAATTATAATTAATCTAGTCTAGCAATTTATATGAGAATACAAGAATTTTAACTTCTGGAATGTGCATAGTTATTATTCTTTCTGGTTTGAATATTAATAATATTATGCCATTGCGCCGCTGCAATGCGTGCAGTAATTTCAATTACGGCCTTAATTATAACTGCGATGCGTTTTTGTGCGAGCACCCGCGCGGTTTTAATTAACGACACAGTTATTATACCGAGTGTGTTTGGAATGTGTTTCTGCACCGATTGTAAACATGCAATTCGTAGTGTTGACACTGGCGTTAATGCGTTGATGTGATGTGTAGATTTACCCGACGAGATAACATGCATCTGGTGGTGTACTGGCGATCTCATCACTTGCCGTAATTGCCACTGACTAAATTGTTTGTTATCGGGACATTGCATTCGGTCGAGTGTCATGTTTATGGAGTTGCTGTTCAATTAATTGAAATCAACTGCAACCACAAACAGCGGTCACTAGTGTCACCCAAATTTATTTATTTATCTCCGTATAATATAAACTTCAGTGATACTGATGTATGCATTTTTTCGTTGTTATAGGCAAAAGCCCTTGGACAAGTCTTGTTTGATCAAGTATGCAAGCAACTGCACTTGCTCGAGGCCGATTACTTTGGCTTAGAGTACACCGACATGTCACACACCAGAGTCAGAGTAAGAGATTTGTGTGCTTGTCGTAGGGTTGGTGTTGTTCACTAATGATTTTCTGTTTGCCCGTGCAGTACTGGCTGGACTTACAAAAGCCTATGTCGCGGCAGCTGGGTTTATCGCTGGTGGACCCACTACTACAGTTTTGCGTCAAATTCTACACGCCGGATCCTGGACAGCTGGAGGAGGAATACACGCGTTATCTGTACTGTCTGCAGGTGAAGCGTGATCTAGCAATTGGGCTAATGCACTGTAATGATAACACGGCCGCGCTTATGGCTAGTTATATCGTGCAGGCCGAATGTGGTGATTATGTTGCTGAGGACTATCCTGACCACACATACCTCTCCTCTTATAAGTTTGTGCCACATCAGGATCCTGAAATGGAGAGACGCATTATGGAAAATCACAAAAAACACGCGTAAGACATTTTAGTAAAATTTGATTTTACCAATATTTGTGAAAAAGAAAATTAACTGTTTTGTTGATTTTGTTTGCAGAAGTCAATCCCCAGCAGAAGCAGATTTAAATCTTCTTGAAACTGCGCGACGTTGCGAACTCTACGGCATCAAATTGCATCCTGCAAAGGATCATGAGAATGTGCCGCTGAATTTAGCTGTCGCACATATGGGCATCGTGGTTTACCAGCAGATTACTAAGATCAACACGTTCTCCTGGGCGAAAATCAGAAAACTGTCTTTTAAACGAAAAAAGTTTCTGATTAAACTTCATCCCGAGGGATACGTAAGTTAAAAGTTTGTTTATTACATGTATGAGTTATAATTTGTTTTATATATATTTTAATTTATTTCTTTTATTATTTTCTTAGGGTTATTATAAAGATACAGTCGAGTTCTTCTTCGAGGGACGCGACGAGTGTAAAAACTTTTGGAAGAAGTGCGTGGAGAATCACGGCTTCTTCCGCTGCTCCACGGTGCAGTACGTTTCGAGGCATAAGACACGCGTGCTGTCGCGCGGCAGCTCGTTCCGCTACAGCGGCAAAACGCAGAAGCAGATGGTCGAGTTTGTGCGCGACAATTACGTGAAGCGGCAGACATTCCAGAGGTACGTAATGCATGAGTTTTTCACAAAACTGCTTGGTGTCTTGGCTGAAGGAAAATCCACAGTGATGGAGCTTTTTCAGTGTTTCCAGTGTTTAGCTAAGTCGATGTTTTTCATTTGTTTCTTGTAAATAAGTGTTAAATACTCGTGCCTATTACCTGGTAGACTAAACGAACTTAATGTCAGTGGTTAGGGGTTGCATTCACTTGGGCTTTATAGAATATTAAACTTTGTTTCAACCAAAGGAATGTAACCCACATAATGTAACAGAAAGTTTTCTGTGTGTGTGATTTTCGGAGCATGATTGTTATCTAGAAATTGCAGGATTTGCTGTACCCGATGCTGGTATTACATATCTGTTGAATTTGTTCGATATTTCTCTGCTTAAATGCGGCCGCCGGGCAAGTCGCACTGTATCAACTCAAGGGAAGGAGGATGGGACTAATTAGGCAAATTTTAATTCAACTAACAATACCTCACAAAACATAATCAACAAATTGTAACGGTGCAAACGGTTCTCTTACGGTTCTCTTTCTCTTTCTCACACTTTGTACACTGTAATAAGCATGTTTGTACTAATTTCGTTTCTGTTTCGTTTTGATTACTGACTCACTGTTATCTCATTCGATCGTTTCGCTGCGACATTCACTCATTCGAGCTCACACCTCACACACTTTGCGTTAACTTTGATTTCTTTGCGTTCTTGACTCGTACTTGATCGTACTACTTATACTCATTTACGTTTTGTTTCTTTGATGATTATGATGATGATATATTTAGCTCTTAGTTGCATTATGATGGTGATTGTGTGCTAGTTGGGTCACTCCTCGTTCTCTTGTGCAGGTCGGCGTCATTCCGCCACTCTAGCGCGCATTTGAACGCCAACAACAAGAACACCAGCTCGGTCGGAAACAGCATTTCCGCCCATCCCCTGTTGCCCCTTGCCGACAGCAATCTTAGCGGTATGTAGTTTTATTTTTTATTGTCTTGTCTTTTTTGTTTATGTTTGGTTCTCTCCTATGATTTTGTGTTTGAGAGTTTTTACCAGAGTGCGCACTTGAAAATCATTTTACGACATGATTGATTTCTGTAAATATTATTTTGATTGGTTCTGTCGTGGACATTTTGAGTTGCGGTGGCGTACGTATGCACCACACATTTTGCATCTCCCGGTATCGTAGGCGTTTAGGCGAGTGTGGCGAGTGGTAAGCCGTGACACGGCGTGGTATTCTGCTTGCGTTTGCAGTGGAAGTGTCCAAACTCTCGGCGTCGCTGGGTGCGATGGTGCCGCCGGCAACGTCGGCGTCGACGACGGCGGTGAGCTACCCGCGCGCGACGGGGCGAACTTCTCCGACGACGAGGTCAGCTTATCACCACCGCGGCACTCCTACGTGCTGGAGTTCGGCCCCCGACACCAGGCCTACCACACTGCCTGCTCGGATGACGAGCTCGCCATCACCTCCTCCGACGACGCGATCGGGCTCGCCGGCGATTTCTGCGGCTACGAGCCCGCAGCGTACGGTGGCGGCGGCGGTAGCGGGCCATTCGCCTGTGGCCGTCCGCGCAGCCGTTCACAGGGCCGATATAGCAACAGGTACACCACACCCCACGCACCACATTACTACCCGGACGCCCTGTAATCGTCCGCCGTCACAGACGCAATCGCAAAACGACATCGATCACGCGGTACCCCCACACCCCCAATTCCAATCCGACTTTAGCGCTGAGGTAGACGATGTATGCACCTCGGAAGCCGCCGCTCTGCCGCACGTAAAGCGGCACGTGTGGCGGCGCAGCGCTAGCTGCCGCGATTTATACGACTTTAGTTTTGAAGACTCTGGGCAAGCAAAACGCCGCGTTAAACCCGACCATCTCGTGATTGTTTCTAACTCGGGGGCGGCGGTAGCGCATGAACTTACGTCCCATCTGGACGAGCGCAAGCTCGAGTCTCCGGTCACACGTTACGGCGACGATCACAGGGCAATCTACGCGAGTTCACAAAATACTAGCTTAGAAATCCATCAAGACATCATGATGCCGGAACAGAAAGTCTATTCGAGTAGTTATCCCGGCACCACCGCATACTCGCAGGAGTCTATGGAAGATCCCGGCAATTACGAGTTGCGCGACTCTCAGGACGATGTGTCACATGACAGCTACGACCTAATTGAGCGCTCCGATGACGAGTGCAGCACGTCGGGCGACTCGAAATATGCAAAGGTGAAGGGCGTCGGGACCACTCGAAGTTGTAGTCTCGATTCAGGTCGGTACATACCCTCTGACAGTGATTCGGAGGCAGATAAGCACCTTAAGTGCAAGAGTTCCGAGGATATCCATCCAGATATTTTTGCGATGGAAGATCCGAGGGACTTTCCGCGCGAGATCGTACCGCGTAAATCGGACGGATCATTTTATAAAAATCTTAAGCCTAGCTCGCGTACGTCTAGCCAGGAATCAAAATCTGACTATTACGATACGCGTCCGGTGTGCAAAAAGCGTCGCAGCATCGGTTCGCGTACCTCAAGTCAGGAGTCGAAATCCGACTACGAAACTAAAAAACATACACATAGGCGTAAATCTAATCTTAAATTTGACTCACGGCAGTCTTCGGCTGAGTCGAAGAGTGAATATTATGATGCTCCAGCTGAACCTAAGTCTCCCAAACAGGACTACGACAGACATATTCAATTTGAACGTAATTACGGTACCGGTACCCAAAAACAGCGCCAACACGATAATTCTGAAATCAATCGAAATTATTCCCACTTTAAGGAAACTTCTCATGTGCACTCTATAAGTTTACAAAATGTCGAAACAGAGCAGAACATACGCGCGAATCGAATGGCGGCTAATTTAGAACAGAATACTGTTCCAAGGGCACAGAAACGTACACAAAGTGATTCTGCTGATCGCAGAAGTATTACGCACATTTGGCCTGAAACCATCGCTGGAATTCCAACGCAAATTCAGGATTGGACTGCCAAACAACAGAGCACTAAATCTACCGAATCAGAAAGTAACATTTTTAGTTTTGACGAGGAACGTATCAAATCAATGGAGGAGAGCGATGATTACGCAATGGTTCCAACTTTGCCACCAAGAGATATACCGTCGCAGAGAGATTCAGACAAGAAAAATTATCGCGATGTTTTCGTTGAGATTGAGCCTAGAAAGTTGGATTTGAAAGATTCAATGATGCACCAGCCCATTGAACGTACAAAAAGCGATCCTAATAATTTAGCTTGGCAACGTTTGAATTCGAATTCTAGACGTATGCTCCTCAAACATCAAAAGTCTATTGATCTCACTCCCGCCGAATCCAGCGATGAAGATTACCTCTATAAACAAATTCCTAGCGCTCCTCCAATAATGAAATATCGCGGAAATAGTACTCATTTTGAAATGCCCACTGCCGAATTTGGACATTTTGACATTCTAAAACGCGAAGTAGAAGGACAAAAGACACGGTTTGAAGTACCCAAAAAACAGTTTGAAGTTTTGGGCGCAAAAACTCAATCAGATTTTATTAATTTACCTCCTAAGAGCGAAACGGACATTCCGTATGTTTTGCATAAAAGACACGTCATGAACGGAACCTCTAAAGAGGAACCAGTTGACATTCGTAGAGTTCCTGATGTTGTAGATTTTGAAAGTCAAAAGAAACCTAAAAGTCCCAGTGCGACTGAGTTGCCGCCAGTACCAACCTCAACTTCATTTTTATTTACGCAGAACATTGATTTATCTAAAGTTGATCCTGTCACGTTAGAAATTGACAAAACTGCAAAACCTATCCATCATCTTTCTAGTCCCAAGAGAGATATCACTCGAATTGATCCTGCAATCCTCGAAACGTTGAATTCAAAATTAAGTCAAATTGAAAGTGATAGTCCTACAAGTAGTCGTACAGAAAGTTTAAAACCTGCTCAGAAAATTAAAGCGCTTCAACAAATTGAAGAAGTTCCCTCGAGAAAACCTGAAATTGTTGGAGTTAAACCTAAAATTAACGTAGAAAAACCTCCAGTTGATAAGATTAAGACAGATATTAAGCCTAAGCGAATAATTAAATCACGAATGCAGCCGGGGAAGAAGTTTAAAGGCAATAAAACAAAAGTACGCATTACTTCGTTCAGTTCTGACGATGAATCGCTTGATTCCGATGATGTTTTTGGCAGCGCTGAGGCCACGCCCACCAAACTGGAATTTTCACCGCCTCAGATGCGGAAAGAGATGGAGTCGATTTTAAAGTACGAATCAGAACGCAAGTATCTGCAATATACAATGTCGTCTACTGAGGTAGAAGGATCGCCTCCTACCACACGGCGAACGGATACATTATATTGTAGAAATGAGGAACAACCTGAACTTAGACGAATTTCCGAAAGATCTTTGTCCATTCCAAGTTCTGAAGATGACTTTAACATTAAAGTCTCAGACCTGCCAGCTGTGTTTGAACCTGAAGATCAGGAACATGATCATGATGAAGTTACTCTCACATTGGATACATTAGAAGAGGTTGATAAGGAAGCAGATAAGTCTATTGAAGATACTGTGACAGTTGAAATGACTGAACAGGTTACTATTCAGGAGTTTCTTAAAGAAGAAGATTTAAAGGAAATTGATGAAGAAAAGGAAAAGGAGAAAGCACAACTTTTAGAAGACATTGAACAGGATATTAGAGATTTAAAGGTACCAGCGAAAACAAAGATTACTGAGATTTGTTCTCCGACATCGAGAAGAAAGGGTCAGAGTCCTATGTTGTTTGCTCACGCGAGATTAAATCTTTCAGAAGGTTCCGCGTTCTCTTTATTACAGAAACAACAGGCGCTTGAATCCCCAGTCGCTGGTCGGCGAGCTAAATCATTGGACACACCTGTTATTTCTGTGAATCGACTACCACCTTTAAATTCCTTCTCGAGTAAAGATGATACTGTAGAGGAGGAAGATGATTTACCAGTTAAGGAGTTACCTGATATTGAAAATGAGGAATTGCCGAAGATACCTGAGGTTGTTGCTAAACAACCACAACCATTACCACCTTTAGTGACTAAAGTAGAAGATAGGAAACCTACGGTTGTAAAAGCTACAAAGAAAGTTCTCCCTGCTAAGCAGAAGAGCATTGAAAAAGACCAAATTGTACCTGATGTCTCGAAAACAAAAAAGACCACGAGGGCTGCAACGGCAAAAGTTAAACCTACAGTTAAAACGAAAACTACTGTTACTCCACCGAAACCATCTACCACCAAGACGGTTGCTACTGCACCGAAAGTGATCAAAAAAGCAACGACAACTGTCACCACAACGGTTACTTCTAACACTACTACCACATCAGCTCGGGTGAAGCCACCTGCAGCTGCAACTGCAGCAAAACCACCCGTTGCAAAGGTCAAACCTATTCCCCTAAGAGTTTATCTCTTGAGAAGGTTAAGGATCCCGAAAAGAAACCGGAACCTGTAATAACACAGAAATCATTACCATCTCAGAATTCATTGCAGTTACCTGGGCACGAAATTAAACGTACGAAAAGTCAAGAGTTGGAATCCAGTAAGCGACCGGTCACGAAAGAAAAAGCAAAATCATTGGAGAAACTGGAATTTAAACGAACATCCAGTAAAGAGCGAACTAAATCTCAGGATGAAGAAGTTGACAGTGCTAAACGAAAGGAGTATCAACAAATGTTGTATGAAACTGCTATTAAACAAACAAAAACTGTGAAAAGTCCCGTTAAAGATATTATGCCGGTATTTCCGCAAGTTGAGGAAATGGTCCGGGAACGCGGTGGAAAGCTTGAAATCTCAATTAATACTATTGAAAATACTGGAGTAAACCTGGAAGAAGCCATAATCATCACAAAATCTCCGAAGAAATTGGACAAAAACTTTTGGATCAGAAACTTACGAAAAGTTTAGAGCTGACGCTTGGTGATGATGATGGGGTAGAAGTCAATGGGAAATCGATGCAACGACTTGGGAAATCCTTAGATTTAGAACCTCGGATTCCTTCTTCTGAACATTTTGACTTTAAAAAGGAAACCATTGAGAGTATGAATATGCACGCGTCTCCTGATAGTCCTCAAGTTGGTGAAGTTGTGGAGGAAGTGGTTGAAGCAGATGTTCATACATCGGAGCCATTAGATACAGATACAGAAGAGACCTTACAGGATACCGAAGCTACTCAATTAGTATTAGAGGGTACTAGTTTAGATGTTTGGATTTCAGTAGATGGCACACAAGAAATTGCACCTCCGAGAGGATACGAGTTTGATCCTCAGCTTGAATTAGATAAACCGGAATTGCTAAAAGATATAACCATTTTGGAAAAGTCGACGAATTTTTTTGAACCATCCACTGTCAGTAAACCCCCAGACTTAATAAGATTACAAGAAACTAAAAGTAGTTCGAGTTCGCAGAGTAATGAAAGATTAAGTCTTGGGAACTCTTTGGAGATGAAGTATGCTGATGAGTCCGGTGAATCTTCCCATCGATCGGACTCAGCGTTTGTGCAGGAATTGAAAAAGGCTTCTCAGACAGTGGAGAAATTACTTATGAAGAAGTTGGCAAAGCGCAGACAAGCAGAAGAGGCAAAGGCTAAAGAAATTCCGGAAGAAATGGAGCCGGAATTACACGAGCTGCAACAGACATTAGTTCGAATTACGAGCGAAGACGAATCATTAACTTCTGTCAGCGATATGAAGTTGGAATATCAGGATATGAACTTTTTGGGTGTGGGTAATGATCACAAGGATGCTTTGCTTAAATTGAGTATTGAACGCAGCCGATCTGAAGATACGGGTTCCTGGATGACAGTGGAATGTGACGAGTACGTCGGACAGGAGAGTTTTGAGTATGATAATGCAGAGAATCTTAGCAAACAGGCGACTCCTACGAAAGACGTGGCAAAATCTCCCACCACTGATGAACCAAAGAATCTTCTTACTGCGCCAACCCAAAATAAAAAGTTAGAGATTTTGAAAAGATCGAGTGATCAGTCTCGTTCCAGTGACACTGGATCATGGACTAGTGGCGAGAAAGATCTATCTCCGGGTAAAACCGGTGATGAATCTAGTGTCAGCTGCTCAATCGGTTTTGCAATTGGCCTGAGTCAAACCATCGAAAAATTTTCGACCAAAGAGCAGCTGGATAAATCTTCTCCGGAGTTAGAACCCAGAAGTCCTAGAAGTCCACGCTCTCCAAGAATTTGCGTTCTTGGTAGAACTTTTACCATCGATGAAGATTTTGGCGTTAAATCTGGGTCTAGTTCGGAAGGCGATGTAGCGGCGGGAGGAACATTAGATTTGAGCGCAATTCAAGAAGAAGATGATAGTAAAAAAAGTAAGAAACCTTATCCGTTTGAAGAAAAATGGTCCAATGAGTCGGAATTGACTCAAAGACTACAACAAAAAATCACCAAGAAATTATCGTCTGAAAAGAACAGTTTGTCATCCGTTGACGACCCTCTTTCGGACAGGAGACGTGGAGGTGGTTCCTTAGAGAAACCTTCGTTAAACTCTGTGGATCGACTTAGTGCTGAATCTCGAAACTCGGTAGATACAGAATCTAGTTCTGGTAGTTTTGGACTTGCAAATAGAGGTGGATTGAATGAAATGAGTTGTACCTGGAAACGTTTTCCAATTGGAGAGTCTGGATCAGCTTCTTCTAGTATTGATGATGTTGACCCTGACTTTTATGCTCAGGAATATTTTCTTAGCAGGGAGAGCTCTGCAGATATATGCGGTCTTGATGTGTTTACATTAGATCCTGATGCAACACCAACAAAAGAGACAGTTGATGACAACCTTGATAAGTTTAATTATTTTCCACCTGAATTCAACTCGTCCACGTATAATACACCAAACTTTTTATCGCGGACATTGTCTCGTATTTCTGAGAGGAGTTCAAATTCCGAGAAAACCGATGAAGACTCGATAAAAGCTTCGATGAGTGATGCCAGTCATGAAGAATCTATTCATCAGGGTACCATTAGTTCTGGTTCCCCTAGTAATGCACAGGGAAGCGATAAGAAAGTTAAGACATTGCCTAAACAACCAAGTAAGGAAAGTGAAAAGTTTGAGTTGCCAAATATGACCAATTTGCTTCAAAGACAAATCTCTGATGATCGACGGACTTCTGCCGAAATGGCAGAGTTATCAATAGATGACATAGAGATTATTACCTCAGAACGAGGGCTTAGATTAAAACGACAAGATTCTGATGATACTATAATTGATGAGGATACAAACGAAAAACAATCGTCTAGTAGTCAGGAGAGTGATGAATGGCCATTACCTGATATACCAATGCAACGACCTTTGATGGCAATGCATGAGACACCATCATCTGATAATTCTACGCAGCAGACCACACAATTATTCCAACCACCTGTTGTTTTACCAGATATTCCAAAAGTATTTGGTCTTAGGGGAAGTATTGTTAGTCAGACATCTGAGCAATGGCCGAGTCCACCATCTAGTGTGGCTGATGACGGTGAACCAGCTCTACCTCAACCAACAACCGCGGTTAAAGTGGAAACACATTATATTACTCCCCCTGAAGAAGCGTGTAAAGTAATGGTAGAGTCTAACACACAAAGTTACGAAAACGATTCCAATTCTTTATCTGATAAAACTCTTGAGTATGAAGTAGATGAAGAAGAAAAGACTCACACATATGAAAATGTTGCTACTGATCAAATATCAGAGTCCATTTCGGAAAGTCTCAGCGTGGGACCTAGTGGGGTAAAAATTGTTCTAGAACCTAAGTCGGGATCCAATTCAAATTCGGATGAGTTCAATGTTTCGAATATGCAAGATGATGTTTTTACAACAGAACATCAGGCATGCGAATCTAGAAATGAATTACGTCCCCCACAGTGATGCGGCGTTCGACCACCTCTGAGGATTCATCACATTCGGGTAATAATAATCAGAGGAAAAAGTCGAAATCGCATAGTTCTTATTCTGATGATGATGAGGCGACTAGTTCCATGGGAACAACTTTGGAAGATGGTACTGTACGATATGCATACCAGCCAACAAAATGTACGCATAGCAGTCATAGTGAAGATACTTCCATTGCTCTATCACTCTCTGAGTGGTCTAACAGTACAACTACTGTCAAGTTTCAAAATTTGTCAACTAGTAATAGCGGGAAGTCATCTGGATTAAAATCCGATGATAATTCCTTGACAGATATTGCGCATTCCATTTCCGAATGGTCTAGTAGTAATTCTAATACGCTGAAAGCACAAAGCTTACAATTTCAGAAACTGTCTTCTTCAACAGGGGACAGTAGTACTTTAACAGATATGATGGGTAAGGATTGGTCAACCGGGTCTGAAAACATAATGGCCCAATCGCAATTTTATAGCACAGATCGTTCTTCGTTGAGTAGATTAGGCTCTAGCATTGAGGAACCTGAGCTTGATACAACGTCACCTAGAACAATTGCTTCCGAAGAGCTGGCTAGATTTGGACATGTTATTTCTGTAGCTCCAGTGTCATTGAGCGATGAGAAATCTAGCAGTTCTCAAGAGCAGCGCACTGTCCACACTCAGCGTTACGATAAAGAGAAACAAAAATACGCGAAACACCAATACCAACCCTCCGTTAATTTACGCACATCGTCTGTAGATCGACCAGTGAAGGTACCTCTCAAACTCGCCAAATGTTCACCGTATTATTCTAGTAGTTTAAGTTCAGAGTCAACGCCAATGACAGTAACACATCCGCTACCTATGTGTAAAACTGCTACGATTCCTCTAACAAGGACTCATAAGAAACCTGTGGCGAAAGGTGCGTTATTTCAGGCTAGAAGTCCACCTAGTGAAAACGATTCTACTAGTAGTATGGAATCAGCAAAGTGTAAATCTGAACCAAGACGTGGTTATCGCCGACGACGCCATACACCGCAAAAACGTCACAAGGTGGATAAAGATTGTACGCATCTAAGCAAAGATGATTACTTTTACGTTGATCCTGAAACCACAGAGTACAACGAATACATTCGTAATCGAAGTTTTGAAGAACTCGCCTGCGGTTACCAATACGAACACATGCAGGCAGAGAATTTGGAAGAAGGGTACTACCCTGATGGAGACTCACAATCTGGGAGCGATATTTTTCGCATGGAACGCGACGAGCCTGAACCACTCGAACCTGAAACTTTTGACGTGTCTTCTATTCCACCACCTCTGATTGAAGATGATTTCGAACAGAGGGATGATGACGAAGGTGCTGACATATGATTCTAAACACAAACGAACGAATTACTCACCAATAATAATAATAATAATAATAACAATACCAAATATAAATGTGTCACACGTGGTGCACCAACTTTATAAAATTTTATTCATCACATTTACCACCAAAGCAAACATTGTTATATATTAATGTCTTTATAAACGTTTAAAAACTCTAAAAAAGGCAAAGCTGATGAGACAACACTGATGGCTGGAATGGACTACAATCGAAAGCCTAAAAAGACTGAAGTATAATTAAAACAATGCTACATTTACAGTATTATAAACCGGGACGAATTAAAGAAGAACTAAACGAGCATCATAATAATCATAACTAAAACTCATCGATATTAAACAACACACGAATGCGGTAATATGCGAGAGGAAAAACTATGCGGCGTAAACATGTAAAAAATAATAAAAGAAGAAAATAATGTAAATATTGCGCGTAGTAAACGTAGATTCACTGGCTGGACGTATGATTATCAGTTTAGACGCCATTTTGAATCAAATCAATGAACAATTTTAGTTTTATTCAAACTAAAATTGTGCTTCGATTGATTTTATGTGGGGTATAGATGTAAACAAGGAATTTAATGCTGTAATGCGTTTACGAGTATACCGGTGCCTAATTTAACTTTAAATTGCGTTACAATCAAATTTGATGTGAACTCGAAGAGCTGCTGCGTAACGTTATTAGCACAACGCAAATCGTAATTGCGTGAATCTTCCCTGGATGCCTAAAGTTCGAAAAGTTTGTTCAAGTTGTTGATGATTTAAAAAACGTTTATTTGATGGAACTAAGTTCGTACTTTGTTGCTAGTTAACTTACACACAGAGTTTATTACTAACTATAATATATACACACTACAAAGAAAAGAAATAATGAAACAAATCGAAATGTTACTAATTATAACCTCGGAAACAAGACAAAACTGAAATCAAATTACCTAGATATAATTAATTGTTAACGTGCGCGTATTGAAATATTGAAAATATTAAAAGAAGGAGAAGACGAAATGAATATTTAGATCAAATTCCAAATTTCAACTTTAAGATATATGATATGGTGGAACCTGAAAAATTAAGAATCATGTAGTGAAAATTAGTACACCCGAACAATAAGTAGAAGAAAAACAAAAAAAAGTAACAAACACACAGTTATGAATTGTTTGTTTTATATTGATTTTTGTTTTTCGCGTTATTTATTATTCGATTATCATGTGGATTCATTCACCCGAGTGAATGTATTGGTGCCCCTTTGAATAACTTTATTATTAATTATTTATTAATTATCTCATGTGATATATGTATGTGCCAAACAACTCTCTCACTGATTTGAAACCCACGAACGATGCGAGTATGACGATTGAGGGCAAATGATTGAAACAAAAACAAAAGTTGTGCGTTTGTGAAACATTGAAGTCGATTATACACACTCAACACAAAACAAACCTACTTGATAAAAGAAATGTTTATAAATGAAAACAAACCGAGTACAATATTGATTAAATCTAACGCTATATATTAATACATTTATTACGATGATGATTGGAAAAGTCGTGTAAAAGGAAGAGTTGGTTTACAGCAACATTCCAAAGCGTAACCCCCACACACTCACAAACATTGTATTCTAGTCAATAACTAATTAATTAGGCGATTAATGATGGGGTGACACGATTACGTTTTTAAGTTATGTTTGCGTTTTTGAACGGTTAGTGCGTGGATTTCTATAACCCGACAAATATTACGATGCTATATTGTGTAAGTGATGTAATTGTTAAGTGAAGAAAAGACATACGAGCGGCTGCATTGCATTTAACACTGATATATTGATATATTCGTATTTATGATTAAAACCAGCATTCGTTTCGAAAGCAATTGATTGATTATATATTTAAACGACGAGACATTATATGAAATAGTAATCAAATAAAAGAAACAAGCGTATAATTAATACATATATTATAAAGTTAATAATTGTTAAAATTGACGTACTAAACTACACTGAATACAAATGCGACATGATAAATTCAGTCGAGTACGACTTGACAGTTAAATTAAACGAACAGTATTAAACAAGAGACACAATAAATGAGGACAACCCAATGCTCAAAATGATTATCGAATTTAACCAGGGCCTAAATGCTTTCAATTTTCGGCGCGTACCGTTCAGTTACTCATGTGCCAAACAACTTTTCAGTATTGATGATAATGCCAGCTACGTTTTGACTTTATATTCTTCATTGTCGTGCTTGTTTGTTATTAGCTCTTGCTCACACGTGCTCTCGAACATATAATGCATTTCAGTTGTTGAATTCTATGAAACCGAATGTTTTATTGATTGATTGGTTGAAAGACATTCGAAATATGTAAAAAACACAATCAATATTAATAAAAATCTCATCAATTTTTATTGAATTACTTGCGTTTATTATATTCGAAGAAATATGACAATCAGAAGTTGAAGGTGAGAATTTTTGCGAATTACATGTCGGAATGTTAAATGTTGTTCTGATACGATAGTAACTTAAATTATTCTAAGTAGCCATTATGGTTTTTTAGAAGCCAAGCTATCTCAGATTATAAGTTTGCACGATTTTTCCTTTTTGACCATGATTTTATTGAAGTTATTTGCTCGGAATGCGTCGCCCATTTGTCGCTCGTTATTTTGCCCCTGTTACAAACTTTAAGCCCTTTTCTCTGAGACAATATATTAATTAGATGGACGTTAAGTTATTTTTAACTGTTGTCGCTGTTTATTTATTGAGTTTTCTATCTGTAGACGACGAAGGCACCGCCAACATCACAATCATACCGCCGCCTCCTACGCAAAGTCCGAGCGAAAACGCCGAAAACAACAATTCCTTCTACTCATCGACTCCTATGTCGAAGACATCGAGCGTGACCAGCAACGGTTTCAGCGACGCTTTGAATGTCTCGAATGGCAGCTACATCCTCTCACCAGTCGACAATGATGCTTCACCTGTGAACAAGAACAAAGAGAACTACATGAATAATAAGAACATCAACGGAAATACGAATGGCATCAACAACAATATTAATGCGAACACAACGACGATTATTGCAGATATTGAGGGTGAAGTTAAGAAACGCGTGCCACGATACGACAAGATTTATTATATTGCTAAAGAGATTTTGACAACAGAAATTACATACAACAAAGATTTAGATGTAATCAACACCGTAAGTATTTCTAAATATTACGTTGTATTGTACTTTGAATGCAAATCTGTGTTTCTTAGTGTTTTAGGGAAGAAGTTTTCCGGGAAGGTTTTGAAGAATGCTCCATGCTTCTTGGTTTGGTGGCACCTCTAGCTCATGCTCACGCGCAACTTGTCAAAGATCTAGACCAACGGATGAAAAACTGGGAAGGCCAGGGTGGACCAAAAAACAACTCCGGGAAGATTGCAGATGTTCTTTTGACGCATTTACCACCCTTGTTGACCGTTTACGAGGAATATTTAGACGGGCATCTTCTGGTATTGGAAAGATTAGATCAGGCATCTAAACAGAATACACGATTTGAGCAGCTGTACCGCGAATTTGAAATGCAAAAAGTTTGTTATCTTCCGCTAAGCGTGTTTGTTTTGAAACCTCTGCATCGATTGCTGCATTATCAATCATTGCTACAGAGATTGTTAAAAAATTACGCACCGAATCATTCGGATCGTGCGGACTGCATGACTGTAAACAATACATTAAAGGATTTAATACAACCTGTCCTGGATACTCTAGCAATTTCTGAAAATCTTGCGACACTTTGTGAACTTCAACGGGATGTGGTTGGTTATGACAATATTGTTCAGGATGGAAGGAAATTTATCCGACATGGCTGCTTATTGAAACATTCGAGAAAGGGATATCAACAACGCATGTTTTTCTTGGTATATTAAACTTTTTATCTTTATTTGAATCAAATTTTACAGCATTTTTTCTTTCAGTTTTCTGATATACTCTTGTACACATCTCGATCGGGTACGTCACAGTTTAAGGTCCATGGCCACATGCCGCTGCGTGGTGTATTGATAGAAGAACCAGAAGGCGAGTTAGCCAACTATGGATTAATTATTTATGGTGGAAATCGTGCTCTCACCGTTGCAGCTAATTCACAGGAAGAGAAAGAACGCTGGAAGGCAGACCTACAGCAAGCTATTCAGCAAGCCCGTGATAAAACAGACACAAAGGTGACATACCTTAGCCTTAAAAGCAGTTCTTCTTCAGATGAAATTCTTGATCAATGTGGCAACGACGTGCCAAAGGCAGCAGCACAGAGAAATAATACAACTGTACATGTTTGTTGGCATCGCAACACAAGTATTAGCATGAAGGATCAATTGATTGCTGTTGAAGTAAGTGGACGGGTTCGCTTACTTGAACATAGCATAATAATTTGTTACTTTTTAGAATCAATTATCAGGATATCTTCTAAGAAAGTTTAAGAGTAGCAACGGTTGGCAGAAATTATGGGTGGTGTTTACATCGTTTTGTTTATTCTTTTACAAGGGGTGCACTGATGATTTTCCACTAGCTTCATTACCATTGCTTTGTTACTCAGTTGGACCGCCAACACCTGAAGACGCAATAGGCAAGGATTTTGTTTTCAAGTTGCAGTATAAGAATCACGTGTACTTTTTCAGAGCTGAATCTGAATACACTTATCAGAGGTAATAGAATAGTAGTGCGTGGTTTTATTTTATGTATGATATTAATCTTGTGTATTTCTATAGATGGTTGGAAGTAATCAGCAGTGCTACACAACAAGGTACAATCAAAAGAAAGCACATCGACAATATTGCTAATCAAAACTCGATTGAAACTTCGCCAGAAAAGTAGATTTAAATTGATTCGAAAGCAAAATTCGACTCTGAAACGAAAATAAACGAATATTTTTTATAAAATTCGGAGAAAAATAATTGACGAAAATATTTAGAACGGCTGTGCATTTTGCAATAATGCTTAATTATATATTCGTAAGATTACAACTCTTTACTTGTAGTAATCTTTAGTTTTATGAAGAAAAAATGCATTTATTACATTTACTATTATACTTTTTATGCTCTAAATTTAATGTTAAAAAGGGTCATTCCAAAATGAGAATTGTTCACACTCACGGAAACGGTTATATACGTAAAATGCTGAAATGTAAAGGCAGTTAGCACGAGTTGATTGTTTTGTCAACTCGTGGATAGCTAAGCAAATGCTCATTCGGCATGATTTGTTGTAGAAGTCTACATTTTAAACGATTTAAAATTAATGCCTTATATGTAATTAGCCGAGAGCCATGTATATAGTGTATTTATACATTTTATTTACTCTGATTATTCCATAAGATTTGCTTATTGTATTTGCATTTATTTTATAACATTACTTAGAATTACGATAAGGCCAAAACTCGATTTACATTGTTCTAATTAGGAGATATGTATTTATGATTTGTAGAAAGGTGTGGGTGGCGGTAGCATTTATACGAGAAACACTTAAAAGATTTTATCATGTTGAACATTTGTTCAAATTTATAAGCAGCTAAATTGTTAGCGTGAGCTGATATTGTTAAAAGTTTGAAATTTTAAAATTTACACACTCCAAGTGGCCTTTCATCATGCAAAAAGCTATTTTTATATTTATTAATTTTATTAAGACTATTGTGTAATGTCCGTAATTTAATAAAATGATTAATTATTACAACATTTACTAAGATTTAAATTGGGTTGGAGCGCGTACCGTGGTGACGGAATAGATGCAATGCTCTGCAATAGTGTTGCATAATTTCGATTTTGCATTGAGCTAATTTAATTCTGCACATGAGTTACGTACACAAAAACGATGTCAAACATTAATAAACTATTTATTTTTATCAGAATTGTCTTAATTTGAAGTTAAATGATTGAACAATTGTTTAAATATTTAAATTTTATCAGCGCTGCCAACTACTCGGTTACTTTATCCCTACATCAAATATTTGCTTATTTGTAATTTTTTGGTTATAGTCACAGGGCAAGGGGGAAAGTGAAACAAGTCAAACGAAATCAACCGTAGATAAGCCTAGTGGAACGTAACTAAACACGGCGAATGACACAACAATAATTAATTCACGACGCTAATCGAATTAGGAACGTAACTACCAAACCGAAAAGACTGCAGCCGTGCGTACAAATGGCTGGCCAACTTCAGACGATCGCTTCGCTAGCATTGATTCTTGCCGCAGTCTGCTTGTTGAGCAGCTTCTTCGTCGCCGCCGAAGAGGATGACTTTGATGATTTGCCCGTGTCCAAGTTGAGCTCGAATGCTGGCGTTCCAACACTTAAATTTTATTACTGGTACTTTAATATTTCATTCTTTTTAAACCTTGCATTTACAAATTTTGTGTACTAATAGTTCCAATTTTATTTTAGTTATTCTTGTGGGTATAGAAGAGCTTATGAAGAGTATGTAAACATCCTGCAGGATCGGTATCCATATTTGATGGTAGATGGAAAGAACTTTGATCCTCCTGGATTAAATATGTTGATAGCTAGAGTTTTGGTAAGTATACATTAAACACATTTTTTGTTTTAAATTAATATTTCTTTTTTTGTCAGGGTTTACTAAAAATGGTGTTAATTATATGTATTCTTGGCAGTATCAATTTGTTTGCCTACATTAACTTAGCACCTCCATCTTGGTGGGTCTGGTGTTTAGACAACAAGCTGTATGCTTGTTTAATGTTGTTTTTCCTCTGCAATTTATTTGAAGGGCAGTTAATTCAATCTGGTGCTTTTGAGATTATGTTTAATGACATACCTGTGTGGTCCAAGCTTGAAACTGGCAGAATACCCCAGCCAAATGAACTCTTTCAAATTATTGATTCACACATGAAGCTCCCAGATAATATTCTTGATATTGGGAAGAACAAACTTATTTAATCACACATTCTTGCATTCATCTAAATATCACATTTACTTCGGAATTCTAATTCATGTTATTTGAGTTTAAACATTTGAACTTCAGATTGTATCACACTGTGCTGTTGCAAATTGTTTCATTTGTCTGAAATAATATGAAATGTTATACATTGTAATTGGACGTACATTTACTTACGATTGTCTTAGTTCATTGACGAATTGTAATGCGAAGAACATTCAAAACTGGCGTTTGTTATTGTGTGTTCATGTTTTGGAAATGTGTGTGATTCGTCGTTTTGTATATTGATAACTGCAAGGATTAAAGACCACAAAAAGTAAATTTACATTGATGTCTAAGTTAGCAATAATGTGATATTGAGAAATAAAAGGTAATTATAGGAAATGGCCTTGATTTTCTATATTTGCAGAACATTTTGTTGGTTTAATTTCAATTACAAAATTCATTAACATTTAATGTAGTGACCGAAAGATGTCTCTACGGATCGTAATATGGTAAGAAAATACGACCCTGAGCGCGTTGTTCAGAGACTTGGCTATAATTCAAATTTAAATACATAATTTAAAATGTACAAAATGTAATTTAAATGAAACGACTTTTTTTCTATTTTGTTTTGCAGTGAAAAAACATCGTGTAGCATTATGAACTTGGTTGGCACTTTTGTGATATTCTATTTATTTATTCAGAATCATCACAGTACCATAATAAATATGACTAAATTTCATACCTGCATACTAGGATGATTGTTTTCATTTTCTTCTCGGCGCTTTTATCTGCGTTTGTTGCTGAACAAGTTTTTATAGTGGTGCGGTGTCTAAATCCGATATCTAAATCCGCGCACACAAATCGTGTTCAGGGCAGTGTATAAGGGTAGCGGTAGAAGTGACTCGGTTCAGGGCACCGTATAAAAGTAGCGGTAGAAGTGACTCGTGTTCAGGGCACCGTACGGGGGTAGCGGTACAAGTGACTCGGTTCAGGGCACGTTACGAGTGTAGCGGTAGAAGTGACTCGTGTTCAGGGCACTGTATAAGGGTAGCGGTAAAAATGACTCGGTACAGGGCACCGTATAAAAGTAGCGGTAGAAGTGACTCGTGTTCAGGGCACCGTACGGGTAGCGGTAAAAGTGACTCGGTTCAGGGCACCGCATAAAGGTATCGGTAGAAGTGACTCGTGTTCCGGGCACCGTATGAGGGTAGCGGTAGAAGTGACTCGTGTTCAGGGCACTGTATAAGGGTAGCGGTAAAAGTGACTCGGTTCAGGGCACCGGATAAAGGTAGCGGTAGAAGTGACTCGTGTTCAGGGCATCGTACGAGGGTAGCGGTAAAAGTGACTCCCATTTAGGGTACCATATGAAGGTAGCGGTAGAAGTGACTCGTGTTCAGGGCATCGTACGAGGGTAGCGGTAAAAGTGAGTCGTATTCATAAAATATAAATTATTTTTGGACCTTTTAGACCAGGAAATTAAATTATTTTATATTTTTACCTGATAGAGAATTTCGCTAGTGCTATTAATTTAAAAGATACTCGTTATCAAAAATACTCAAAAAACATGACGCCCATTTAACTTCTTATTAAAAAAAACTAGGCACATTTCATAGGAATTGCTATGACGTTGTGTGGAAAACACTCCGTATCACCAGTAATAATTTAGTAATTTTAGATTTATTATTATTTGGTTGTTAAAGTGTTCCTCTGTAATATAAGGTCATTTTTTAGTGTCTAAGTTCTTTGAAAGCGCCCTAAAATTCAGATCAGAATTTGTTTCTTTATTCAAGTATTGAAAATTTGATACGAAATTCTAATTTTAATTTATTATTGCATGAACTAACAATCATAAAATAAATTTATGCTGCGTATTTTTATGTTTATTGTAAAACGTGTCCACGAGAATAGTTTGGGACACAATTCCTTTACCTGCGTTTGTTTATAAACACCTTTTTATCGCATTCGCAGAGCGGAATACAACATGCACGTAGCTGCACCATTGATTAGTTTTGATCGCAGGTAAATTGTCTATTGCAATTCGTGCACAAGGTCGCGTGTCATCGACGCGCCGCCGACTTTGGGCATCTATTACTTTTGCCTGCGGGGTTCAGGCAGCAGGTAGTCTTATCATAAAATCACGCGATGTTGCTTGCTCGGCTACGGCATACGCTATCGGTGGACTGCAGCCAGTATTGTGCCGGTCGTTGAATGATCCACGCGTATTTCGTGCGATTTTTTCGTTCAATCGAACTCCTCCTTTCTACATTTGCATTATATTCGATCATTACTCGACTATTTAGTAGTAACTTGCATCTGCAGCGTTTGGTAGTGATTAATTGTGCGTTTAATGCCTATACGTTGCGCATAACAAGTAACGGTCGACGTGTGTTGGTCGCCGCGTATCTTAGGATTAAATAGTGTTGAGTTTACGAGTAGATTCAATTGTGTATGGACACTGCCAGGCGGTTTTCCTGCAATTAAAGGACCATTAGTACTTGGGTAAGTAACATCTATAAGAACATTGTTACAGACAGAACAGATTATATTGTTATATCTCCGATGTGTGAATATGGGCATAATATTAAATCTAATGAAATATTTCAATTTGTTTTCTTTTATTTACAGCGCTTGGCGAGTCTTTAGTGCCATGAGCACTGCATTGGTAAGTTTAAAATTCAATTATATTTTTTCTTCAAATGTGCGAATCGTACTTTTGTATGTTTTCTTTATCGCGTTCCACACGCGCGTTGTCTAAATTTGTTCTTTTGTAATTTTTAAAATTTGCCGTGGCAAATGGATTACATCACGCGAACCCTTCACAATATTTTAGTTATTTCTTCTTTATGTGATAAAATAAGAGTCCTTTTCACGGTGCCCCCTTGAAACCTCGCGAATTTCTGTCCTTACTGTCTCAAAATGGCCGCGAAAGTTTGCCCTTTTTGAGCATTTTTCAAAACTTAGGGTGGAAAACTGGTCATATCTCGCGAACCCTTCGCAATATTTAAGTTATTTCTTCTTTATATGATAGAGCAAGAGTCCTTTTTCAAGATGCACCCTTAAAACCTTGCGAATTTCAGTCCCAACTGTCTTAAAATGGCCGCGAAAGTTTGCTCTTTTTAGCATTTTTCAAAACTTACGGTGGAAAACTGGTCATATCTTGCGAACCCTTGGCAATGTTTAAGTTATTTCTTCTTAATATAATAGAGCAAGAGTCCTTTTTCAAGACGTACCCTTGAAAATTCGCGAATTTTAGTCTTAACTGTCTCAAAATGGCCGCGAAAGTTTGCTCTTTTCTAGCATTTTTCAAAACTTGCGGTGGAAAACTAGTCATATCTCGCGAACCCTTTGCAATATTTAAGTAATTTCTGATTTATGTGATAAAGCAAGAGTCGTTTTTTAAGATGCACCCTCAAAACCTAGCGAATTTTAGTCCTAACTGTCTTAAAATGGCTGCGATAATTTGCTTTTTTCTAATATTTTTCTAAACTTGGGAAATTGGTCATATCTCGCGAACCCTTAGCAATATCTTAGTTATTTCTTCTATATATTATAGGGCAAGAGTCCTTTTTCAAGGTGCAACCTTGAAACCTCTCGGCAATCGGTTTTAACTGTCTCAAAATGGCCGCGAAAGTTTGCTGATCTTTAACATTTTACAAAACTTGCGGTGGAAAAATGGTCATATCTCGCTAAGCGTTTGCAATATTTTAGTTATTTCTTTTTTATAAGATAGAGCAAGAGTTGAAGATGCACAATTGAGCTCTAGCAAAATTTGGACTGTCTCAAAATAGCCGGGATTTTTTGGCATGTTTTAAGATTAGGAAAATTCTTATTTTTTATATTTTGTAATACTCGGAGTTAATGTCAATTTTATTAACCGCGCGTTTTTGGTACACTCGGTGAATGTAGTTTTGTTCGTGCTTATTTTTCAACATCTTCGCGAACGAAAACAACTGTTATCTTGAGCGAGTCTACACCGACGTGTGTTGCACTGAACATAGAAATTATTTAACATTTGCTGTATATTTCTGCGTATTTGTATCCAATATATTAGAGATAATTGCTTTATTAAAGTATTAGTAAGTATTAGTAGTAGCCTTATTTTATAGAGACTAATGCGCAATGTTTTTACTCTCATTTCTTACAGTGAATGTTTAAAATAGAGCCCGTGTTGTGAATACCAATTAACTAAGGTAGTTAAGATAGTAACTATTCAGTAAACTTAAAAAATAAATTATTTACCTATTTGTAATGATAAATAAAATTCCTGTTTTTCTCAATCTTAATACATCCCAAAGTAAAAGTAAATTTCGTGTATGTCGGTTATTTCAACATTGTGAAATTTTAGTTTGATCTTTTCAACTACGTGTTTATCAGTACGTTTGTGTATAAACACCTTTTTTGTTCGACTGACGCGTGTTACCGCGACGTACCTGCCTTGTAGCTGGTTACGTGCAGCGCACACGGCAGTCGTTTCACCGCGTGGTCTCCAGGCGTCTCTCTTTAATCGCCACGCGTTTTGAGTTTTTAATTGGTTTAATCGTCGTGTATTCTTTCGATCATCAGCAAAATATTTGCAACGGGCACGTGGGGTGTTATGTGTGATGATTTGTGGCGGTTAGGGTCTTCTTAAGTGCGAAATAAGTATCCGTTAATCTGCGCGCGAGGTTTCTGTTGACAGAATATATTCCAGGATAGAAAATCTCCTCATCAATGCTTAGGTAGGTGTGTAATTAATTTTTTTTTTACGTAAAGTTAAGGCGGTTTAACTTAAATTGCTTATAAAATTTGAGGGATATTAATTTTCCTTGTATTATCTTGCAAAACACGTGGTGGCATTTTTATCAGAATTCCTAGTACCGTTCCCGAAAATAACATGCATGATTTAATTAGTACAAACACGGTTTCTAAAAATATGTGAGGATTATTAAAACGACAATATTCATGTGGTCGACCACGTTCACTTTGTCGTCGACCGTCGAAGTGCACTCGTTAGCATCATTAAATTAAGAAGTTTCTAGTTGACCTAATAAAATCTTGTACGGTGAATAGTTTTTTGTTTTCGTAGTTTGCGTATATCTACAAAGCAATAGTTGTTATTACAGTATTTAACGACTATTTTGTTACGCGCCGTCGTTTGTCGTCTGCTGATTTGGATGTTTTCCGACGGATATTCTATCAATTTATGATGATGCTTCACCCGTCGGTTATCTTACGCTACAATAGGTATATTAAAATGCAAGTGTTTTATTTTCATAGCACCTTTTTGCTCAATTTCATTTTCGAAGATTTTCGGAGATTTTATATTAAAATATTGTTATTTTCTTGATGTTGTGAATATTGACACAATTTGTAGTTTCTAAAATTTTCTGCGTTTCGTTCCTAATTATCTCTTTTAGTTTACGAGATATTCGCGATTGAATAAAATGGGCAAGAATTGCCATTTTTCCTGATGCAGAATTTAATTCTGTATCCCCTGTATCGAAATTTATTGCGAGAAAATTCCGTAACGCGAGTTGTATTGAAAGTTGTATGTGTGAATTGTAGTTCTTTTAGCATAACACACGAACGCGGTATCACAATAAGTTCGGAATAATTTTCACAGATGCAGTATTTTATTCTGTATCTCCCTGTATCGAAATTTATTGCGAAGAAATTCTGTAACGCGGGTTATATGGAAAGTTGCATGTATACGCACTAGTACTCGTTGCGCTGGGAATTGTAGTTTTTTTGATATAACACGCGAACGCTGTGTCACAATAAGTTTGGACTTATTTTTCCAGATGCAGAATTTAATTCTGTATCTCCCTGTATAGAAATTTATTGCGAGAAAATTCAATTCGGAGACAATAAATTATTTATTTGTATTTGTAAATTTGTAAATGTGTGGCTGTTTTGTTTGATGAGTTGTGGCGGTTAGAGTGTTCTTAAGTAAGAAATAAGTGTCTGTTAATCTCTGCGCGAGTTTTCAGTTGATAAAATATATTCCTGGATCTAAAATCTCTTCATCAATACACTGGTAGGTGTGTAATCACTTTTTTTTTGCTGTAAGTTAAGGTGGTTTAACTTAAATTGATTATTGCATTTGCACGTGGTGGCATTTTTATCAGAATACTTAGTCGTGTTTCCGCAAATAAAATCTTGTAGGTTGAATAGTTTTTCGCTATCATAGTCTCCGTATATTCTAATATTTTCAAAGAAATTGTTATTTCTATCGTATTTACCGACTTTATTGCTACGCGCCGTCGCGTCTGTTAATTTAAATGTTTTCCGCCGGATATTCTATCACTTTATGATGATGCATCTCCCGTCGTTTACCTTATACAGTTGATTCTACCATCAATTAATAAATATATATTCACAATATATTAAAATGTAAGTGTTTTATTTTTTTTAGCACCCTTTTGCTCAATTTTCCGATGTTTTCTAGTAAAATCTCAGATTTTATATTAAAATATAGGTGTTAATTTGTAATCTTCTTCACATTGTGAATATTGACCCCCTTTGTAGTTTCTAAAATTTTCTTTTTGTAATACCTTGTATATCAGTTTTCCTAAGAGCACGTAGAAAATCACTTTTAGTTGTGAGTTTAGAGTGTTCTCTTTTTTGAACATGGAATTTTCTTTCTTGAACACCCTGTATATATGTTTTCCTTTGTGCCCGTGAAAATTTTGCTTTGTCTGTCGATTTTATTATTTTCCCGATTACACTTATAATTTTCTTTCTAGAACACCCTGTATATTAGTTTCCCTGATCGTCGAGTGTTTCCATTTTCAATATCCTAGAAAATTGGCTATTTACAAATTTCATTAGCCCGGTAGAACTTCATGAAGTAGTACTTGCTGGCATGTGCGCGGCTATGCTGGTCGAAAGTTCCGTTTCAATATGGCGACATGTATTCTGTTGACTTGTAAAATATAAACGTGTATTCTATTGTAAATAAATAGTAAGATATATTTACTTCTTTGATTTGTGTACCTCTTCAATCATTTCAGGAACAGGTCTCCAGGAGTGATCCCCACTATAAAAATTGTTATGGTATCCTGTGCGATTTGTGTGCTCCTTCTTTCATTTCAGCTACAGGTCAGAACTTGTAAGAATATTTTTAAGTGTCGCCTCTCTTGAGCCGACTTAAAACTTAGAAATATTTGAACAAGACCTTATAAGGATTGTCCTTATATGGAGTTCCCTCTCTCTGGGGGTGATCCCCCACCATAAAAATTGATGATATGCCTGATAATTCCGGGGATGAAGCGCAGAGACATCGTAGCTGTAGGATGGGCCGGGAGCAATGGACGCATCGAAGCAGTTAGACTGTCTAACGACACGGGCCAAAAAATTTAAAAATCTGATCCTCTCCTGTTCTCTTTCTTCTATCTATTCCTCTTCTTTACGCTACTCTCTTGTTTCTTCTATCTTCTTCTATCTTCTCCTATTCTCTTCTTCTTCTATTTCTCTGTTCCTCCACTTGCTTCCTTATTACTCATATTGCCTTCACTTGTATTTCAATTTCTCTTATATTTCGTTGCAGTTCATATATGCAACCCAAATTACACCTGTTATTTTTATATTTGAGAAAAATGCCTTCTATACCTGAGATTCGATCCGTGTCTATTAGCATGCCAGCAGGTGCACGTCTCCACTCGACCACCGAGTGCTTTTATCATTGTTATTTGATTCTTCTATTTATGTTTCTACTTTTATCATGTTTTTAAAAACAACACAATTCAAGCAACAGTTAGTTATGTTATACCCGCTACACACAGATAAGCTTTATATACCATATTATTTAAAACTGAAAACGACAAAGAGGGTACCACATAGAAAAGTGAATTAGTTTATAATATTACTTTATAAATCTAATTTTATTGACAAAATTAAACAATAGAGACATTTTATTAAATAGAAAAATATCAACATCTAGCAAAATCGGAAATAGAAAAAACTTGCTCATTGGTACATTCACAAACTTCTTGTCTGGGCATCAAAGTTGTTCATTTGCTGGAATTATATATATACCCAAGTTATTCTTATGTGCGAAACTAGTCGCGATGAATACGCGCACCTCACCCGATGTCCGAAATTGAACTGCGTGTGCAGCAAAATACATACAGCCAACTGACGACACGAGGTCACTATCAGTATTGTGCGATACACAAAATTCGCTGAACGCGACAAAAAAATATTTACATAAAAGTCTCGCGGGTACAGATCTTTACTGTGGATCCATAGCAAGCAGCGCCTGTTTTGGTACTACTAGCGCACTAGACAAAATATCTACGGCGCCCAACTGGAAATCTTTAATCACAAGGCCCAAATATTTTGAATAGGACAAAGATAATTGGAGATTAATTTAATACTTCCAGATATTCAAAATCGAGTCAGGAAAGCGTGAGATACAGACCATTTTCTACCACAACTTTTCAATAATGACAAAAATTGCTGAAGTTTGAGAGTGATTTAAGAACACTTCCCAACCCTTGATGGTGACTGAATGTAATTAATACGGCTAAAGAACTCTTCTTCTATCACCTCAAGCAAACAAAATTAAAATCCAGTCAAGGGAACGCGAGATACAGACCCTTTTCCACAGCAACTTCTCAAAAATGGCAAAAATTGCTGAAGTTTGAAAGTGATTTAAGGGCACTTCCCGATCGTTGAGGATAACTGAATGCAGTTCATACCATTAAAGAACACTTCTTCTATCAGCTGAAGCAAACAAGCTTAAAATCCATCAAGGAAACGCGAGATACAGACCATTTTCCACCGCAACTTTTCAAAAATGACAAAAATTGCTGAAGTTTGAGATTGATTTAAGGGCACTTCCCGTCCCTTGATGGTGACTGAATGTAGTTCATACGACTAAGGAACTCTTCTTCTATCACATAAAGCAAACAGAATTAAAATCTAGTCAAGGAAACGCGAGATACAGACCATTTTCCATCGCAACTTTTCAAAAATGACAAAAATAGCTGAAGTTTGATAGTGTTTTAAGGGCATTTACCGACACTTGATGGTGACTGAATGTAGTTCATACGACTAACGAACTCTTCTTCTATCACCTGAAGCAAACAGAATTAAAATCGTGTCAAGGAAACAGGAGATACAGACCAATTTACACCGCATTTTCCACAGCAACTTTACAAAAATAACAAAAATTGCTGAAGTTTGAGAGTAATTTAAGGGCACTTCTCTACCCATGAAGGTGACTGAATGCAGTTCATTCGATTAGACAATTCTTTCTCTCTTAGTAAATTAAAATTAATATCAGGCCAGGGAAACGTGAACTACAGACCGTTTTCCATTATAACGCAGAAGTGATGAAAATTGGAGATCGAATTAAGTGTACTCCAGAAACCTTGAATGTATTGGAATGCAGTCCATTTGATTAGGCAACTTATCCTCAAAATTAAAATCGAGCTGGAAAACGGAATAAAAATCCATACAAAATTACATATTATAATATATAATAATTATTATAATCATTTCCCCGGGTGCTATCAATTAACATTAAAATGTACATGCAAATACATATTACACTCGTTAGTTAGAGAAAATTAAAGAAAACGAAAATTCGGTATTTACAATAAAACTGATTTTGCAATAATAGAAATACGTACCGGATAGAATTAAAATCGCGAAAATAGAACACGTGAAAATGAAAAAAAAAATAAAGAAACGGATAATCCGTATTCCTAGCGCCACCTAGAGTTGAGAGGGTGAAACCAGCAATCGAGACAAATTGTAGTGTTCTGTAATTTATCATCAAAACTGTACCTTCGTGACTACCATATAGCATGCATATAGAAAGAACGACGTATGTCGTATCCAATCACCTTCAAGTTAGGCTTGAGGGAATTCAACTAAATAAAATAAAATTACATAATGAAAAAATGGGTAAAGGAGGGTGCTTGATACTTTTTATCGACGATTTTCGATAGCGAAAATCTTCCAAACTAAATAAGATAGCAACCACAAAATTGCTTATTATGTAAGATTGGAAAATTCTCTATCAGATGGAAATTTAAAATCATTTTATTTCATAGGGTAAATAGTATAATTCAATATGAAGTAACCATACAAACTTTTCACGAAAAATTCGCGATTTCCATTGTAAGTTAAAAAAAATCATAAAAATCCAAAATGTTGGAGCGCGATTTTTAAGCATTTCGTGCGTGATCTAGAGGGGCGGCAATGATGCATCAGTTAAAATAACTCTTGCACTATATAAATGTAAATATTCCCTATTTCCAACGCAACTTCATAAAAATTTACACAAACTGAGAAAGTTGAATAATAATTTCCAGACAGTTCCAATATGATTTTAGAGGACAGTAATAATGCTTAAGAAAATTCCTCGGATGCTCTAAAGACGAAAAAAACCTTGAAGTGACACATCTTATTCCTATTATATTGCCAGAGTTGCTTATTTTCTTAGCAAATACAATCCTGACAGTGAATGTTAATTGTATCGAATGCGGAAGTTTTTTCAGTTTAATAAAATAAGTGTTTTGGTGAAAATAAAGTACATAAGTACTTATTCCAAACTATTAGATCGTAAATGTAAAACATTCTAGTTCGAAACAATTTTAACGTATTGAAGGCGATGTAAAAAAAATTGTTTACTACTAAGGGGCCGATAAGTGCGTATAGAAGAAAACGAATACAATTCTTGTTTGCAACATTTTAAAGTTAATTAGATTCAAACTATTATAGCGTACAGTTGATCATAGTACAAAACAAACACAAAATAAACTTACATGTTGTTACAAACGATCCTTCCATCAGTGTTATTTTCCGCAATTGCGATGCACACCTCTCAATTGATAACGGCAGCCAACTACACTGGTGTAACATGATAGAATTAATTCGCGTGTCACGATAATTCCAAGTGCAATCAATAATTAGGAAAACGCAATCCATGATGATCTACCGAATATGACGCAATAAACCAAATTAAAAACTCAGGAAAAATCGCGTGCAACAAGAAACGCGTGCATGCTAAATGACCGCGTGAATACAACTACACGGTCTGATATTGGAACCTTAGAAATCTTAACCAAACAACAAAACAGCACAGCACTGATAAGTCGCGCACGTACGTTTCCCGAAAGGTCAAAGACGGATCAAGACATACCCCACCAAGTATACACCATCGAATTTGGCAAGTGAAGTTGTACACAATATTTGTATACTGGTTCGTGTGAAGAGACTAGGTCTCTTTAATTTATACATAACTGATACCGTATTAATCACACATGCAGAACTAAATTTCTACAATTTTACCCGAAAGAAGGACTTTAATTCATGCAAACATTTATAAGAAGAAACTTACATGTTATAACAAAGTTGCAATTAGATCAAAATTTGAGTTGTGTTCAATTTCAGTAGAATTTCTTAATCTTGCCGAATATTATTGCATTAAAATTTGTTGTTGCATATAACTCACGTGGTCTCCAGTCACCGTACAAGGTCGCATGCACTCCCTACCACCAACCTACAAGAATTAAATGCAAATAAGTGCCTCGTAGTGCCATCCTCAACAAACACATATTTATTTACCTAATTATTTTTCGAAAATGCCTCTAAGGCGAAACATCATACGGTATAAAGTGATTGTTGCAATTGTTGCGGTATAATTGCAGTTATAATTGATATCATTAAAACGCCAAGGTGCCTGAGAACATCTTTTTGAAGCTTGCACACTTATTTGTAAGTTTTAGTACGTTTCCATCGGTAGAGAATCACAATTAAAGAGTAATTACTAAGAAGAAGCTTTGTTTTTCTATCATTAATTGTGCTAATTTTGTTCTGTTCAAGTATTGAAATCGTAATAGGTATTCTTTATATTTAATAGGTATGAATACAAAAGTACTCTTGTAATATTCGCATATCAATTAACCAATTCAGCCTGACTTTACCCTGACCATTAGATTTGTAATTGACATAATTATGATTATGTTTCATTGGATTATAATTTGAAATAACGTAAGTTATACATTATGATTCACACTTTTTGTATGTATATAAAAGTGATTAACCCGTCAAATGATAATGATATACAGGAAATGTTAGACGTTATTTATTTAATGAAAAAAAATCCGACAAAATCTTTTTTTTTTACAATACGGTTATATAATAAAATTATAATTAAATAATTCCGCATTATTTTTTAAATTATTTTATACCGTTTTGAAGGCGTAAAAAATTGTTAATCGTTATTGTAATGTGAACTAATCGAGTAAAAATGAAGAGAGCATACATAGTAAAAGAAATATTTCAAAAATTTCAGAAAAATTCACGAATCAAAGGCAGTAGGCGGTAGTTCACTAGGTAAGCAAGTTATGTTTATACTATACGGTTTTGTTATTGATGACGTGATGTAAAAGTTTGTAAAAAAGTGTGAAACTTGTTTTTTTCAAGGTAGACATATTTAGCCTCCCCTCAGAGGAAAAATCTCTTTCGTCAGTAACTAATATAAGAGCTTAATGCACTTCATGCGTTTGAGAGACAAACATCTTTTGATAAATAATATTATTTTGAACCATGAACATTTTTTTCGCGGTTTTATTCCTGGGAAGTGTTAAGATTTTTGATTGTAGACCACAATCAGATAGTACAATCATCAGCTATGAAAATGACCCATTGCACGATGGATCAAATGGAGAACAATTGTACAAATACAGGTATGCTTTAATTAAATTCCTTAATTAAAATTATAATAAAAAACAATTCTGGTAATTTAAGTTACAAGACGAGTAATAATATTGAAGTGGAGCAAAATGGAATCGTAGACTCAGAGGGAGTTCTCACAGTTAAAGGATGTTTTTCTTATGTGGACGATAAGGGCGTAACGCAAAAAGTGTGCTATATTGCTGATAAAAATGGTTATCGTATAGCGCCTCTCCCTATAGATTCACCTCCGCTTCTACCGAGACCTTATATTAGTAGTGCTTTATTGTCTAGTTTATCAGGTCAAGGATTAGGATAAGTAACAAAAGTTTTCGACAAGTCAATGAATAATGATTTTACTCATTGCATTGTTTTTCATTCCTTATTAGCTTTCGTTAATAATAATTGTTTGGAATATATTAAGTACATTGTAAAATTAATGGTTCAACAAATAATTTTGTCTTTAGTTACAATATAAGAAAGTTGTATATATATATAGTTGAATATTTTATAACCTGATAAATTTTTGTAGCAGTATTATTTTGATTTAATAAGAATAAAACTATTAATCGGAGTCTTGATTATTGATACTTTCTTGATTCAATTTATGGAATGATTTTATAGGTAAGTTAATTGAGAAACACAACAACACCACGCAAACAAACCGTTTTTTGCTTTGCATTCCCAAATTAATGCAATTGTATTAAAACCACTATGCGCAAACGATGAAGAGTTCTCTTTAATGCATATGTATTCTAAGATATACCAGTTTAATTGAAAACCAGACTTATGTATTTTATTAAAAATAAATATCGAATTTAAACTCACCAACAATAAATACTGCAGTGTTTCATCGTTTCACCAAACTTCATAGATTTGTTTTGCTTGGATAACGGATTAACTATCACGTTCCCGTTTTCGGTCTTCGAAATTGAACGAGTTTACATATTCACGAAAATAATAAAGTATTGTAAAATGTAAACATGAATAACTTCACAAATTGTTGGTCTCGCGATAAAACTATTCTTATATGTCGCACATTTTACAGACACAAGAAGACAACTTACTGATACCGTTTTTGATAGAGATAACTTCAACAAACAAGAGAATAATACAAATAAGTGCATCCTGGCGCCATCTAGTATTGATTTAGAAAGAACAATCGAAGACGCTACATAAGGCTGCTTGTCCACAATAGGTGATGTGGGCGGAATATAATATTAACATCAAACTACTAAAAAGGATAAACTTGAACACCTTTTTTTTATAACAAATAATTATTTATTTGTAACAATACTACGTCAACGATGTTTACAGCACAATAATTGCTCAGATTGCAAATCAAATTACACAATTCGCTGTGTGCACGCCAGAGTGAACACACTAAGAACCAATTTGTTACTCGGGCGTGCAAACCATTACTTGGCTGTGGATGGATGGAGCGAAAGCCGTTCGTTAATGGTCGTCAGACTCTCCCACGGGATTGCCATCGGCGCGACTCTCTCACGTTGACAAACTTATGAGCTGTTCGCGACGAGGCAGGGTGGAGCGAGAGAAGGAAATTGAGGAAGGACTGGGTGGATTATCTCCTTTGATTCGAACTGAGTGACGCGCGCGCTGACTTACCTAGCTTCGGTATGCGTATTGGCTCCGTGTCGTGCGCCAACACTTCGTGTTGCTGGTTCCTATACGTGTAGGCGATGTGCAGTGATTTTTCTTCGCCGACAGCCGGATCAAAAAATCCCGGAAGTTGACTCTGAATAACAGAATAGATATAATTCGCATTTCACAAAAACCAAATAGCTTGCCTACCTTTGATAAGTCGTGCAAAACTAATTTACTATCTTTCACTAAACATTGAAGTGGTATTGTAACATCTATCGCTTCTTCAGTCAGGTCTTGAATCACATCACCTTCCTCAGCTGAAAGGAAATTAATATGGTATCAACTTGGTTGAGTAGTTTGGTTACAGTGTTGCTTACCACATATTTTACCATATATAGCTCTCACAACAACAAGACCATTTTTACTGGTCTCGTCGATCATGATTCGCTCATAGGCCGCCTGCATGAGGTCCACCGCAGCTTGAGCTTCCTTTCGTTTTTCAGCCATTTTCTGACGGTTGTCCTGCCGCTGCTTTTCCACTTTCCGAGCGCGTTGTTCCTTGAGAAATGGTTCGACAAAACCCTTCTGCACCACCACATAAACGACAAGTGGCACGATCGTCGCATAGAAAATAGGTGCTGGCATCACTTCTTCGCACAAGTGAATGGGGAACGAGTACACTTGATTTGCACGAGTTAATCTGAAAATGAATGAACACATATTAAATAAATATACTATTTGTTTTAAATGGCATCAGTTGTATTTTTCCTTACCTAATTTTAAGTTTTATGCCACTCGGCACTCCTACCGATACGGCCGCTGATAAGTTGCTATGCTTTGACACTTTTCTTTCAACGCCATACTCTACTAGCCCTCCGAATGTGCCCAATCTGAAACAAAATACTTTATTCTGTCAAACACCAAACACAATCAATCTGATAGCAAACAAGCAGCATACTTAATCAAAACTTTTAACTTCAATTCTTGGTTCATCATTTTTCTAGCATAACTAACGGAAACAAATGAGTGTGGAAGACCCAACTGCATAATCAACGACCCGGTCCCAGTCTCTAAACAAGAGAAGAACAACCATTAAGAAAGAATTCATTATTAAAATTTAGACATACCTGTATCACGAACAATTGAAGACGAGACAAAATTACGAAGACCACCTTGGTAAGTCAAATATCCTACTGAATGTTTATCAATCTGCATGGCAATCGCTAAAATAAAATTTAAAAATGGGAAATGTATTGATGGCAATTAATCACGCATTATTTATTTATTTCGTAAATAATGTAAATAAAACTAGTAACTACTTACTGGATACAAGACCTCCTCGGAATCCTTGGGGTGCCAATTGTAGCATTGTACCACCATTCCAAAAAAACCTCTTGCTTAACGTCCGAAAAGCTTTTAGACTAAACACAGGCCCATTTCCTGCAGCAAATTCCGTCTCAATCCACGACTTATGTGAATAAATGTGCCGCCAACTGAAGCTTACATCCCCATTTCCATTGCCATTTTGTGTATGCAATGATCCACTCATGGTGCAGGTATCTTTTTGAGTTAGTGGAAACTCCACAGACTGATTGAATGTCATACCAGATACTTCTATGTTTGGCAATCCTCCAGACTCACTAAATATTGTATATAGAAACAGGAAACTATATAATATTATAACTAATTACTTACACATCATCATCCATCAGTTCATCTACATATGGATTAAACAAGTCAGTTGCATTAATGTTAATTGTTACTAATCCATGAGGATTAGTTCTCTGTTGCTTCTTTCTCTCTGCCCTCTCCTCAGCAAGTTGTTCATATTCAGCACGAATTTCAGCAGGTGTCCGCGTTCTCTGTACAACCTCCCATCCTTCAGTGTCCAGCCCTTTTACTCCTAGACTATCATAAATTGCTCTTTGGTGTGGATCTGAAAGCACCTCATATGCCCTCTTTGTTTTGTTGAATAACAGCTCTGCCTTTGCCTTGCTCTCTTCATCCAGATGTTTATCTGGATGATATAGTCGACTAAGACGTCGATAGGCATTGTTGATATCCTCTTTAGAGGCCTAATCATACACCAAATACATTTATTTATTATATTATCATATATTGAATACATGTGTTTAGATAAAATTGTCAATACTTACGTCTCGTGGAATATTCAAAAATGCGTAAAAATCCTCCTCGATGATATTGGTCTCGTCGTCCGAATCAAAGTCCATAGTTTCGTTCCTGGCAGTGCCGAAAATTTGCAAAGGAAACTCAAGGACTACACCGCACGTTACGTTTACATGAAGTATGAAGTTAACCTATTTGCACGCACTCCCCGGCTGCGAGGATGACTAGCAACGCCGGCCGCGACTCCCAGTTCCGGCAAATTGCACGTGCACTCATTAGCGCCTGAAACACGCTAATTGTATTTGTTTACGTCGCGTTTATTGATGCTTGCAAAACTTGGCAGTTTTTGGCGATGCTGCTAGCGGCGAACGTTCGAGTCTTTCACATGCCCGTGACATAACAGCTGCCACAGCGCAAGTCGTAATATATCGCGCAAAATTATGAAACTTCACAAATTATACTTATGGAAACCTGAACACTAATTTATACAGCGGATAAACTTGTCTTCGATTATGATTCATACTATGTTAATATTAAGAATGATTAAAACAAGTGTTTTATTTTATAACCTGATAATAAAATTACCTGAATATTTAAAATTTCTCCTATTAATGTTGAGGTACTACAATAGTAATAAGATTATTATTTTATTTTCTTCGTTTTAGTAATATTTTAGGCACACTCAAATTATTTAAGCTTTTTTTAATTTTTTCAGTTTTTATACAAATTGTGGAAGTGTATATTTGGCTGCCTATAGTGTCGGTACATGTTGCTTTTGTGAGTGGCGTTGATTTAGTTTGAATTCAAAATCAGATTATATATTTATTCGCATGCAATATTAATTCGGTTTTAGTGATGATGGTTGATGCCAATTGGTGCATCCCATAAAGTCTGGCTCATATTGATACGCAATACTATTAAGTTTAGTAAATCCCGGTTGCAGCTTTGAAAATAAACAATGAATTATATTATATTACAGCTCTAATAATATAAGCCACAACATGAAAAGTCCGAGTGTTTTGCAATAAATATTTGACGTTACAGATAAAATCTGATCAAATGTATCTTCATGTTCATCAACTTATTCTTACTTTGCAAGTTCATTAATACCAATATAATACCTTCGATCATCCGATATATCATATCATTAATCTGTTCGCACGTTTAATTCGTTAATACATTAATGCGCGGCGCCCTTCGCCAGCGGATAAACGTCCGTAAACGAAGTGCGAGGCACTGCCGCTCGTCGCTGCACGGCGGTTACATAAATTGGTGCATATTTAATGAACGAGCGCTTAATTATTTATCGATTGTATCGGATTGGCGATTGCGGCCGACAGGAAGCGCATCGGAAATGTATTGATGTTTCGTTAATGAATGTGGCGGCGCGCATGCAATATTCAGCGTGACATTAATGAAATTTTCAGCGGGAGGCGTTCGTCTATTGTTGGCGTTCTTAATTTTTAACACGGAACTTCCTTACAGTCAATAACTACTTTAATAACATGGTTAATGTCATCCTTGAAGGGGAAAATTAGACATTTTAACATACTAGCTACCAGCGTATTTAAAATCGAATTTTATGAAATCATGTCAACAGAACATATTAAATATGAATAATTACTGTGTGGTATCACTAAAATTGGTATTTAATTTAGTAAATAGAAATTATATTTACTTAAATCTACCACAGAAACTTTTTCTAAAATAAGTGATTTTCTATAAAGATTATTTGCCTATATAATTCATTTTTAATTCTACTGTTTTTTTTATTTTCAATCCCACTTTCAATCCAAATTTGATTAATATTTTTTATTACTATGATAAACTATTATGCGCACCTACTAAATAAAATTTATTTAGTAATTTCACGAAAATTAGATCTTTCCAATATTCCAATTAACCTATCAACCACTTTTACGATTTTCGAGCAATATATCAGAATGGATATAAAAATTAGATGAGAACGTGATAAACAATGATAAACCCATTGTGCGCACATGTGTCGCAGGCTAGAACCTAGAAACGCTTGATTAACTAGCTGATTGAGAGAAAATAAGAAATGCGCGGACCAGAATAGCAAGAAAGGAAAAGCGCTACCTGCGTGCGCGCTGGGCCGACACCTGTGGAAACCAACGACGCGATTGGCGTCGACGCTCTCGCACAGCGTCGCGACGCCGCGCCAAGCGTTCAGTCAACCAGCGTCCTCCGTGCGGTCAACTAACAAACAACACGTGCACAAATCGAATTTTCGCAATTTAAACTCGTTGCAACAAAGAAACTTTCTCAATTCGATGAAAAACACTAATATGAATCAAATTTAATTTATGTTATTAAATTTAAACATGTTTATAACGTTAAATAACATAACCTATTGATATAACCTTAAACAGATGACAGTAGGGTGTTAAATTCAAGACAAAACAGTGTTACCAACATTACCAACAATACCAACCGCAAATTTAGTGTGAAACTTTAGTGACATTGCTAAGAAGTGGAAAATCGCCAGATTTACATACATAATCGCTGTTTACATGTGTAGTCGGTGTTTGAATAGTTTACTGTATGTTAGGTGCGTACATAGCGTAAATGCTTGCGTGTGAGTACTCCGGTACACACAATAAAAACGTAGAACGCATACGATATGTAAATGTAACACAATAGCGCGCGTAATGCGAGCAACGTCCCGCGACGCTCGTCGCCACGCGTCTAATTATTACCGCAAATGAAATTACGTTTAATTAGCACTTTGCCGCGGCCGCCGTGTATCCAACGACAACTCAGTCACGCCGCGCATCTCACCAGCATCACTAGCAATATCACCAAAAATTGACTTGCCAAAAGTATCCGAACTCATTCAAAATTAAACTTGATTTATTTTAATAATTTCATTATAATGATTGGTGCTTGCAGTGGAAGATTGCAATTAAATAAACTTTTAATTACACACAGAACTGATACTGCAAGGAAAATTTCGTGAATAAAAACGTAATTATCTACATAAAACAATTAAAAAATTTGGTAATTAGTGCAAACAAAGAATTCATAAAGTAAATTAATTCGATGTTTAAAAATTAAGTAACATTAAAGACTTATCTAAATGAACTTTATTCCACATTACGTTACTTCACTCTCTACTTCTCTTGACGGCATAATGTGCGAGTGCAAGTACTTCAACGTGGAAAGTTTAAGTGAGTATATGACATCTTTTAGTCATCTTCCACAGCAGGATTTAATTGGATGCTAATTAATTTAATTAATTAGTAGCATGATGCGCCTCGTATGCATGCTCTCAGGTTAGGCACGAGAAGCGACAAAAACGTTCAACTGTTCATTTATCTTCCAGTGGAATAACGCATTAACGTGAAAATAAACGACAAGTCATTTTTAAATCGCAAATGTACATCGCAAGAAGAAGGTGAAGCATGTTTTGCGTTGCAAATTTCGTTTAATTTAAATCCGCACTTAGACAACACAAAAGAATGAAAATTAAATGGAAAATAGTCTCCGGTTCAGAGATTAAACGGATAGAAAACAGGAGTAAAAAATAGACATGTTTTCTCTTGTTCGGTTTTGTTTTGTTTTGTTCCGAGAAATGAAACAATAATATTGGCATGATAAAAATTTGCGCCTTGGTTTACTGCGAATTTACATTAAAATAATTTTTCAATTATCTACTTTTCTTATCGCGCAGAAAGTAAACAACAACGAAGATGGTTACAGCAATTTAAAAAAGTACGACGGGTTGCAGATTGAAACATCAAAAGACGATTAGGCAACAATATAATCACAATGTACCGTAGATATATAACTACAAAAACAAATACACTGGCACAAATAGTTATAACTTATACATAACCTGTATCTATACCAGTACACATGATTGAAAAAGTTAAAGAAAATTGAGTGCTGCCACTCAGCTTCAGAAAAGGAAATTGAAATACAGAATGCGTATAATAGAAAATTGAAAACTTGCAAGTTTATTTCAGCTGAATACGTAGAGAAATAACGCAAGAAAACGTAAGAGATCGTAGAAGATATTTTCAAATTATTGCGGGTCGTAACGAAGCTTACTGTTGAAAACTATTGTAGACATAAAGCACGCCACATCATAAACCTGAAGACCTTTACTCAAACCTGCAACATTGTGGCAGGCTATCAAATTAATAACATCTAACAAATGAACGAATGCAGTTGGTGAAAATATAAATACAAACCAAAAGAAATTGATTCATTAATTTAGATATCCATATTTGTATTTATTTTTTTATCTCCTGAGCTGTAATACTTACATAAGCCTACAAAGAACTATTTATAGAAAACATATAATATGGATGTATTAATTCCATATTGTTTTGTTTGCGTAACGTGTATGTTTATGACATAAAAAATGAAATAATAGCATTACTCGTATCATCTGATGAAATCTAATATTTATTCAATAAATATGCAAATGACGAAATAAATCTTTCTCCTTATTTAATACTTTTTATTTGTTGTTATACTCATTAATTTAGCTCGACATTTAATTTGTTTCACTTTTATTTATTTAGCATTTAACATTTTTAATATAAAAGTGCTCTATTTGCAAGTCTCCACATTTTAGTACTTTTTTTATTAAATGGTCTGATGCGTTAATTAAAAGCTGAGTTGTATTGAAAAAGCAGAGGCTAAATAAAAAGCGTGTGTTAATTATCCAACGAATTAATGAGGTGGCGGTCTCAGATAACACCGCGCCTCTCGCGTGATCAATGTTGTGTTTCACGGTTCAGACAGTTTATACAAATAAGACCTTTTAATTCAAAATATTATTCGAAATATTTCGATCGTAAATAAAGTAATATTTAAAAACTTTTATGTAGGTACATATTTGCTTATTGAAAGCGATGATTAGTTGTTTAATAAATATTATTTAATATATTTTAAAACAAGTTGCAGTTGCCGAACTACGAACTGGAAAAGTAAACTGAAATTAAAATTAAAATGCAATCATTCTGATTGAATATTTTGCTCCCGTTTACCTCCTGCTTGCCGTGCAGCAGGTCCATTTACCAACACAATCAGCTGGAAATTGTTGCACGTAGCTCGTCAAAATTTCATGCGTTTATTGATTTACCTACGGTTTCATAATACGTTTCGCCCACGCGTTACAATTATTAAGTTTCATAGAGATCCGTTCAGTCGGACATACGCATTGTTTACCAGTACACGCAAGTTTAATAAAATTCCCATTTAATTGCAAAATATACCATACACGCACTGCACAAGGGAGCAACAAAACCAGATAAATAATATTATAATATTAGGGCGTGATAGAGTGAATGGCGAAAATAATCGAGTTTCTCCGCTATCGCAAACAATTATTCCAGATATCAATTAAATTAACCGAAATGTTTGATGTAGTCATCTGGTTGTAAAACCATCAAGTTTATTGAATCAATATAAAATGGTATTATGTAATAAATTGCCGATAATTATTTGCTAAATAATAATAATAATAATAATAATCATATAAAAACAATATTTGCAAAATATTGTTGCTATGGCAACTTTAACCAAATAAAAACTTAACCTATATTAAGGTTTACATTAGTACATTAATAACTAAGTGGCTACTTCTTCAATTAATTATTAGTTTACTTGATTGAATGTATTTTTAACTAGTTTGCCAATCTATCAAGTTTCTTTGAAAAAAACGCTATAATAATATTGACAAACAAGAAAATGGTGGAAGTCAATTTTGGCGGAGTTGCTGGGTCTAAACTACTCAGGAAAATTAAGCAACGACCGCATCGCAGCGATTTTCATCCACTAGAGAAAGCGAACGTTGATAACACAAAGAATGAATAAGCGATTTTGCGTATTTCGGGACATTCGGGGAATAGAATTTGGGGCAATAGGTAACACAGTTCTTTTTCTTATTGTTCACAAAGCCATTCGGAGCGCATTTCAACTTTTTTGATGTTCGCCTGCGATGTGTTTTTTTCGACGTGTATAAGCACACGTACGTTAATGCATAACTTTTATATATTTTAGAAAAAATGAAAAGATTTTTTTGTTAAAGTAAACATAAAAAACATTGTAAAATATTACAGTGCATTCGTATATTTGTATGAAATAGTTTTAATTAGTGAAGATACATTTTTGTTAAAACGTTTTTATTTTTCAATATTTCGTATTTGTAAATTTACGGTGCTTGTAAACAAAATAAAGTAATGAATTTTGATATCGATATATATTTAGTAAAGTCGGTAAAAACAACAAAAACGGCAATATTGAATGAAAGTTTGTAACTTGCAAGTCAATTTTAACCCATGCAGCTTTGTTAATACCCACATTTCCACTCTATCAACGGTAGAATCTGCTGTGAAATACTACTGAATGCAAACGTGAACAACGCGAGGCGAACGCACTGATAGCACGCTCCTCCATCACGAAATGAAAACGAGGAATGGACGAAAGTATTGAAAGCGCGCAGCGGACAGCATTTGGCAGCGTTGGCAACATGAAAACGTGGAAAAGTGGCATCGCCTCCGGTCGGCGGCAGTTGTTTGCCTGCTTCGGACTCCTACCGAACCCACTTGAATTAATTCGATCGTCGCCTACGACTGCGACTTGGGGATGTTCGAAAAAAAGTGTTTTTGTCCGGCAATAGTTCCTGCTCTGATTTACTTAGGATGGTGCATGAAAGCAAAGTGGGCGTAAATTAGTTAATTTTGACGTGACTAACAAAATAACAATCCAAAAAATAAAAATAAAGAGTATTCCAAACACAATCAAATTAACACGTTATAAAATTTCGAAACGAAAATCGATAGTAATCATACATCTTTATGCACTTAAGTTTAATGCATCATTAGATGTGTAATCAAATATAAAATATTTATGCTGTGAAAATAAATGGCTGATTATTAATATGAATTTTAACGTTTCGGCAAATTGCCTGCAATTCACATAATTTATGACTCAAGTAAAAGCACGTGTACGAACTTCATTCTGTCCCTCATTTGCGCCGCTAGTCGACACGCGATTACAATTTGCACGAAATTACCAAATTTCCATACTCTTCATAAATTGCGCGAATGTTCTGCACATTGCCATTCAGTTTTGGCCTGTCGTTCTCCACAAATCGCATTAGGTCCCATCGTGGCAACATGGAAACACGAAGTGAACTTGAAGTAATGTTGTGCTTTCTGCGTAAATGGAAACGTTTAATGTTTAAAGGCGAAAATTTAAGAAATTTCACAAATTCAACTTGGATGCTCGAATATGTAACTTTAACTTTCGCCAACTTTGAGTTTGAGAAGCTTTGAGCTTGCACAGGTCCACGGGTCATTCGTGAATCGGTGTGAAATTGTTGGTGGAACAATTGCCCTCCGGGTTTCGGGAAACTTTCGCCGGTGGTCAAGGCTTCTCGGATGTGATTTTCCAATGCAGCGTGTTTGCGCGCACATGCAAATGTAAATATTCAAATTTGTATCGAAACATGAAACGCCAAAGCAGAGCGAAGCCCCAGTAGTATTGCCTTCACAGAAATAAATCAAAATTCATTACCAGTTTTGCATTTTTATTACCGGGATATAAATCAACTTTAGAGAAAAAATTTTTAATCGGAGAATAAATGAAAATGAACAAATATAATAATGGAATATCGTAGATTTGTGAATTTCTTTTCAACACAGAACAAAATTTGCATTTAAAATACTAACAACGGGTTTGTATGTACATACTGTGAGGTGTTGAATGTGTGCTAAGCACTTATCAAAAACGATTTGGCTGTCGAGATAAGGACACGGATACGGAAGCAACTACTCGCGGGTTAACGAGATTTTGTTCAAACACTTGCATTAAAGTCAAATGTAAAATATGTCTTAATTTAAAATTTACTCAATTTTCATTCAATTGACAAATTATCAATTTTAACACCCTGTATATTTTTAATTAGTGGTGTTTAATAAATAAACGAGTAGATTTATGTTCACTTTTAATCCCTATAGGTACAACCGGCTAGTGCTTGAACTAATTCTGAAGTTAAAATGCACTACGGTGCAAAATTCAGAATTTTTCATTTTCATCTGTGAGCTCGTAAACTCTTAGTTAAACAAATTCAATGCTGCACATGTGCATCACCTGCATGAGTCGTGATCCAAACGTAATAACTTTGCTCGTGAATTCATCCGAATAGAATTTCCACACATCACACGTAACATGATGGACGCGCACACAAATTTTCGAAATCTTCATTTCCCAAGTTCACGTTCGGCGTGTTTACGATTGGAATTTATTCGCGCCGCGTGTTTGACATTAATGGAGCGCCGAGCGAAATATACGAAATGTATTAGCTGTTAGCGTAATGATATAACGATATAACACGTATATAGCGCGGACGATGAATAACAACAAAGAAAACTGAAGCAGACTGAAAAACAAATTCGCACGTAGAATACAAGAGAGAAGAGAGAAAACCTGTATTTGGATTGGAGCCAAGTCGCAATCGATTGTTGCACGTTGTATAGGTATAAAAGAACAGAATTTCTTATAGATTTCTCTAAATATTTAGACATGCTAATACATAGTAGTAAATTTTGATTGAGTAACGGACAATAAAAATAATGGCTGTTTCAGGGTTAAATTAGGTTTTGTTTAAAAGCACTAGTAAATATGAAAATTAAATTCTAAAAATTTGAAGAAAATCAATGTTTTCTGGAAATATTTTTTCATCTACTTGCAAATTGTTTTTTTTGTTTGATGGAAATCTATGCAAATATTAAATAATAGTTCATATAAACTGGCAAACTGACATGTACCGTCTCTTATGATGTATTTTCTGATCATTTTCCACATTCTTCACTGTAGCTCCTTGCGGTAGTTCCGGTTTGCGCTAGTTGAGCTCGGCCTGGCTTCGTTTCTGCCGGAACCACATTATGAGCTATATCCTTTTTGGTCCCACGCGCAGCGCCAGCTACCGAAATTGTTAAAGTCTCATCAAAATATAATTTCGCGCAAAAGCGCCTTTTGCTCCTTTCTATGACGTCGGGTTTCCACGCATCCGGCCAACTGGCCATCCCTACAATCTACAAACCCTCAATATTTCCTACATTTTCCACATTTACAACGCTTTGGACGAAAATCTTGTTATTACAGTATTAAATTTGATATCTGTGCTAATGTTACACGATGAAATGGATTACTATACAATATTCTACAACAACAAGAGATAAATACTAAATGATTCACTTTCTTAAAGAAAAAAGTTATAAAAAATGTTATAATAGTTTTCTTTATAGTAAAAAATAAATTTTCAATTTATTATTAATTAAATAATAGAACTTTTATCTTTATAACAGTTTGTAAAATGCAAATTATGTTGTGTTGTGTTCTGATGTTGTCAAGGAAAACCCAAAGCAAAAGCAAATCAAAGTACCTCGCGGCAAGCGAACAATCTTTGTACTAGAACCTACCTGCTGAACGTGCTGAAGCGTGTGCTTGAGTTTGTAGCATAGAAAAAGCGTGCGCAAAGCGTAAAGCGCAAAGTGTACCCCGAACCTCAACGCACAGAATCGTTTAGAAAATATGATAAAATTGTGGCTCGCAATCGTTGCTTATTTGTTTTTTTTACGCCGGCGTGCTGCGTCGCTAAAAAGGAAAACACAAACAAACCATGAGGGGAGGAAAATTGTGCGGCAACTCTACGATAAAACGTTTTGCATTTTCAAATTTACGATAAATTATTCAATAACGTCTATACTGAAGCAAACTAAAGTGAATTTTGATGTTAGTTCTATATATGGCAAAGATAACCTCAAAAGTGTTATTTGCTAATAATTACAAAACGCTTAATACCTTGAAGTAAATACATTTTCGGGATAATAGGATAAACATTCTAAATCGGATGGGTTACATTCTCATTATACCCTGTTGCTAAGAGGAGAATTCACCAGAGAATTGTTTATGATTAACTGGAACGAGTTGATATTAAACTTCCAGATCATCGCGATGAAGTAGACATGTTAGAGAACGGAAGAATGAAACTTGAATGTTTCCGGTACGTGTACAACCTACAAGTATCCCAGCTGTTGGGTGGAATTCCGTTGAGATTTCCTTTGTGCCAGTTATCATCATTTCACTCTACTACTTTCCACAATTCTTGATTCTCTCTGTTTCTCTTAGTTATTTAAGCATCAGAAAGAAACAAGCCTGCGGCAGTGGCTACGATTGTGGGTGCAGCAATCCTAGTTTCGGATGGCAAAACCATAAAAGGTCCTCGTCGGTGTCCCGGCGACAAAATAACACGCTGTCGTATTTCCGCACTTTACACGCTATTCCAAGCATTCGAAACCTTTTCACTGTTTCCCGGCTTTTCCACGCTTTAAGGACGCAGCGGATGTTATCGTATTGCGCCACTCATGGCTATCCTGCAACCATGCATCCGGAATATTAACTGTTGCTGACATAGTTATTAACAGCAAACACGGCCATATTACTGGGAAACTTCGCGCATAGAAAAGCCGAGTAGGTGATATTGGTTAATATCCAGCATGAACATCATCAAGCATAGTTCCGAGTGGATTCAGTTGTCCAGCGGGTTTGGTACATATGTGTGAGTGGATGTGTGTCGAACGTGTTGAACTCATTAATGTTGAAGGCACCAGTCGCCAGCATCAGTGATGCTTCCTTTTGAGGTTAGAGGATTGAGGTTAACTAAATCCTAGTACTGACCCTGGGTATAAATTTTTGCTTCCAAAATGTTGAAAGGTGCATACATTGAAAAAGGAATTTTTACTAACGGATGAATAAATTTAATCATTTTGGAGGTTTTTTGTGGATTACTCTATGTCCCAAAATGAAACTTTAAATGTGTTTACCTGTTTAGGATCAAAACCATTTAGAAAGTTCTATTTGATTATTCGTCTTCAAAGTGTCCCTAAGGAAGTCGTGCCCACCTGAACCGTTCACGATCCAAACTCACGTTTAAATCACATGAATTTCTAGAGATTTCAAACATTTCCTACGTGCCGAGTTTGGGAATCTTCAAATATTTACTCGATTTCTGATTGAACTGCTCCCTGGACTCACGTCCTCGGTCTTAGAGCCAGCTTTCTTCATACGGCTTTATACGACCTCGAGCAATAAGCTTCATATATAACACACGGTACAGTTTCAGTTATGTACTCTTCTCTCTATAATTCGAAGGCAGCTTCATGGAAAATAATGAGAACTGTGCCCTGGTGTGTTCTTCGTGGTATACTGCTTCCATTCGCTTCAAGGTTGATTCCATGCAGCACAAATTAAACCCGGCATGGTTTCAATATTTGATAACCGTATGTTCGAAGACTTTAGACCTTAGAGAACATGTTGCGTATAGAATTTCGTATTGGAAAAGCCCATTGATTTGTATTGTGCATTCTCCTGGTGATTATATTTGGCATGTGTAACAATGAAACGAAAGCAGCTTTGAACAAGCATTACAATATTCATTTATAAAGTGATGGAATTTAAACTAAATATTTGTTCTAAATCCGGAATATTCAGTTTAATTATATTTATCGCTCTGAACTTGAAAGATATTTCATTAACAAACACAGGAAAATGAAGTCTGCAGAAAGTAATTAACAAGAATTGTTTTGAAATTTTGAGCAAATAATGAAGTAAAAAAAAAGTTTGAAACTTCTTCTAATTCTTTCAACTTTCCATCAAAATAACGAGTTCCAGACGACTAATTTGCAATTACATTTTGTGTTTCTTTTTTTGTTTCTTCCTTATTTTAGGTAAGAAAGTATCCATTTAGGTTTTGTACTTTTGACCTGATTTCCTTCTAAACATATAAATATAAATTTATGCCTCATTTGAAGTAACATTTCATTCGAATTGTTTCTTTGATTTTCCTAATTAACGTTAATTAATTAAGTTGACTGGAAATGACTTCAGGCCTTACAACTGCCAAACCATTTTGTATTTTCCTTGTGCAATACAGATTTCTCTCGCGTTGAGTTCCGATTGTGCTCCTCTTGTATCTTCCGGACCTCTTCATCAAGTGATTACCGGTTTCTGCTGTGGGTCGAGTGGAGTATTTCTCACATCTTACCCAAGACGCAAGCGGTCTGCTTCCTGTTTTCTCTGGTTTCCGCACGTTGCCGAACGTTTGCATCCGAGTTTCCCAATTTTCCTGACATGGTCGTAATTATGTTACATTCGTACAAAAGCCATTGAGTATTACAATGTCGCCATCAAAATCTATGGACCCAACAACCGCTTGTTAACCGTTTTCAATATACCAATAATTAAATTGCTGCTTCAAAAATTGCTGCCGATGAAATTCATTAATTTGGTATTAAGTTAGTTTGTTGAACGTTTCACCTTGTCAACCCAAATCGTCGAGTCCTACTTCATTTACATCATTGCACAACGCTAGGTCGCATGAAAGCATTATCTAATAAATCTGAGCGGTTCGAAGTGTTCAATTGAAAGCTCCGCGCTTCAATCGATTCTGTCGTCTTTCACCCTGATTCACCTGCCCACGGCCCAAATATGCCACCTTCTCATTAATGCCATAATGGCCTGCCGCGACATGGGCCGACGCAAAACACAAGCCATTTCGTAAACATACACGGCGGACGTCAACGTCGGTTGCGTTCGTAAACGTTTGCACGGCTAACGCCTGGAATGTTTGCTAGCTTGGCTGGCGGTGGCTGGCACTTCCTCAGCGGCGGCATTTACGCTGTAGGCCTCTCTCGCCACACTATGCCGCCGCCTCGACGATTGAACGATACGTTAATGGCAGCGTTGTAATAGCTTCGTGCCATTCTAATTCACTACGTGTGCGTGTGTTTAACGAGTGTACATCAAAGCTGGTTACTGTTGCAGGCAATGGATGATGATGACACGAGCGCGAGCTTGCCGTGCGTTCGATGCGAGCGTCGATAATTAACTGCTCGAGTTTTACGGTTCGACGAAACTGCCACGGAACAGATCCGCCGTCAAACCTTTGTCGATGATATTCGTTACATCATAAAATAACGCATAAAGCTGCTAATCGAGATTTGCCAAAAATTCAACAATGGCACTAAATTATTTTCATTAAACACACCTGACAATTTATGTTTATTGTACCCAGGTACCACATTCGGATGTTAACTTTTAAGATTCAATGGCTTTTGATTTTTTGCAAAATTACCACCACGGTTAATAGTGAGAATGGAGGCGATCCATTAAACTTTTGAATATCACGTGTTCGTGTGCGTGCGTATACGTTACGTCGCGTCGGAATCGAATCGAATCGGTGCGAGCACAAGCTGGATTATAAGATGGAGACGGTACCGATGATCCGCTCCAGTAGCACTGAGACCGGCAGCAACGACGTGGTCGTCCGGCTCGGAGGCGGCGGGGGATCTCGAGGTAACAACTCCACCACTGTCACCACCACTACCACCAGCGTGGTTACAGCCTCGGATCGTCGACGGATTGGAAAAAACGATTGAGTTTGAGGGACAGCCGAAGGAAGGATACGGTGAGTACACAATTTTCAACTTTAAAATTTTAATATTTAAACGTTTCTATCCGGGAGTTTACGCGAATGGCAGCGAAAGCGGCTTCTGAGAAAAATTTTATTTCCCAAAAAATTTTGTTGCCACGTTTTTTATGTTTTATTGTGAATTTTATAAAAAATCAAGATTAAAAATATTTATCTCCTTGTTGCGATATGTTTTTTGCGGAATTTTGATTTAAAAAATCCGGTTCAGCGCTGTACCAAATAATAAATGACTGAATAAGAAGATTTTATTTAAATGTAATGCAAGATCTTTGCACACATATCATACATATATTATGACAGTACCATTTCGGCGCAACGGAAGCAAAATTGCAAAATTGCGTTTCCTCGTGTTTCCCTTACAGCTCAGTGTCAGACGCGTGAGCGTTTTGCACTATTGGTGTGTTCCGCTGGCGGAAAATCGCAGAGTGCGGAAACTCACACACCGCACCAACACAGTTTTTGGTAGATTTTTGCATTTTATAGGTGCCATGTTTCCGGCGATAGTGTTTACATTGCAGTGAATATACTTTATATTTTACATTCCACGTTTTAGATTGCCCTGCATACATTTTATTCAGGATTTCGTTGGAATAAATGAAAAAGAATGGGTTTACGGAGGTATACTAAATAAAATCAAGATAAATAAGTTTAGGGGATTTATGATAGTCAGAGTTATTATATTAAATCTTACAATTTAGGGGAAAGAAAACAAAATAAGTTTTTATAGAGTTTTTAAAATTAACATGATAGTAGATGTGTCAAGATTTATAGCATACATTTAATATCATCAAGGAAATACTTTTAAAGTTATCTTCCTGATTATTTCCCACTTGGTGTCGGCCCGTCGACAATAAACGTTTACACTGTGCAAATAAATAACAGCAGTAAGCAGCGCAACGTGGCGCAACAAACGTGAGAAGAAGTTTTACGCGAAAGCACTCGTCTTTTACCATTCGCATCAAGTCAGTGCGCGAGTATTGCCGGAGACTCAAGCACAAGGAAAGGACTTGAGTAAAGTGTCATAGAAACTTAGCTCGCGTTCACGAGGCTATAGAAGGCGATAGAATTCGATATAGGAACGCGCTCAATGCGAAGAAATCCCAATAGAGTTAACCCTGCGCACATAAACAACACTCAGTTATATACAAAGTATATTATATAAAATATAAATAACTTTTAATATTATTTCTTTTAAAAATTGAAATTTAAATTGTTTATTATGCTTTGTGTAAAAATTTTTAAAGAAAATTTTTTGAAACAATTCAATTTTTGATACACTCTGTATAAAACAATCGCGCTGAAGGTGGAAACTGAGTAAGTAGGGGAAAACTGTTGCGCATACTTCAAGGAAAACCTGGCTTGGCTTGGTGCGAATGTTCAAAGTAAATAACCATATGAAAAGTGCAGGCGCGATAGATAAGGGAAGAATGGCGGCGTAAAAAATGAAGTAACGATCTTGCATCTTATTCATCTCACAAGACGCTCTTATGAAATTGTTGGGAAAATGATGTTGTAGGCGACGGATGAGTTTTTCAAGAGATAAAAAGATACATTGTAATCAGAAAGCGCGTAAAAACCATGCTTCAAAGCCTTCAAAGATTTTTACAAACTTGACAAAAACAAGGTGACCGGAAGTCGGAAGAAATCAATCATTTTTTTTTATTTTCTATTTACGCTTACCCTAAATATTTTTTATTGTGAAATAATACATAAATAACATTCGTGGCTAGTTCAAATTCCCTCGAGGGCTGTTGTTTTTGTCGTTGAAAGAAAAAAAAGTTTGCAACATTGATTGCTTCCTAACTGTAGATTGTTTTCACCTCAAGTTCAAGTTGGCTTTTGCATCGTCAGCAGGGAAATCACCTTTCATCCTGCTGGGTTGTTTCAATAAGTCAGCGTCACGTTACGGAAACCATTTTTATTTTGTTTGTAATTCTTTATTCTCACCATACTAACACACATAGAATATTACTAAGCTTTGACATTAAACCATTTTAAGCTAACCTAAGTGAGATTAACCTATACTAGCAAAACCTAGCATGTCAATTAGGATTTACATTTGAATAATGCGCTTTTCACCGCTCTTTGATAACTCATAAACATGTATGTTTATTCGATTAAAAAAGGAGCTAGGATTAAAAACTGGCTTCATTCATTTCTCTTGACAACATGAGCGCGAAGCTTGCAAATGTCAACTGGCAACTCGTTCATCATGTTAGTTTTCATTTTTCTTTGTCGACATGTGCTAACTGCGAACCACGGGCTGTTAGTGTTTACGCGTAATTAAGATTCAAAGAATACAAAAAGTAATTTTTACCTGTTCATGCATCCATATATGAAAATATAATACTTTATGCTTTAATTTGAATTTCAGACATCATTAGTCATAAGCTGAATTCATCAACAAAGAATGTTTTAACTAGAGAGTTAAAAACTGTAGGAAATATGCCGTATGCGAATATGCGTGAACGTAAATACACAAATTGCGTGTTAGACGATTTTGAGGAGTTGCAACTGTTGGTAAATGCGTATCTATTGAAACCTATGATTCATTTGCACCAATTTTTTAATACTTATATAAATAGTTCAATTTTGTGCAAAATGCAATTTTACAATCTTTAAAAATTTGTCTTTGTTTTGAAATACGTAGTTTATGTTTACAATTTGATAATATACATCATATTCACATGCAAATAAATAAAATATTATAAAATTATATTTAAAACTTTAAAATTTCCTTTGAACGGTTCTAGTCAAATGATCTAACAAAACCCAGCTGTGATTTGAGGAAGTGTACAACATACACTTCCTGGAATTTCAAACAATTATCAATATTTAGTGTTGAAATATTTAAATTTAGATAAGTGAATTTTCTATTCGAAATATTTCCATTTTTACTTCAGAATTTTATGTTGCAACACAAAAAAGTCGTGTGTGTTGCCTATATGTTTGTTTTGCTTATAACATAACCAATAAAAGTCAACTCGAATACCACTCTCCTGAAACCTACTAGACCGCGCAGCAACATTATTTTTGTTTGTATGCATATTTCACAATTTTCAATCGTGGAAGTTCGAAGTTTACTGCAAACGGTGGCTGGATCTAACAATACTCGATAACGTTTTCCCTTCTAACCAGATGCTTGAAAAAGTTATGTGCTGTGTGCACAATGTGAGCCTTATGCGTACATTGCGGCCGTATAGAGAATAAAAATAAAACCGTGCGCAATCTGCTCTCTCTAACTAACCACATCACTAACCTGCGAGGCGTATGAATAAAGAACATGTTTTCGTTCGCGTTATCATTACAATAACCACAGCAGCGTAACCGCGCTCGCATCCTTACTATTGGCGTAGGTGTCGAAGGTGTATTTTTAGCCGCACGCCATTGTCATTTGCGGTAACGTGTTGGTGTATTTCGAATTACACCTACATTTACATCGATTAAAAAAGCTTCGCTAAAAGAACAAGAGAAATGTGTGTTGTACTGAAAACGTATTGTTTTCGTGTTCATTTAAATTATTTTTAAATATTCCTTTGTCGGTCACGGTAGACTGGTTAAACTTGCATGAAATAAATTTCCACATTGTGGTAAAGTTTTAATTATAATCGGTTGTTTATAAGTTAATGTATTATGCAATAAGCAGTGTTATATTACAACAATGTGCACAAAAGATGAAAAAATGTCGAAAAAATCGGAAAAAATTGCCTAGGCTTTAATATTAGGTTATTTTGTTGCTTACTGCGGTAGTAAGTAGACCAACGCACATGCACGCTCGACAAATAACAATTTAATCCTGTAGAATGCAACTAGGATTTGCATCAGAAGGGACGACAGTAATGCATCATTACAGCCATTTCAAGTTTTGCAACATAAATGCAAATTTGTTTTGCCACGCTCTCATGGACATAATAAAAGACAGGAATTTATTTTATTATGTGTAAAATGTTATTAACATTATCACAGTTATTTATACTCTAACCAAATTACATCTAAACATTGCCTAAAATATATTAAATTACCAATTAAATAATAATTAAAGAATACTATTCTATTAATCTACAAGTATTATTATTTCAAGTATACAATTAAAATGGTTGATGGATTATTTCAAGTGTAATGCCTTTTTAATGATAGACTAACTGAAATTATTAACGAATTCGGCGTAATATACCATCTTGGTTAGCTTACAGAATTTAACAATTAATTGTTCCGCACAGTGAACATTTTGAGCGTTAGCTAAACGCTCGCGAAACGCGACTATTTGCATATTTCATTTCGGAACCGCTCCGCTTCGCTAGTACAACTTTATAAGTGGTTAATGCACATCAGGCTAAAACACGTCGCTAGGTATATTCAGTGGTGAAACGCACTAGTTCTCCTGATACGTAGAAAGCGCACACTTGCTGGATCATAAAGCGAGCGAAAAGGGCATCCAACACACGGATAGCAGGATGCATTATGCATTTTGTGCGCGCAGTTTGTAACGTTTATGATATTTGTCTAGCGCGCTTTGTGGAGGCACGTGTAGTGGTGACGGCGAGCATATTAAAGCCGTGAGTGTGGAAAACGTGCTGCGTTTGTGGAAACTGTTTGCACTTGTAAAAACATTATGTGCTTGTAATTACGCATCATTTTGTAATTATGAATGTAAATTAAGTGTTTCACAGTTGTTTCACATCATTAATTAATTATTTTTGATATTTTTTTAACGAAATATTTGTTTGATAAAAAACATTTAATTAAATGTCACATCTTGACATTTGCTGTATTTTTGAAAATTATAAGAAAAATTTTAAACTTTTATGAGAAAAAAATTGAAAATTTACAATCAAGACTGTGCCGGATGTCAGTATAATTATTTATTAATTATTGCAATTACTTATAAATAATTATTGAAGAGATGAATCTCAGAAAATTTAACCAAAGTAGTTTCCTGGTATTATAAAATTTTAAAAGGTCTCCTGATAGGATAC